GAACTTCTTTAGCACATAGTTTAAGACACTAAGGCTTTTGAAGTATTGTTATGGTTAGATTATAGAACAGGATTAAATGTTAGAGTGGACTCAGTCTCTAAAAGCCCACATTAAATGTTATTTATCATGATATTTATTATCATAACAAAGCAAATAGGCAAGAGATAAATGTTATTTACCCTTTGAAGGGTGTGCAGTGTACGTATGTGTCCATGTGTGTGCATGTACATTGATTAGAATAAACTTCCTCTGTTCAGAACAAGCATTGCTATTGAGCTAAGACTTTCTGTTCAAACTTGGTGAACCCAGATAAAAATTTAAATGTTATGTAATTTTAGTTTTTAAAATTAATGATTTTTTTTTGCTGTTTATCCACATTTTCCTTTCAGAATGAAATCATCTGGGTTGATCTAGTTTAGAAATCAGTGCTCCACTGAGATTTGGAATGAAGAGAACTCATTTTGCTTTGCGCAGAAGATGCTGTGGATTAACATAGAAGTACCTGGCAGTGACCTCAAGGTGGAGACTGTCTTTCCTCCTAATTCTGCACAGATAGGAAGTGTGACTCCATATCCACAGAGTGGCTCTAGCGCTGCTCCAGCTGGATCCAGTTTTGACAAGATCAAGAAGACAGATGGTGTGAGAGGGATGGGTGGGGCAGGCTCCACAGTGTGAAGTGCTGGCCATCTCTGTGCACATGTGGATGCAAGGTGACACACTGCTTGCTTTAGGTGTGATCCTGTTGGTGTGTGCTGGTGGGGTCAAGAGAAGCAAGTGTCCACATGAAGGAGAACTGAGTCCATTGTTTGCTGAAATCATTCTTCTCTCCTCCCACTAGTATCTTTGGTTCATCTCTAAGCCAAGCTATGAGGAAAAGGAAGTCCCTTTGTACAATATATACAATGTAGCTATATCTTCTTCCACATCCTGTACCTGGGTATCATAGCAACCAGTCTTAGGCTGTCACTATGTATTTTTTTTATGTACAAACATACATATATAGACACAAGATAGATATTTCTTAATTATTTTGCATCTCTTCATTGTGATCAGACTCCTGAACTCTTTTGGAACATGGATCCCTGTGAGTTCTAAGCCTGCCATCATTTTGAATTATAATTCCAGGTACATGTTTATAAAACTTCCATCAGAGAATCAAGACTAGTTAACCTCAGCTACCCATAAGTCTCTTTGGCTATGGCTGCCTAGTGTCACCAGCCTACCTGCAGGTCTCAGTGTCTTCAGGACACTTCCTGGCTGTGACTTACTGAAGATGGTTGTGAAATAGGAAGACTCCTGTCTTTTTGAAATAAAATTTTTGTACCCATCATTGACAGGGTGTCAATGACTGTATCAGTCATCTATGAATATAGAATTGTGGGTCATGAGAGAGCAGAATATTCACTTTGTTATAGCCTTGCTATAAAGTTTCCAGGATCTTATGGTCATATGATGAGAGATTTCCTAACTCCCTCATAGCTCAGTTAAGTTAGCTGTACATGGAAGTTAGTGTGAGAAGCAGATGTGTATTAATACATCAGAGTACAGATTTGACTTGAGCTCCTTGTGATGTAGATCAGGTTCAATGTAAAATTGCTTTTGTATTTAATTAGAAGATGCTTATGTTTTAACTCATTGTCTCTTTATAAGGATAGTTCCTTAAAGAAATGAAACTAGTGAATTTCTCTTCTTCCTCTTTATTTTTTACATGTCAAATGTGAACCTTATTGTATCTGTACATTTTTTAAATAATGATGTTTTAATGAAGAATCTTTTTGTGTACATGTTTTAATTTGTAAAACATGTACAGTAAATGATTAAAAAAAATTTTTTTACAGTCACACTTGCCTGTTAGGTGTTCACATTCAGGATACTTTGGGCAAGCAGTTTCTTGTGGGACATGGTCTTAGAAGAGATCTTTTCATCCCTAAAGGCAGCTTCATCTTCTGAGTGAGTTAAAAAGAGCAGGGTAAGCCAGTCTGGTCAGGGTCCATCAATATGTTTTAGGGCAAGCAAGAAAAGGCTAGCCATTCCTTCTTCCTCAAGTAAGTTCCTCTCTGGCAGGACCAGGGTCAGAGCTGGAAGGATGAGGTTGTTCAGTTCTAGAGAGTGGAATATGGCTTTATTCTTTGCTTCTCCTTTGGAAAGCACCGAGATAGAATTACCTTGCCTTTGTTTTTGACCACTTGAAAGCTGTAGAACTTTCCAGAACTTTCCAGGGTTGGGATTTTGGGCACGATTGGTATGGAAAGAATTAATCTGTGTGATAGAAGCATTTTGAGGAATTTGGGAAAAAATACACTTACATATAAACTATTTTGTTACAGGAGATGAGTTTTTAGGAACCACGGATCTTAATAATGAGTCTAAAACCTAGTGTATCATATGATTTCAACAAGTATCTGCAGAGTAATGAAAAACTCAGTAAGCAAATAAAAGCTTAGTTCAAATACTTGCTAATAGAGTGGAATAAAACATCAAGGATTGAAGATAGGTCAGAAGTAGATTAGTCAGACACAGGGAAAATACTAAAGAAAATTGAATGCAGCTTGAGACCTGAGATGCTATCAAAAGACCCAACCCCTGAATCATGGGAATAGATGAAGAGGTACAAACTAAAGACCTACATAACATTTTTTAAAAGAGCAGAAGACTTCCCCACAATCTTAAGAGAGAGTCATCCACCTATTTAAAAAATAAAAACTTACAGAAATCTATATGGTATATGCTATATAGATTTTTTTCATTTTTCTTTTAAATTATTGTTATTTTTGAATAATAATAATATTATTGAATAAAAATAATATTATGTACATATCAGAGCAGGTATTTTGAAGCCCTCTCAACTACCTCTTCTGTTAAAAAATAATAATACCCTTTTATAATCCTCCTAATTTCAGTATAAGATGATTTTTTGGCCAAGAATTTATACTTAATTTGATCTTGGCTAACTATTTGTACTTAATATGATCCTGAAAAGAAGTACATTCCATCTGGGGCAGGTAGTTTTCACAAGATAAGACTCAAATAAATCTAGCTTATCATATTGTACTGGGAATGTTTCACCAAAACTAACTTCCAGAGAGGTTTAGCATCCATGTGAAAAATTTCAGGATAAACCCACTGGTTTGGTGTTTCTGCCTTGCTGGGGGGTTGCTAAGTAGCCCTGGATCATCAAATGTGTCAGCATGTTTGTCTCCATACATTATAAAATATTTTTGTTTCTCTTTACTCTTTGATTTGCTCATTTATATTCAGGGTCTATGACAGATGATTTACATGTATAAGATTATTCTCTCATGGATGGTAAACAAAGCTTGTGGAAATTAACTCAAGGATGCAGAGGAGAAAGAGAATTTGAATCACTGATAACTATCTTGAGTCCAATACTATTCTTCATAGGCCATGATATGTCTTAAACAATATTCCCTGCCACCCAAAACACCTCCCTTTGAACCAGAGTAAATTCTGGCTAAAGATTTCCTGTTTAAAAAAATCTGCTATAAATAGGAAACTAGTAAATATCAAGATAATGAAATGTGGTCAGCTCTTACTGACCATCAACTGGTTGAAGAATCAACAAAACCTGGTTGACTCTGTCAACTTCAAACCACTGGATTTGTCCTCATTGGGCATGCGCTTTCTCTCTCTCTCTCTGTATATCTATATATGTATACATATGTATATTTATATATAATTTTATGTATTTTAGGCAAATGATTTATCACAAAACTATCTCTACCCTCCGTGCATTTTAAATAGTAAAGTTATTTAGCTCTGAGAACAAAATAGTAACCAAATATATGTTTGTTTCAGCAATCTATTTGCTATTTTAATGCCTCTAGAACTAGGAAAATGGCTGTGAGTTAAATAAAAATGGCAAGTAGAGGACACAAATACAGAAATAATCTATTGTATTTGAACAACCACAGATATTATGTAAACAAGTAAGTATGGTTGTATTGTAAAAATACTTTATCTACAAAATGGATGATGGGCCATACTTTGCTGAGATTTAGGAATAAATGTAATTCTAGAAATTTTAAAGAAAATATGAGGGAAAACAAATGATCAGAACTTACAGAGGGCTGGGCACTGGTGCCTCATGCCTATAACCTCCTACTAAGGAGGTTAAGATCTGAGGATTGTGGCTCAAAGCCAGCTCTGGCAGGAAAGTCTGAGACATCTTCCTCAACCACCAAAAACCTGGAAGTAGAGCTGTGGCTCCGAGTGGTAGAGCACTAGCTTTGAGTGAAAAAAGCTCAAGGATAGTGTCAGGGTCTTGAATTAAACCCCAGGACTGGCACACACAAAACCAGCATATCCAAGAATGTTTATTAAAAAAGGAGTGTGCAGGTGGTATTTTCCTCATGTAGATATTTTATTTGTATGTGATACAGCTTAATCTTGAGACATCTGTACACTAGAGGCTCTTCTAGTGTATATAATTGGCACTGAATTGCACAAAGGGTGAACCAATGCAATAGTGATACTCACAAGACACTGTTTGAAATGAACTTTAAAACTTGAGGGGAGAAGAGTGGGAGTAGGGATAGCAGGAGAAAACGAGGAGCGATAACAATGTTCCACAAGAAGTATATTCATTTCCTTACTTATGTAACATTAACCCCTCTGTACATCACCTTTACAATAAAAAAAGAAAAGCTCTAGATAAAGTTCTGCCACAAACCGTATTGTATCATTGAGCAAATTATTCTCTTTGAGAACCCCCCACTCAAAAAAAAGAAAAAGCACACACACCAGAATTAAAAGATCTCTGAAAGTCTTTCTGCTACATCGTTCTCTGGTATTACGATTGTTGTTGTTGTTTTTTCCTTTGTGGGTTGTGGGACCTGAACTGTAGGCCTAGGCACTGTCCCTCAGCTCTTCAGCTCAAGGCTAGCACTCTACCACTTGAGCTACAGCGCCCCTTCCAGCTTTTTCTGCATATGTGGTGCTAAGGAATGGAACCCAGGACCTCATGCATTCAAGGCAAGTACTCTACCACTGAGCCACCTTCCCAGCCCACGCCTGTCTTATTAAAGATTTGTAAGAGGAGTAGGGGTTGTAATTTAGTGTCAGAACATTAGCTTAGTATTCATAGGGCCAGGATTTTCATTCTTTGCCTCACAGTAGAAAATCATATAAAAACTGTAATCCCTTGATTCACCTCACATAATCAACCACAGGGACTAATGAGTCAAGGAACCCTGTGGGGAACAGAGCAGAGCTAGAAGGTCACTGCTAGAAGTGTCCCCCTTTGGGGGACACTTAAATTATATACATATACATATATATAGACATATGCTTCCTCCGACTTCAGAGTAGAAGTCATGGTATTATTTTATAAGAGCCTAGGCATAAAAACAGCCTTTTGAGGTGGACACAGCTGTAAAGATGGGAGAGCCTTTCCCATTACAAAGTACTTTCATACCACTTCAATCCAAAGATGTCACCTCCTTTCTCAAATATAGTGGTTGACTTGCAGATGTTGGACATCGAACAGAATGTAAATGGACCTGTGCATGACAGCTTTTTCTCTACAGAGACCTTGTAGAAGAAGCAAGATGGAGAGCTTTGTGCCTCATGCCTGTACTCACCCAAATCCCCCAGCCTAACAAACTCTAGTCCAATCATTTCATTGGAAAATGGGGCAGTTGAATCTCATAAGGGGCTGTGCATGGCACCTTGGCTATTGCAGAGAGTGAGAGATTTTGCTAGGCATGAGAAGGTCATAGTCACCTTCTGGGTGAGGTGGGTACCTAGGGGTGGAAGGCACATGGACAAGTGAATATTCAGTCTCTGTCCCTCCCAAAGATTGCCGGGGCCTCTCAGCTTTGTAGGCAATGTTCTCATAGTACACCTCAGCAGAGTTTCCTGATGGCTGCTTCCTGAAGGCACTATGGTTGATGAGGACGTAGCACAGCTCCTCTGTTGGGGTCTGTGGGTCAAAGGAAACGCATCATTAAGAGGTGGCCTCTTGCCATGTTTTTCACATTTAGCTTTGACATGGGACTGATCCTGGAGAAAGTCTACCACCACCACTTCCTTCCCATTTCCAGCTATGTGTCCTAAATGGGTGCCTTTACCCTAAGCTCCAGAGCAAGCAGTTGGAACTTTCATGTTACTCAGAGCACACATCCCTATGGCTGTCTTCTCTGCCACATATTCCAGAGTGGCCCCTGACCACTCAGGATGCTTCTCAGTGTCTCAAGGTCCTGCGGCAACTCTTTCTTATGAAAGAGATATAATTGGGTTATGATACTTAAGTACTCATTAAAGAGATTATTATCACAAACAAAACAAGGAAACAAAACAAGGGAAGGTCAATGGTGGACTCAAGACATAAAAGCAAATGCAGGAAGGAGCATGGGAAAAAACGGGTATATGGTAAGACTGGAATTTGAATTTTGGCTCTATGTCTGTCTAGCTTTGGGGTACATCTCCTGATGTCTTAGTTCCCCCATGAAATGAAGCTTGTCAAGCACACAGCATGTTGTCTATCCTAAATAGATCTAATGTTCACTTTTTGGTGCTTCTGCATCTGCCACCAGGCCCGTGTACTGGTCTTGAATTCACCCACTGCCCTGGTATGGAAGGCCTTTCTTCCATATTAGAGCCAGAAAGGGGCATATTACCTGGATGGGAACAGGAGTCACTCTTTCATCTGTAGAAAGTAAATACAGTGAATGAATGTCAAGTCAGGGAAAGATTTGACACGGGTGGGGGCTGGAGTCTAAACCACAAGAAAGTCAAGAAAAAAAAAACAACAAGCAACCCTTTGAGCATTTTCAGATCTACAATAGTTTGCTGGGGAGTTACAAGGTCATCTCAAGAAGAAACAGAACTCCCTCAGTCACAACTTGGTGAATTACCGAGTAGGAAATCGTACCCCCTTCTCCCTTCTCTTTCTTTACCCATAGTACAACACATTCTTATTCCACATAAGCCACTGGTGAGAAAAAAAGCATCAGAAACAGTCCTGTCCTCCAGGGGCATACAGGCCAATATAGACAGAGTACCAGGGCCTGGGAGAGACTCAACATACAGAAGAGGGCGTGGTTTGGGCTGCAGGCAACAGGAAATAGCAAGTAGTGTGGAGACTGGAGCTCAAGGGTACTTAGAAGAGGAGCTCCTTCCAAAGCTGCTGGCAGAGACAACACAGCAGGCCAAGTTTTTAATTTACTAAAAGATAATTGCTCTGGTCATGCAGCAGAGAGGCAAATGAACATATCTACTAGCTTTTTGAAAGTGGCACACCCACTCGATCAGTAAGCAGGTGTCCTTCATAGAAGACTGTTAAAAGGCAGATGTGTTCATGCAGGCTCCCATAATGCACGTAGATTTACATTTCTCCAGATTCTCACAATTACATAAATTTTATGGCCAATGAGAGCTTCTCTTATTACATGACAAGAAAATGGTCTTTGGGTTTGGGCACCTAGTGTATTCTATCAAGTGTGTTCTAAGTTTTTTCTCTGATGGAGATGAGGGTTTCTTGGGACTCACTGTTCCTGGATTACAATGGTTCCAGTTGGGAGGGTTAGATTATTTATTTATATATCATATCTATCTGTGTTTTTTTAAAAAATATTTTTATTGTAAAGATACTGTACAGAAGGGTTACAGTTACATGAGTAAGGTAATGAGTACATTTCCTATTGAGCATTGTTACCCCTCCTTTGTTTTTCCCCTACCATCCCTTCCCTCACCACCTTGCCAACTCTTTTCTCCCCCCACCAAGTTGTAAAGTTTGTTTTCAACTTAGTGTCTTGTATGTCTTATTGTTACAACGAGTCGACCTGTATCCTTGTTTTAGCATTTTGTTATTTCCCTTCTCTCCAAATTAGAAAAATGTACGTACAAGATACAGGGCACTGTCCACAATAATCTTACCAAACAAGCAGAAAAGGTCAAAAGCTATGTACATATGACCATATATACAATGCTAAGTGAAATGAACCCCAAGATAGGGACACAAGAGGTTTTTTCTATGTCACTGTTGTTTTTAATGTACTATGTGATTTTTTTTTGTTTCTTTTGTATGTTCTTCCCCCATGGTATAAACCCTGTTGTCATTGTAGGTGTTTTTTATTGTTAAATAAATGGATTGTGTAATAATTGAAGTATCTTTTCACCCACATTTATCTTGGCACTATTTATTATTGCCACATTACATACTCATTAGAAGATGAATACATAAAGAAAATACATACATACACACAGATACAATGGAGCATTATTCAATCATAAAGAATGAAATCATGTCACTTGCAGGAAAATGTATGGACCTGGAGATTATAATATTAAGTGAAATAAGACTGACTCTGAAGGACAAATGTTGCATGTTCTCTCTCATATGTGGAAAGTTGATTTTTAAAAATGGACACAAATAATAAGCAAAAATGGACACAAATAATAAGTAAGTACTGCTTATTTTTATATAAGGAACTTGAGCATCCATGGATTTGGGTATCCACTGGGACTCTTGAAACCATTCCCCTGTGGGTACAGAGGGTGATTGATTGTGCTGTCTTTGAGACATAAAAGCTTACTCCCTTGCCTTACACTAGCAATCCGTCTTGGAAGTCTGTATTTTCAAAAAGAGCACATCACTGCAAGATGAGAGCCCCTTTCAGTTTAAGGCCTTTCTGAGGTTTAACAATAAATTTTTCAGACTCATTACAAAGACTGATTGAGTGTATGAATGAATGAGATACAACATCCTCTTTAAAGCCAGGAAGGCGAAATTTCTTCCTTCTCTTCTTTAGAAATGCAATGGCCTGTCTTTAGTTTACCCTTTATTCATTACTCTCTTCCTTGTGATGCTTGCTCTTCATCATCCTCCCCCTGATTTCTTTTCCCTTCTTAACTTCAAGGAGAGATGTGTCTCAGGGAACGTGTACTACCTTCCAAGTAGTTTTTCCACAAAGGCTCCTGCCACTCTGGCTACTATTTCTCTCACAGCAATCCTAGTGATCTCTTAATGCAGATGTGATCCTACCTGCCCCTGTGTAAAACCCCTCAGCACCTCTCCTTACTCTCAAGACCTCGCTGGCTTTGCAGTCCATTTGTCTTTCACTTCACTTTTCACATTTCACACTTCACTTTTCACATTTGTTGGTTCCACTTAATTCCTCAGCCTCCAGACTAGGCAGGTTCCAACGGAGGACTGTGGCGATCCATCAGCCAACCTCACCGCCTCACTGAGCTCACAGGATTGTGGGATAAGAGCTGTGCATTTGGGTATATTGCTGCCATAAGCGCAGGTATTGTTTATAAATCTGCCCAGGAGCAGAGGGCAGAGACAGTTTGGAAAACACAACTCCACCATGAGTGACAGTGCCAGAGAAGCAGACTTACTTCCCTTTGGGGAGCTTTGTCTTGCTTTCAAGGTGCGTCCTTTTTTCCTGTAAAATGAAAGAGGAAAGTAAGTTGGTTATTTCAATACCCAGGGACTCTTAAAAGAAATGATACTAACCTATGAAAATTTATCTTAGTCAAAACTTATCTTTTGTTCTTCTGAGACAGTTGCTCACTAGGTAACTCAAGTCTCGGGCTTGAGATCCTTTCGCTTGGCTTTCCTAGGGGTAGGATTATAGGTATGTGCCACCACACCAGGCGAAACTCAATTCCAATCGTTAAAATTCCATACCTTTCTTTTCTTTTTCTTTCTGATGTTTTCTTTCCTTTATCTTTTTGTGCTGATATGAGGGCCTGAATTCAAGGTCAGGGTATTATCCCTTAGCTTTTTCCGAGCAAAGCTGGCAATCTACCACTTAAGTCATACCTCCACTCCCAGCTTTGTGGTGGTTGATTGGAGATACAAGTCTCAGGGACTTTCCTGCCCATCTGGCTTTGAACTGTGATGCTCAGATCTCAGCCTCCTGAGTTGCTAGTAAAACAGAATGAGCTGCTGCTGCCTGGCTCATGTGCCTGTTTCAATCCCTCTTTCAACATATAAAATAACAGAATAAACAATTAAAAATACAAGAGGATGCCAAGTAGAAATATATCCTAAATATATTTTCTCTGTCTCTCCCTTTCTTTCTTCCTCCTCTCCCTCCCCCTCTTCCCCTTCTTTTTCTAAGTTTAATATAGAGTTTACTTACAGAAGGAGAAATACGCTGTCATAATAAGTTACATTTCAGGAGAAAGGTTCTGACAAACTATGAGTTTGATTTACAAAATATAATTTGAGGAACCAGGATTAGCTTTATCTCATTCTTATTGTATGATCTCTTCCCCTGCTAACAAGCAAACATCCATTAGATGCACTGTGTAGAAGACCTCCTGGGAAAACTCCATACATCTCAGGAGACAAAAGACGTATTTCCTATAAGGATGACCATAGGTTCTGTTTTGCTGTCAGGTTAATGTCATTATCAATCACCTGGCCATTAATTAGTTTTTAAGCATCTCTTAAAAATAGTGTCTCAGTTTAGAAATATATCATCTGGACTGTTCACTCTCCATGCAAAGGACACAAATATGTGCTTCTGGGAACACGGAGTAGCCAGCTTTGCTTCATCCTGACATCTGAGTCTCACCAATGTGAGGACAGTCTACTGCCTATGAGATAATGGTTCCTGATTCCCAGCAGACATGCAAGCGGCTTCTCCGATTGACTCTCAGGTGACTGCATCTGGGGCTTAGTGCCAGGCTTGGCTTCAGCTGTGGCATGGATAGCTGGTTGTCGCAAGCAAGTAGCTTGTCCATACCACACAGAGGGAAATGTCTCCTAAGAGAAACCTCTCCACTTACCATGGCAAGCAGAAACACCCTTCCGTGGAGTGGTGAACCCAGCATCTAAAATGCAAAAAAGAAATGATACAAGCTAGGCTTCTGCAACTTTCTTCAGATAGTCAACCTGCGATAGCCATTTTCTGGGGAAATGTTTTGTTTCCTAACTAAGCACGTATCATACATGACCTAGCTACCTCCTTCCTACTGCTTGTATTCAGGGAAAAATGACTTCTCTCTTCTCACTCATTTGTGACAAAGGGCACAAGAACTGTCTCCAGGAAGTCAAGACATAAAGGTTTGGACACTTTAGAAGTCTAATTCAGGATTTCACTACTTGTTGAATTTTGTTGCACTACATTATGATTTTCTGCTCACTCATCTATATTCTACTCTAGAACGTAAGTGTCACAGACTTGGCGACCATATTTAACTCCTTCATGGTGGTATGTATCACCAGTATAGGTGACACCACCTGAAGCACAGTAAATATGTTTCCAATAAATATCTGATGAAGATATAAATAAAAGAATGAATAGCCAACAACAAATCAACTCTAGTTGGACCAGATGATCATTAGATCTACCACCTTGACTCCAATAGTATAGCTAAATATTGGACATCTACATTTTATGGTAGATAGGCTTGGAATTTCTCAGCAGTCAGAGACTTAGGCTAAAGTCTAAGTATCATTCTTTCTGAATCGGGCTTAGTTAATTGTCTATATGATTGAATATGTAAACCATTTATAAAATACTTTACCAGTTACATTATGTAAAAGCATGTGGAAAGCACCATTCAAAAATGTCCCTGCCTGCGAGTTTTCCTCTCAAGCTCCTGAGAAGAAGCAGAAAAGGAAAGGACTGAACTGTGGCCATGACTTTGGCTACCAGCTTGACTGCAAGTTCTATCAGCCTCCAGAATCTGTACACCATCAGAGCCCTGAAAGCTCTCCTTCTTCTTCAGGCCTCCTTCAGTACTCATTAAGCCATTTGCTTATATCTCCCACTTCTGCAATTAAACATCAAAAGGAAACTACTGTGTTTGACCAATACTAAGAAACCAGGTTCTCTAAGGGGATCTGAGAGTGAGATGAAAGGAGACGGTAGATTCTGAATTACTGGATCCAGAACTCAAAGCAAATTGAGTCACAACTTCTTATTTTACAAAATGAAAAAAAAATATGTATATGTATATATGTATACTGCTTACCTTGTATAAAGTTAAGTATTGGTAAAAGTGGTTTTTTTTGTTTTGTTTTTGCTGGTCCTGGGGCTTGAACTCAGGACCTGGGCACTATCCCTGAACCTCTTTGTACTCAAGGCTAGCGCTCTACCACTTGAGCCACAGCACACTTTTGGCCTTTTCTGAGTAGTTTATTGGAGATAAGAGTCTCACTAACTTTCTTGCCCAGGCTGGCTTCAAACTGTGATCCTCAAATCTTAGTCTCCTGAGAGATTACAAGTGTGAGTCACCTGTAATAGCTGGCAAAAGCTATTTGTTTTCTTCATTTGTCTTTATATATATATATATATATATATATATATATATATATATATGTTTTTTATTGTAAAAATACTATACAGAGGGGTTACAATTACATGAGTAAGGTAATGAGTACATTTTCTATCAAGCATTGTTACCCCCTCCTTTGTTTTTCCCCAAACATCCCTTTCCTTCCCACCTCCACAAGTCCTCCTCCCCCCGAAGTTGTAAAGTTTATTTTCAACACAGTGTCTTGTATATCTCATTGTTACAATTGGTCAACTTGTATCCTTATTTTAGCATTTAGCATTGTTATTTTCCTTTCCCTCCCCAAATTATAAAAGTGTATATACAAGATGCATGACACTGGCATCAAATACAGTGAAAACAGGGATTATACCATGGGGGGAAGAACATACAAAAGAAACAAAGAAATCACATAATACATTATAAATATGTTAAAAACAAAGAAATCACATAATACATTATAAATATGTTAAAAACAATAGCAAGAAAGATGAAAATACTTGTGTCCCTATCTTGGGGTTCATTTCATTTAATATCATCTTATATGGTCATATGCACACAGGTATTTTTTTTTTTTTTTTCATCAGAGGAAACTTTGTTCTTTATCCATAACTTTTTTTTTTTTTTTTTTTTTTTTTGCTGGTAAACTGAATTTATTTATTTTTTTTTTTTTTTTTATTGTAAAGCTACTATACAGAGGGTCACAGTTACATGAGTGAGGTTATGAGTACACTTCCTCTTGAACATTGTTACCCCCTCCATTGTTTTCCCCCTACCATCCCCTCCCTCCCTCCCTTCCCCGAGGTTCTTTTTTTTTTTTTTTTTTTTGATTGTGATTAAATGATTACATAATTTCAAAGTCACAAGTTCATTCTAACTTCCCTGGAGCAAATTGTCTACCACAGTCTGTAATATATAACAGTGTTCACATGTTATATACCATATTTGTGATCAGCAGCATGAGGATATTTAGTAGTGGTTCAACCAGATGAGCGGGAGTTCTTTGTTTCTTAAGTCCTGTTAGTTTTGTCGTATCACTAACCTTTTGGATTTAGCATCCACTTATGAGGGAGACCATGTACCGTTTGTCTCTTCGTTCTTGGCTTACCTCGCTCAACATGATTCCTTCTAGCTCCATCCATTTCCCTGCAAATGCCATTATTTTGTCATTTCTAATGGCTGCATAATATTCCATTGTGTATAGATACCACAATTTTTGGATCCATTCATCTGTGGTGGGGCACCTAGGTTGTTTCCATATCCTAGCTATTGCGAACAGTGCTGCAATAAACATGGAGGTGCACGTGTCCTTGTATATTGGTTCCTGTTGTTCAGGGTAGATGCCTAGAAGGCACACAGGTATTTTTAAGCTGACTTTTTCTTCCATATAACTTGCCTGGGTGCTGTCCCTCAGCTCTTCAGCTCAAGGCTAGCACTCTACCACTTGAGCCACAGCGCCACTTCTGGCTTTTTCTGTTTATGTGGTGCTGAGGAATTGAACCCAGGCCTCATTCATGCATGCCAGGCAAGCACTCTACCACTGAGCCACCTTCCCAGCCTGGGATACATTCTTGTATTTCACTCTGGATGTTTTGGTTTGAGATGAGTTCAGATGACTTCCATGAATCAGATTAGATGAGCTCTATGACTTCAGCCCATGTACTAGCACTTCCACATTCACATCCCTCGCTCCTGGGTCTACCCCAGTGTCTCCCTTGTTAAAATGCCCTTGGCCCTTGTAATCATTTAAAAAAATAAGAAGTTATATATGCCCAATCCACTTTCTAAAATATATGATTTTCAGCTCATACTGAAGAAATTATTCCAATTGGGGACAATCACTGAGCCCCAACTCCTAACATGGCTTTGTGTTCCCCACCCCCCACACAAAAAGCTCCTTCTGAAAAGAGGTAACAATTCAATGAACTCTATAGGCCACAGGGTAACTAGCTTTGCCACATTTTAGGATTCTTAGACTCTAGTACATTAGTTGCATATTGTATGACATTGTTCTTAGAGGGACTTCTTTTAAACTAGAGACTCAGAAGGCCAAATCAGCAAGGACTGGTGAGGCTGCATTAGTGTAATAACATCAGAGTAAATTTAAGGGCCTTTCCACAAACCTTTGAGGAATTGTGACGCCGATGGTGTGACAACATCAGAAATAGAAACCCTAGTTCTAAAAATGATATAGCTAGGGTGGAGCTTGAGGTAGGCAAACACAGACAGGATCAGATTTAAAACGGTTATTTTTTTAAAGGGCCCCATCAGGACTCATGTATCTTATCTATTAGTTGCCAGAAATTATACACTAAGTTTTGAGCAAAGTCAAACATCTCCTGTCCAAAGTTTGAAGATGTTGTCTTTTGTCCAGCCCTCACACTGACTTCCATTACAACTTATACCAAGTTTCAATAGTGTCTTAGTTTGCAGAGTATGTGGAGAACATCCACTGACAGAGTATTCTTCCTGGCCAGAAGTTAGAGGAATGAGGTTGAACAGTGTCTTACCTGGGTGTTCTCTGCTTCGTGTTTTGGAACCTCAGATTCCACGGTGTCTCTTGAGTGTTCTGCTGACACCTAAGATTCAACATATCATAATGGACCAAGTCTTTCCTCTCCAGACCATACTCCTCAGATCGCCTTTGTGTTCCCAAATATCCAGGAATTCTCACCATAACCCTAAGGAAGGTTATAGGGACAGGGAGAGGCCTAAACTCCTCAACTGACATTGCCTGTGTACCACAGTAAGCAACAGATACAGAAAACCCAGAGACAGAGAACACAGAATTAAAGGGGAGGAAAGCAATTAAAGAGATAAATTAGGTTTTTTGTTTGGGTAGGTAGGAATTACTATCTTTTCATTTGCTGGATATTGGGAGTATAAAGAAAAAGTAACTAGCAAACACTGCTTACTTTGAGCCAGTCATTTTACGTGATATAGTTCATTTAATCCCAGAAAAAAATCCATGAACTTGGTATTTTCATCCTATTGTTTACCAATAAGGAAACTGAGGCCAGAATTACTAAGCAAGTTTTCTGAGGATGTACAACCATCAAGAGAGAGACTGCATTTTCCTCAGGTAGATTCTTCCTTCTGAGACACAGACTACATCTCAGAACAGCGTAAGTGTCCTTCTGTCCTATGGAGGTATTTTCCCAGCATTTGTGTTGAGAGAAATGGAAGTGGGTGGGATGAGTGGATGATGACTGCGTAAAGTTGAAAATCATATCAAAATCAATACAAGCCTCTTGAACATATCAAAAGAACCATTTAAATCATGATAGAGGGACTGAGAATATGGCATAGTGGTAGAGTGCTTGCCTGTCCTGTATGAAGCCCTCAGTTCGATTCCTCAGTACCACAGAAACAGAAAAAGCCAGAAGTGGCGCTGTGGCTCAGGTGGTTGAGTCCTATCCTTGAGCAAATGAAGCTCAAGGGCAGTGTGCAGACCCTGAGTTCAAGCTCTAGGACTGGCAAAAAAAAAAAAAAAAATGGTGGAAATGATGGTGCTGAAACACTGATAGATTGTTTGGAAAAAAAATTCTATCTGGCACTAACTAAAGAATATATATGATCAGGAAGTGGCGCTGTAGCTCAAGTGGTAGAGCGCTCGCCTTGAGCTGAAGAGCTGAGGGACAGCGCCCAGGCCCAGAGTTCAAGCCCCACGACCGACAAAAAAAAAAAAAAAAAAAAAAAAGAATATATATGATCAATAAGAGAATAAAAATGATACAAAAAGTGTGTGTTTGTCTTATTTTGGGATGAGGAAAGAATTTCATAAATGCAATGACAGAACCCTAAATGCTTTCTAGATTTACATTGTCTTTAAAATATAACAAAACATAAAACTATAAATATCCAGATGGCCTAAGATACACAGACTAGAAAACTGACTTTTAAAACATTTAGAAGACAGGTCTAATTTCTTCAAAGTACAAATAGCTTTTACTATCAGTATGACAAAATAGATTAAAGCTTAATAGAAAAATGGGCAAAAGACACTTCTGGCACTTCACAGACAAAGAAAGATAAATGGTTGATAAATACATAATATAAAATAACAATGATGAATTTGATACTTAGTTCTAAACTAATTGCCAGTTTAGGTCATTATCTTATGTTTATGCCATTTTTATAATGAATACACTAATACTAGAACCTTGCCCTCCATGGCAAATTCTGAAAAACAAAACTGCATACACGATATCCATCACTATTTTCTCATTTACACTGTAATTATGCTGTATTTTTCACCTCAAGATGGTTCTTTCGCTGGGTGCCAGTGGTTCACACCTGTAATACTAGCTACTCAGAGGCTGAGATATGAGGATCACAGCTCAAAACCAACCTGGGCAGGAAAGTCTGTGAGACTTGTATCTTCAATTAACCAGCAGAAAGCCAGAAGTGGCCCTGTGGCTCGAGTGGTAGAGGGCTTGCCTCGAACTGAAAAGCTCAGGGACAGCTCTCAGGCCCCACAACCAACCAAAAAGAAAAAGAAAAAAGATGGTTCTTAGTTTCCAATCATCTAATGTCTATCAAGTGCCTGAAGTCTTCCAGAAATAGCATTAGAAACCAGGGATGAATCATGATACAGTGGACAAACAGTAACAAACAGTCCCTATATTTGAAAAACTCCCATCTGGACTTAAAAAATGGTGATTTATAATCCTGCAGGAGAATGCCAGAATAAACTAGTAATGAGCTGTGGGGATCTAGAACACTCAGACAATGCCAATTCCCAGAAAGGAACAGGGAATATGTCTTAGTATACCCAGGTCTTCTTTTGGTAAGTGACATGTTGGGCAAACCCATTATTCTACTTTATAGTGGCAAGATCCAAGACACACGGAACCAAACATAGCCTTTAAAGACCTCTGATGAACCCATTCTCCCTAGATCACCTCATGTACACTCTAGACAGTCCCTTAGTTTTGATGGTTCTTATTTTTATCATGATGGTTTTGATGTGAATGAAAATGGTAGTCAAAGAAAATGAAAATATCTATTAATTATTGAACTCTTCTATGTGTCAAGCACTATATTAGCACCATGCAATTTTGGATATTGTGAGGTAAGGATTTTCCTATTATTTCCATTGAAAGCCAAGAAACTAAGCTTTGTCACTTTAAGGAACATGAAAGTGAGTCTCAAGCTCTTCAAACCTCTTCTTACTTGGTTTTCAGTGCTCAGGAGTGTGCACTGCATGAAGCTTCAGAGAGGCAGGCCCCATGCTCTTCATTTTGAACTTAAGATAGCAACTAAAAGGTTGTATCTTTGAACGTGTGGTAGAACATCATCTTTCCAGGCTGAATGGAGATCCACTTTTAGATGGATGCTTATTTCAGAGACTGACCCCCTCCTACTTAATAAAGGGGAGTCTTCCCATAGCTCAGCTTCTCTTCACAAGTGGCTCACTGAGATTCTAGGCAAAGGGCAACACCTAGAAGGAATTTCTTGGCATGTCTGTCATGTAGAAGGCACTGAATTCTTGCCAAGTTCTTTACTTCTTTTACCCCTAGGAATAACACTGCCTCCCCCCTCCCCCTTTTATGCGCCTTTGCCCTTTCCTCCGGCCTAGCGGGGAGTATAGACTCACCTGTCTCCCCTCTGCAGATTGTTCCCCATCCTGGCAGTCCTACCACTTCCTTCTTTGTGCCTTCTCCTCTGACAGGCAGCTCCAGACTTGGAGAAGCGGCTGTGTAGCTCTGGCCTCTTGTACCCAGAGCTGAAAGGAGAAGGGTATCAGCAGAGGGAGGAAGAGGCTGGGGAGGAGCATTGGAGGCACACATGTGAAGAATGCCATAAAGGTCTCAGTCTTTGGGCACTGGGCTATTTAGCCATTACAGCGAACCTGCTGGTCACCGAGAGCTCTAAGCCCTGGGGAACCCCAGACTACAATTCCAAATGGCTCATGGAAGTGTTCCCACATGACAAACCTACATTTATTAAATCACCTTGTTCTTGAAAAGTCCCAAGGGGAACTTTGTTTCCAAGAGAAAAGGGAGACAGCAAAGAGTTAAGCCACAGACTAAAAATAGAATGTATAAAGGACTTTTGAAACCCACTTGTGAGAAAAAAAACACCTAACAAAGAAATGGGTAAAATATTTGACTCTTTACTAAAGCCACTATAAGGCAATAAATAAATATGTGAAAAGGTATCACAAGATACCTTTATACAGAATGGTTAACGTTTGCAGCAAAAACAGACGGCAAATTCCAAGTGATTACAATGAATGCAGAAAACTAGTAACTAGTCATTGACACTGGTAATGTAAAATGACACAGTCTTTTGGGAAACCAATCTGGCGGTTTTATGTACAGTCAGAGATAGGCTTCTCATACAGGCCAGCAATCCCTCTTGAAGGCATTTATCCAATACCTGAATAGCTGACCAAGCCATGCCGCATCCATGCTGACCAACAGTAATAAAGAGCTAATGCATGCATGAACTTGGATGAATTCCAAGTGCATTATGCCAAGTGAAAGAAGCTAGGTTTAAAATTAACCTTTTGTGACTTTTAGGATAAAGCAAAACCATAAAGAGAAAAAACATATGAGTGTTTGGCAGGAGCAAGTTGTGGGAGAGGACCAGACTTTCAAAGGGAAGAAGGGAATTTGTAGGGTACTTTTCCCTTGGTTGTAGTAGTGATTGCCTGTCCTCATCAACCATAGAACTTTAGTCTACAAAGGGTGGGTTACCTTCATTTTGATTATATTTCAATAGGCAAGAGGTTAAAAATGAAATGAATCTAGAGACAAGAATCATGGAATGTTTTATCATTATTATGTGACCATTATTTGTAGTTTGGTTACTCATTTGTTCAGTATCTTCTCTCCTTCCCTCCCCTCCTCTTTCTCTCTCTTTCTTTCTTTTTCTTTTCTTTCTTTCTTTCCTTCCTTCCTTCTTTCTTTTTTTCTTTCTTTCTTTCTTTCCTTCTTTCTTCCTTTCTTTTTTTCTCTCTCTCTTTCTCTGTCTTTCCTTCTTCCTCCCTCCCTCCTTCCTTCTCTCCTTCCTTTCTTTACTACTACTACTACTACTACTACTACTATTACTGGTCTTGGGGCTTAAACTCAGGGTCTGGGCATTGTCCCTAAGCTTTGGTGCTCAAGGCTAGCTCTCTACCACTTGAGCCACAGTGCTACTTCTGCTTTTTCTGAGTAGTTTATTGGAGAGAACAATCTCATGACGTTCCTTCCTGGACTGGCTTTGAACCACAGTCTTCAGATCTCAGACTCCTGAGTAGCTATGAGTACAGGCATGAGCCACCAAGGCCTGACTTACTTACTTACTTTCTTTCTTTCTCTTTCTTTCTTTCTTTCCTTCCTTCCTTCCTTCTTTCCTTCCTTCCTTCCTTCCTTCCTTCCTTCCTTCCTTCCTTCCTTCCTTCCTTCCTTCCTTCCTTCCTTCCTTCCTTCCTTCCTTCCTTCCTTCCTTCCTTCCTTCCTTCCTTCCTTCCTTCCTTTTGACAGGATCCTTTCTTCCTTCCTTTCTTTTGACACTACTGTGGTTTGATTTTAGTGTGCTCACACTCTATTGCTTGACCTACCTTTTCTTTTTGCTTTAGTTATTTTCTGAATAGGACCAGCCTTGTACCATAATCCTCCAATTACAACTTTTCACATAGATAGGTTTTCAGGTACAAACCACTATGCTCAGCTTGTTTGTTGAGATGGAGACTCACTAGTTTTTGACTCAAACCCAATCTCTACCTTCCAATCAGCTAAGATTGTAGGTAGGCACCACCACACCTAACCCTTAAGGTATTTTTTTTTATGTACAGAAAATCTGAGATAACAACCAATAATCTGCTATTTTGCTGTGAAGAAAATATATGTGTGTGTGACAGAGAAAGAGACAGAGACAGAGGAGAGAAAGATTGGAAAGGGTAGAGTCTTGATATATTTGTGTTGCTAACCTTTCTCTTCTTTATTACCTTCAAGAAAAAGTGAAATAAAGAATCTATTCAATCTAAATGTTGCCCTCTTTCCATCCCCAGTCCAAGGGCTTGAATCCTTTTGTGCTCCCAGAGATAAGCAGCAGGGAACTTGAGTTTCTTACTACTGGGGAGCCGACAGAAAATAGACAACAAGAAACTTACCTGGGAATGGATAGAGCATTGCTTATGGCTTCATTAGTGTGAACTGTGGTAGCACAGACAGTGTAAGACAACAACCAGTGAATGGAAGGAGCAGCGTGAGCAGACAGCCTGGATGCTGCCCCAGGGGTGGCTTCATTATCTTGAATGTCATCCAAAGGCTTCGCTGAGCCCAGAGAGCCAGTGTAAGAGATGGGAAGTTTGCAAGTCAATCAGCCCACGGTTATTCTGGGTATTGCTTCTTACTTTTCATTCAGACCACTAGATGGAGAAGGTGAGCTGTGGAAATGTGAGCCACTGTCATGAAAAATGTCTTGATTTCACAAGGTCACTGAAAAGAAGATATTTATTGTGCAATTTATTGCAGTGCAACAGTATCTGGACTAAACTGCCATCTCTCAACAGATGAAAGTATCCTAACACATACCCACACCAAAGAGCTAAAATAACACATCTTTAAATTATAATAGAAATTAGAGCTATGTGGATTGATTTGAAAAGCCTTGGGCTTCTGTGAGCAGATGTTGGTGAATTCACAAGCTGTTTGGGTTAAGATATTTAAACTTACTTTCCTACTGTTTGACATTACTGTGGGGGAGTCTACATCTGTACTAGAAGATAAACTGAATCAGAATAACCATTTGTTAAGAGCTTTCTAATAATCAAGGCTCTCTTACAAATGCCTTAGATGAAATTTCTGGGTTTTTTTTTTTTCATGTAAAAATTATATAAATGAGAGGCCCAGGGTCATAGACTTGCTCAATGACATAAGATATACATTGAAACAAGTTATGAGCTTTATCTGTTTATTGTTTTATTTAATAAGAACTTGTTCAAAGACCAACTTGACTTTGGATCCTCATCTATGTCTTGCTACTGTGTTAGCAAGATGCAATATCTGTGTATGTTTAGAGGATGTCATGGCTTCCCAAATCTAAAGTGATTTTGAGATTCTTGGCTGACATCGGCTACCAAGGCAGGTTAAAATCCTTTTATGCAAGAGTAATTCTAAAGGCTAAAATCTGAGAATGACAGTTCGAAGCCAGCCTGGGCAGGAAAAGTCTGTGAGCCCCTTACCTCCAATTAACCACCAGAAAACCAGAAGTAGAGCTGTGGATGAAAGTAACAGGGTACTAGTCTTGATTTAAAAAGCTCAGAGACAGTGGTCAGACTGAGTTCAAGCCCCACAATCAAAAAGAGAGAGAGAAAAAAGAAAAACAAAAACAAGTTTTCATTTATTTGCCAGGCACCAGTGGCTCATACCTGGAATCTTATCTACTCAGAAGGCTGAGATGCGAGGATCACAGTTCAAAGCTAACCTAAGCAGGAAAGTCGGAGACCCTTTTATGTCCAATTAAGTATCAAAATCCCTGGAAGTGGAGCTATTGCTCAAATGGTAGAGCACTACCCTTGGGGGGGCAGGGTTGAGGTGGGGGAAGATCAGGAATAGCACCCAGGCCCTACATTCAAGCCCTAGAACTGGCAATAAATAAATTAATTAAAAAAAGAGTAATTCTAAGAAGCAACTTTGATTTCAAAGACTTGGACATGGTCACGCCAGCCCGTTCACTTTTGAACTACTGGAAAACCATTTTGGAGTGTTGTGTAATAACAGAAGAACTGTACTTTAAAATTTTCTGGAAGAAAGAGCTTAAATAATAGCTATGAGTTCCTTATTTCCTTCCAAAAGAAATTGAAGATTGTTGGGAACAGCTTGAATGGTTTGAGGGTGACTACCAGATCCTTCATGTGCAGACAATGAGCTATTAGCAGTCCTGCTGATGTCAGAGTTGTGTGTCTGAGAGCCATAACTACTGCTAATAGTCGCCCCTAGTTATTTTTTTTAAAGACATCACAACTGAGTTCCAGAAACTTTGAAGATGAGTTTGAGTCTAGGCTTTATTACTCAGATGAAGGAATCTTAGCCTAGTTTGCCAAGAACAATGATAACCTGAAAGGTTATTCTCATTGACTGGAAACAGAATGGGTCTTTGCACAGCTCTCTGAGATATCCTTGTAGATGGAACTGGTAGGAGGGAAGCCCAGGTCTCACTGTGGATGTTGGATCCTTCAGGAGAATGAAACTTATAAACTTTCCTAAGAAGTTAGATGTTAAATATCTACAGGAAAAAAGAAAACAGATGTAAGCTAAATTTTTTAAGCGAAACTTAAAAAATGTTAAGGGTCAAAGGATTAAAGAAAGCTTTTAATTTAAAACATTTAAAAGCAAGCCAGGCACTGATGGCTCATGCCAATAATCCTAGCTACTAAGGAAGCCGAGATCTAAGGATCGTAGTTAAAAGCCAGCCCAGGCAGGAAAGTCGATAGGACTCTTATTTCCAATAAACTACTCAGAAAAAAGTCAGAAGTGGCACTCCAGCTCTAGCTTTAAGCAAAAGCAGCTCAGGGACAGAGCCCAGGCCCAGAGTTCAATCCTCAGGACCAGCAGAGTGGATTGCATGCTAGGCATTATCAGCAAATAAGTGCGTTACCTCTGGGGGTCCAATGGGAGATCAAGTGCCTCCTCAGGCCAAAGACTATAGATTCTATCCATTCCAGAAAATGTGGAGCTCTGGGTAACACAACCTCCCATTTTCTGCCAGGTGGGAATATCCACCATACATGATCCCAGGATTATTTAATTCTTTGTTGGTTTGTGCAGGGAGATATTGATATTCCCATCTACAATCTTGGCTAGACAGGGACAAAAACTAATACTACAGAATGAATAATTTTTTTCACTGGCTTGGATTTCCAAAAGGAAATCTAGACAATCTAAATGAGTCTTCAGAGGATTGAAATCTCAATGTCATCCTATCAGTGGCTGACCAATTTATCTCAGTTCACCAAGCTTCGTTATTCTATCTGCAAAAGCCAGTGAGAACAAAACAGACTAGTGCTTGATGCGTGACATGCTCCCTGCAGATGACAAATGCTATTTCTGGAGGTCACTTGCCTCTTCAGTGCCTTTGCATTGCTCATCTGTCTTCACCATCTCCTGCATTCTGCTGGGGCATCGCTTATCTGCTTGATAAAGTTAGAGGCACAGTTCTGGATGTTATTTGTGCAGTTCCTTCTTCCCAATATTTTTGGGAGTGAATTTACCCTTAGAAATCCTGCATCTCAGTTATGCATCAAACGTAATGGTAAATGCCTGCATTATTTGGTCTTACTGCTCAGAGGGTAAAGCAAGCAACCTGTTCTCCTATGTATGAGAAAAAGTGTCTTTTCTATCAAAGTAGAGAGAATGGTTTTCCTGAAGTGTTCCTGCTTTGGCCATCTGGCTTGGTCCTGAATTATGTCTTAGTTGCATATATGCTTTTCCTGAGCACTTTAAGCCATCCTGTTAAAAGCTCCTTGAATTTTAACTACATCCTGTTAATTAAACCACATCCTTTTGCAGATTGTGAACCTGAGTTCAGCCAATGTGAGCAGAAGGGCAGGGCATGCTGGGCTAAGGATTAAACCTGCCTGTTCTGTGCACTTGCTTGCCAGATTTTTGGCTGGTGGTGCACCTTTTTGCAGAAGTAAAATTTGCCTTGCTGAGTTCCTTTCGAGTCAGTGTCTTTATCCTAAGCGATACCACAACACCCTGAGTTATTTCTGACATATGCCAGCTTGGTCAGTAATACAGGTGAGTGTGTTGTGTATGTGTGTGCACTAATCTCTAAACACCTTGCTCCTTTGTATAGTTTCTCAATGGGTTCAGAGCTCAGGCCCAGGCTACTCATTAAAGAGATCCCAGATCATTCACATCCTGTAACAGCTGCCATGTCATTGCCATTGGGAAAAAAATGTGATTGAAGTTAATTGAGGGAAAATTGGTAGTGACTTTTCCCAAAGAAGCAAACCACATTGTGTTTTCCACAAGAGCAACTTGGTGACTGAAGTCTATATTTGGATCTACAATCACTTGTTTGACACAGCAATCAGAATTTACATCTCCCAAGGATATCCTGATTTTGAAGACATCTATTTCACTTTCTATTTTTCTTCATGAATTTATTTAGTTTGTCATACTGGACAAAATATAGTGTGATCATTTACTTATAAATCTATACTCTGGGAGCTGCTGGCTCTGAGATTTTCCACAAATTACTCAAGCTCACCGATTTCTTCATTAATTAATTCTATCTATTATGATTGTTATGATCGAATGAGTTCGGAACTATGTAGTAGGTAGTGTGTCAGATCCCTAGGCATACAGAAAGCAAACTCTGGCTGTTAACCATGAAGACTACTTTCTAAGATTATCGCAGGCATTTATTTTTATGAAGATAGTGATGAACAGAACAGGGACTGGACATTCATTTAGGCCTCGCTTATGTGGTTTCAGTCTGTGACAGTTTAATATTCTTGACAATTACAACTCTCTAGAGTGTTTCCAAGATGAGTAAGGTAGGATGAGTGGCAAAAGAATCAATGCTTGGGTCAAGGGCATGTTTAAACCACATTTGATTGGTATTTTATTATTCATGAGATGAATCAAATCACTATTGCTCCAAGAGCAATGTGCAAACTATCTGGATGACAGACTTATTTGTTGCCTTCTATGACTAAAATTGACTTAAAGATTTCTTGAGATGCTTGGATATTTAAAAATAGTTGCTTAAATCAAAGACATTTTTGGAGAAAGATACTTGTTTTGAACTGGCTGTTCAGAAAGTCCAGTCTTCTTTCCTATATGGCTTCAAGAGCATCTTCTTAGGGTGCCACTAGATATTCCTTCTTGTTCATTAATAGGAATGTGTTTCACCTTCAGGAGGCCTCTGCCCATAGCAGCACCAACACTGGGTTTAGTTTTCAGGATTCTTGTCAACCATTCCTAACAGAAGTAAGAGGGAGAAAAAAGAACAGAAAACAAGAATTTAGAGAGCTTTGGAATCTTTACTTTTTCTTTCTTTCTTTCTCTCTCTCTCTCTCTCTCTCTCTATTCTTTTTTCTTTCTTTTTTTTTTTTTTTTGTTGGTCATAGGGCTTGAACTCTGGGCCTGAGTGCTGTCCCTGAGCTTTTTTGCTCAAGATTAGCTCTCTACCACTTTGAGCCACAGCGCCACTTCTGGTTTTCTAGTGGTTCTTTGGAGAAAAGTCTCACAGACTTGCCTGCCCAGGCTGGCTTTGAGTTGTGATCATCAGATCTGAATAGAGAGGATTACAGGTACAAGCCACCAGTGCTCAGCTTTTTGGGATCTTTTAACACTGCCTTACAGTCCAGAATAGGAGATTGCACAGACTCAGCTCCACTTCCACCTGAAGCATCTTCTGGGAATTGAGTCAGAGCCCTGGAAGCCAGTAGGGCTCCTGAGCTGTATAGTTTATGGGTATCACAAAGAGCATTTCCCATCTAGGGAAATACTGGCTTTGGGCTAATACCACTCAGGAGCTCAGGTCAGGCTCCACCCACACATAAGAGGGCTGAAAAAGGTGGGGGAAAGGATAACGCTCAAAATGTGTATTTCAATAATTGTGTCATATTTCAGTAATCTCAAATCATCATTAGGTTTCTTTATAAAGTTAATAGAACCACACAAAATAAGTGAGTAAAACCACCTCTACTCTCACTTTTCTATCTGCACAGTAATTTTTCATATTAAGAGTATCATTACAAGTCCTGTTTTCCTCTTTATATTTTTTGTCAGACTACATTGCCAGCTTGCTTAACAGTTGTGTGATAGGTTCTGTCTCAGATGTTCTATCGTGAAATTATGTATACTTTCATCAGACTCTTTAATTTTTCATTTCTTCTGCATTAGAAATAAGCTCATTGAACACTAGTTGCTCACACATACAATCCTGGCTATGCAAAACACTGAGATATGAAGATCTTGGCTCAAAGCCAGCCAAGGCAGACAAATTCAAGAGACTTTTTACTACTAGTTAACCACAAAAAGCCAGAAGAAGAGGATCTTGGCTCAAAGCCAGTCCAGGCAGACAAATTCAAGAGACTTTTACCACTAGTTAAACCACAAAAAGCCAGAAGAGGAGGAATGGCTCAAGTAGTAGAGTACCAGCTGTGAGGAGAAAAAAAAAAAACAAGAAAGAGCTCGAGACCTTCAGTTTAAGCTTTGGTAATGGTGCACACACGCACACATACACCTTAAGCATTGCATATAAAATTTTGGATTATTAGTTTTAGATTGATTCTCAGAAGCAGAATCACCAAGTCAAACTTACGTGAGCATTTATATTACTTGTTACAAATTACTTTTAGTCATCGAAATAGCAGCAATAGGGGCTGGGAAGGTGGCTCAGTGGTAGCGCGCTTGCCTTGCATGCCTGAGGCCCTGGGTTCTATTCCTCAGCACCACATAAGCAAAAAGAAAAACGCCGGATGTGGTGCTGTGGCTCAAGTGGTAGAGCTCTAGCCTTGAGCTGAAGAGCTGAGGGACAGCACCCAGGCCCAGAGTTCAGGCCCCACGACCGGACCAAAAAAAAAAAAAAAAAACCAGCAACACTATCAGCAAAATATGGGAAAACCAGTATTACTCAATTTTCATTCATTTGAAAGGAAACCAACTGCATCATCAATAAATTTTTGTTTACTTCAAAAAGTAAATGCTTGGGACTGGGAAGGTGGCTCAGTGGTAGAGTGTTTGCCTTGCATGCATGAAGTCCTGGGTTTGATTCCTCAGCACCACATAAGCAGAAAAAGCCAAGAGTGATGCTGTGGCTCAAGTGGTAGAGCACTTGCCTTGAGCTGAAGAGCTGAGGGACAGCACCCAGGCCCAGAGTTCAGGCCCCACAACTGACCAAAAAAAAAATCTCTCAAATTTTAATTTTTATATCTGCATAAAGAGAAGCTTTCTACTCCTATGCTTATCCTTTCCACTCCAGTGATATGTTTATCTGTTGTTTAACATGTTTAATATTGTTTTTATTATTATTGCATTTATAAAATATTTAGTTTTAATACTACTTTGATCATTATTCATGTTTATTCTTATAGACACAATCTAAAAATTTCTAAAGATAACTGTGGTTACTCTTATGCTGGCTTAACTTATTAGCTATTACAGTGGTCAGTATTGGTTACTAGCATGACTGGATTGAAAGATGTTTAGGAGATTAGTAAAATGCCCTCCTGGTGTGTATCTAGAAAGATGATTTTTAGTTGACTGATTTGACTTATAAATGGTTCAAACCCAATGATAGTTTCAATAAGCTATAGGTAGGTGGTGGAACTGTAGAGGTAGTACCTTGTGGGGGAAGTAGGTCATTTGATCTAATGTAGGTCAGTGTCTTTGAAGGGTATACCTTGCCTTGACCTCTTCCTTTTTCACTGATTCCTGGCCACCATGAAGCAGGCACCACTTGCCACCAATGGCTTCTACCACTGTGATGCTCTGCTTTACCAGGAGCCCATGGCTGAGAGACAAGCAAGTCAAGGGTTGGAACCCCTGAAATCCCAAAATGAAATTCCTTCCTTGAAGTGGTTTCCACCAGGTATTTGTTATGACAATGAAAACTCTTACCACAGATAAAACAGTGGCCTTTAAATGATTTCTCAATACTCTAGCAGAATGCATACACCTGTTTCTAAGCATGAAGGGAGAGAAAGTTTTCACATTGCCTAAATAAATCCTACTCACCTATTAATGTTGATTCCAGAGAAAGTTTCTGTGATGATATATACTTTCTAGGGCTTAGTTTGGATTTTTTCATATTAATTGATGTTTGAATAATCATTACTTTCGTAAAATTCTCAATTCCTTGTATCTGAAAGTTGATAGAATGCAAAGTTATTTCTGAGCACATGTCACACAATTAAATGTTTCTATGATAAGGCTGGTATTTCAGGTCCTTTCTAAACATGTAAGAGAAAATTGAAAAGATTGATAAATCAATACAAACAAGACAAAGATACCAAAGTTCCAGAGTGAGTTGATTTTATGGAGGTCAACATTCTGCATACTCTTATGGACTTTAAAAATATTTTGTTGCTCTTCAAATGAAGAGATGATAGACTTATCTATGAGCTTTAAAAATTATTTTAAAAAGTAAATTTAAAAAAATAAAAAAGAACATGGCAGAAAGAAAGTTTAAAAATCTAATGGGCTTCAAAAATTGTCCTTTGTTTCAACTTGAAAAAATACAACATTCTTGAATCACATTGGTATCCAAATGCACAAAGCAAGGCTCTCTCTCTATGTGTGGAGTTGTATAGAGTTGGGCAGATTTCATGCTATTTGAGAATCTCTTGCCTGTCTACGTGACTAGTCACTCCCTAACAGAGCTCGCTACTCTGTGTTCAAAAATAGAAGTATGTAGCTGAAGATTTATCTTGCTAAGCAAGTGAAAAGCCTAGGCTTCAAACAGTACTAACACACACACACACACACACACACACACACACACACACACACACACACACACACACACACACACACACAGGAAAGAAGCACATAGTAAGGAATGTTCTGTTTCCTCTAACTGGTATCACACCAGACTTTAATCTCTTCTTAGGAAATTGTCCTGTAACTGTCTTTACTGTAGTGTTCCTTCTACCTATAACCTCATTTTTCTACTTCCCTTCCCCTGGCTTGCCCTGCATGCCATTATTTTTATTTTAGACTTGGAAAAAAACCCCACCGCATTTCAGAGTCTATTGATTTGAAGCCAGCAGCTGTACAGAGAATAAAAGAAGCAACATTTTGTTACACCTAGGCCTATAGCATCCTCAGGAAGCCCAGAAGGAGACAAAGCATGTTCATGCAGTGTTAAAAGAAGATGAGCAACACATGCAGAGCAAGGGATGGAGGGAAAAAGCACAAATAAAGGACCATTGTTTTTCAATGTGCCAAATGTAGTGTATTACAGAAAGAATGGTTAAAAAATGGAAATAACAATTATATGTACCTGGATGGTCACAGTTAATTGTAGAGCTTGGCTTGTTTCATTGGCTTGGCTATGGAATGCTAAATCAATCAATAAAAGCTGCAGTTGTGTAGGGCTTGAATGTATATGGATAGCATGATGGGATAAAGAAGATAGGGAAGTGGAAAGCATGATCATTTGGGTATTTGTATGTGTGTGTGTGTGCGCGTGCATGCGCATGCATGCACGCATGCACACCTGTGCATGCTAGTGCCAGTATGTGAACTTTTGTTTGGCTTTTTCAATCAACGCTGGCATTCTACCATTTGAGCTACACCTTCATTTCTGGCTTTTTACTGGTTAATTGAAGAGAAGACACTTAAGAGACTTTTCTGCCCGAACTGGCTTTGAACTGCAATCCTTACATCTCAGCCTCTTGAGTAGGTAGGATTACAGTCATGAGCCACCAGTGCCTGGCTAAGGAAAGGCTAATCATTATGACATTTTTTTCTGATGGACATATTGACCTGAAGATAGGAACAAATGTTTCTTTACCTGATGGCATGTTACGGGAATTAGAAATGGAGCCTTATAAATTTTGCGTAACTGACAGTCTTCTACAGTTCCATGTATGAGGATAACGTGGGTTACAGTTTCATCATAGATGTCGGTTCTGGTTGTCTTTGGTATATTTTGTACATATATGTTACAGAGTTTTAATTGCAGCTTGTAGTCCCAGTCCTAAAGAAAAACACAATTTTTTAGTATTTTTTCAGGAAGAGCTTAATTTAAATTTATATCCGTTTGTGACTGCATCTCAATGCAATTTCACTCAGAAATTCCTCTTACTTCGTAGGATAAATGTTCCTTTATTTTTTGGGCAGCAATGCCTAGTCCAATTTTCTGCCACATTTTATCTTGCATTTCAGGAAAAGAATCATTAAAACCTTCATACAAGTGCTGCTTCGGAATAAAGCATGTCTGGAAAGAAGAAGATACAGATTTAGTATTTCAAAATCAAGCTATACCTTAACACTAACAATTTAAGTTCTGTAAAATTTATGCCATGACCTGAAAACATAAAAATGTGTGTATTGATAAATAGCATTTGATCTTGGCATCTACTAAACTGTAAAAGGCCATGTGATCCCTTGAGAAATTCTTTAGTAATCATTATTAAAATTATATATATATATTATAGAATATGTTATTTTGATATATGTATACATTGTGAAATTAAATCAAGCTAAATGACATGCTATCAATCGTATTTTATTAATCTACTTACCATTGTGTATGTTCATTTGTATACAATGTTATTCTATGTTTATATTTATTATTTCACCAACTTACCTTGAAAAAAATTTTTTTTTAGTGGTTCTAGGATTTGAACTCAGGGCCTCACAGCTTTCTCAGGAGGCAATGTCTAGCTGAGTATATCTCCAAAGCCTTTTGTTCCATAGTTATTTTCTTTTGTTTACTGACTGGTTCTGAGTGCAAAACCTGATGATTTCACTTGGCTTCCTTACTCACAGCTGGCCTACCACTTTAAGCACACCTCTACTTTAGCTTCTTGCTAGTTAATTGGGCGTGGAGTCTCTCAGATTTTTCTGCCTGGACTGGCTTCTGATGGTGCTCTTCTAGATCTCAGCTGCCTGAGGAAACTCAGTTGGTTAGTTTTTTAGATAAGGGTTTACTTCCTGCCCAGATACTTGCCTGGATTGTACTCCCTCTCTCAAATGGGATAGCAGGCATATACTAAAATGCTCTGTTAACATGCAATCTCATCAACATTTCTGCCTGGACTGACCTGGAGCAATGATCCTCCCAACTTCCGCCTCCCATGTAGCTAGGATGACAGGTATGCATTCTTGTGTCCATGTATTGGTTGAGAAGGAGTCTCACATGTATGCCTTGGCTAGTCTTCAACTTCAGCCTTGATCTCAGCCTGACCAGTAGCCAGGATTGTATTTGTAAATCACTATCACCTGACTATTAATTTGTGTGTGGGTGTGGGGAAGATATTAAGAATCTATTTGCACTTTTGAAATATATATTATTTGGAGCTGTGGCTGACCTGCAGTGCAATGGGTCCCTAATACTCCAGTCTCACTAAACATTAAGATTTTGATCAGCACTTTCCCTTAACCCCTTCCCCTTGGCTTTCCCTTTCCATTCTCTGTCTGCAAAATTAACTTGGCTTTTTGGATCCCACATAGCTTTTTGTAGTATTTTCCTTTCTTTGCATCACCTTCTTTAGTATAATTTCCTCCAGGTTCATCCATAAGTGAGGAAGAATTTCATTCTTTAGTAAAGCTGAATAATTAGCCTATCATGTGTGCATTAGCCTATCATGTGTGTAATTACTTATCAGTGGATAGACACAGGTAGTTTCCATTTCTTGGCTTGTGAATAGTGCTGAGATAATCTAGGGAATTTTAACATACTAATTTCATTTCCTATGAAAATTTACCTTGTAGTGAGATTGCTAGATTATATGATTTTGTTTTTAATTTTAGAAGAGCCTCCATACTATCTTCTACAGGGCTGCAATAATTTAGATTCCTACAAGTATCTTCATTTTCCCTTTCTCCATATCCTCAGTACTATTTTTCCTCCTCCTACTCCTCCTCCTCCTCCAGCTCCTCCCCCTCCTCCCCCTCCTCCCCCTCCTCCTTCTCCATCTATGTAGTCCAGGCTAAACTCTGACTCATGGTTTTACTACCTTGCTTTCTAAGTCTCGGATTATAGGCTTACACCACCACCATCACCACATTTTGCTTTAAAGACTGCAGTCAGTTTCTTTCAGAGTACACTATTATTATCTATTATCTATCTTCTCTTCCAAGAACTCCTTTTACTGCCATCTCACTCTGCTTAATCAATGAAAAATTCCATTTGACTCTTTCTCTCTATTTGTATATTGTGCTGATGCTTTCTGTCTCTTCTATGTTTATGAGGATATTTTTCCTGTAATTGTTTGAATGTATTTTTATTTATCTCAATAAATTATTCATGTCTTCATTATTATTGGATAACAATAATAAAGGAGATTTCAATTTAACACATTTATTTGTACAATGCCTGTGTACAACATAGAGTAACAATACATCATTTCTCCCTTCATTAAATCAATTTGTTAACAATGGCTTACAGTCTTTAACTACCCAGTCTATATTCAGTCTAAATCACTTTTCTAAGTTCACAACCATTTCCTTGTATGTGGTTTGTTCAAATGAGAACAAATGGATTTGGTTGTAATGACTTTGAAGGTCATCTTTAGTAATTTGCCCTTGTCTTCTTCCTCCTTGGCTCCATAAACTTCTCCCCCATCAATTGCTGATGATAACAGATCATTTGTCCCACGGAATATCATTTATTTTGTGTCATTTAATTTGTATCTCTCCTTGTGTTTTCTGAGAAGTGTTTCAAGCTGGAGACTGAAAAGCTTCAGTTTTTTCCTTCACTTGGGATCTCCTGGGAAGAATTCCTTATCCTTTCTAATTTCAAATTAGGCCAATTGAGAGCCCCTGGTATATTGAGGATTTTATTCCCAATAAATAGAAAATTGTTTTGTTTTTTAAATCTCACTCTCACTGGGCTCCAGTGGATCACATCTGTAATCTTAGCTACTCTGAGATATGAGGATTGAGGTTAGAATCCAGCTGGGTAAGAAAATCCATGAGATTCTTATCTCCAATAAACCAGTCAGAAAAGGTCAGAAGTGGTGCTGAGGCTCAAGAGGTAGAGTGCTAGCCTTGAGCAAAAGAAGCTCAAGGACAGAGCCTAAGCCCTGAGTTCAAGTTCCATGACTGGAAAAAAAAATCACTCTCTCAATCTATTCAATTTTGGCAAAATTATATTAAGTGAACTAAGTCAAACCCAGAAAAACAAAGGTTGCACGGTTTCCCTCATTTGTGACAGCTAGAATGTGCCTATATATCTATAAGTAAACACACTGGATGGTATGAAAGTAGTTACAAATGAATTAACAGACGGATGATACTCTGTGGAGAGCTCAGATATATAATCTTTTAGAAAGACTAGGTCAAGGTCCAACAAAATCAACACCAGAAAATGGGTACATTCAAGGGAAAGGGAAAGAGGAGAGTGAAAGACAATAGAAAGGGTTTGGGGGGATGGAGAATGCAGTCCAGAATTCATTGCATATGTCACAAAACAAAGAAAAGTAAGGTAGGAGCGAGTCAAAGGGGTTGAGAAGGTTGAAGGGGACACTAATCAAGAAGCATTGTATTCGCAAACTGCTTTGTTATATGGCACTTGCTTTGTATAACTACTTAAAGATAATTCAAAGTAAAAAATAATAAAATCTCTTTCTCTTTTTCTCTCTCTCTCATATGCTAGAGTTTGAGCTCTGGGCCTGATGCTTGCTAATCAGGTGCTCTACCACTTGAGCCCCCTAGCCCTTTTTGTTATTCATTTTTGCCCAAGGCTGGCCTTGGACTATGATCTTCCTATTTATTCTCCTGCATAGCTAGGATTGCAGATATGAAGTACCGAAACTAGGTTGTGGATTGAGATGGGTCTTGATAATGTTTTGTGTAAACTGGCCTCAAACCACTATGATCCTTCTGATGGTTTCTCTTTATCTGTGTTTGTTTGTTTGTGTTTTGGTCATGGGGCTTCAAGTTTTCTCTTTTTCTAAGTAGCCAGGCTTACAGGTGTGAGCTAACATGATTGGCCTTATGTCTAGAAAAGGCTTTAAACCGCTGTTCCACTTTCTTATTAGTAATGTCTACATCTGACTTTCCCCCTTCCTTATCTTCCAAATTACAGTCTTAAAATAGTCAATATATCCTACCAAGGTTTACTTCAGAATTGCTCACATAACCGGTTAATCTGGTCAAATGTTACTTTCACTATGCTTAGTTCATTTCTAGAAGCCATTTTTTTTGGCAGAATATTGTGTTAGGTGGATAAATATCCTTTTTATTTATTTATTTATTTATTTTTGTCGGTCGTGGGCCTTGAATTCTGGGCCTGAGCACTGTCCCTCAGCTCTTCAGCTCAAGGCTAGTTCTCTACCACTTGAGCTACAGCACCACTTCCGGTTTTCTGGTGGTTTATTGTAGATAGAGTCTCACAGACTTTCCTGCCCAGGCTGGCTTTGAACAGCAATCCTCAGATCTCAGCCTCCTGAGTAGCTAGAATTACAGGTGCCACCGGCACCTAGCGGATAAATATTCTTTTTAAACATAGTTCTTATACTTAAGAAACAAAAAAGTCCCATAAAATAAATAGTTACTAGGTTGTAGACATATAATAAAGACCTTAAATTAGATATTAGACACTGAATGGGACACAATAGGAAGACACAGGAGATGCTGTCTGACCTCCACAACTGTTTTGCAGGTCGCAGAATATTCCATAGGTTCATTAATTAAGCAATTCAATTCTCCTATGATTTCCCCACTGAGTACATAGTCTTTGTAGAGTATGGGGTCATCTTTCTTCTCTGAGTTTAAGTGTTTTGCATCTGTCTCCGCATCTGGCTTTGATCTTTTAAGCTATTCACAAACAAAGAAAGAGAAAAAGGTATGCCACTTAACTTGTATTATCAAAATCATCTAATTTATGATTTTCCAACTTTTGATTTAACAAGTATACTGTGTACCTATTTGGGGATACTTATATACTTATATCTCCTGTTCAAGTAAACTTATTAAAATGTTTAACTATGACACAGACCCAAAGTATTCTTAAATACTCTATAAGCTTTCTGAATTCTCTTTTTAACCTATGCCCATTTTAAATGGCCAAATTTCCCATGCATAATAGACATAACAGAAATAACAATTTACAGTATAATTCTCCATCTTAAAATATAAAGAAAAGTTATGAACCTACAAGAGAGTATCACTTCAAAAATTAAGGAAATCACTGGCTCTTGTGTCGGATTGGGAAAATTATCATTTTGACGGTAGCTGCATTTCTCAATATGGAAAGATATTAATTTTCAATTTTCTAAAGGTTTTCTAAACTAATACTTAAAAGTGAACTTGTATCTATCTTTGCTTTACCTTTACCATGCCTGAAATAATTATATAGATTCCTTCGACCTCATCCCCTTCTTCAAATATATCGTTTCCACAATCGTAAGTTAAAATTTTGGCTTTTTCCTAAAAAATGACACCAAAGATATCACTTATAAATGATACACGGGTGGTGATGGTGAATTTTTAATAGATTTTACTTTTCAAGTATATATCCAATAATATCTAAAATATTTTGTTGGTAATAAATTTGTAAGACATCTTTCTTTGCGGGAGGGGAAGGGAAAAGCTGAAACAAGGATGCAAGTTGATCCATTGTAACAGTGACACATACAAAGCGCTAAGTTGAAAACGAACTGTGCGGCTGAGGGGAGGGAGGAGTTGGCGGGGTGGGGAGGGAAGAGATAGTAGAGGAAAAACAAAAGAGGGGGTAACAATGCTCATTACCTTACTCATGTAACTGTAACAGTATTTTTGCAATGAAAATATTTTAAAAAATTGTAAGAGAAAGTAGGAATTATGAATAGAATAGAGAGGAAGTGTGTGTTCATAGTAAATTTCAGCTGGAGTGTTTGTGCATGGGTGAGGGAAGGTGGGCTTTAGGTATAAAAATGTAATGGCAGAGTTCATGTTTTGTATTTTTTTTTTAATTTGGCTAATGGCACATATATGTCACATATCCTCCTACTCAAAATAGATAAATCTAGTAAATATCAACCGTTCATTATAAGTATTTGGTGGAGAAATAGAATTGGTCTTTTGGTACCAAATAGACGAAGACAAATAATACTATTAAAACAAATTAGCCTGGGTACTGGTGGCTCATACCTATAATCCTAGCTACCCAGGATGCTGAGACCTGAGGATTGCAGTTTAAAGCCAACCCAGGCAAGAAAAAAGACAGTCCATGAGACTCTCATCTCCAATTAAGGACCAAAATGCTGGAAGTAGAGCTGTGGCTCACATGGTAGAGTGCTAGCTTTGAGCAAAAACACTGAAGCACAGTGTGCTGGCCCTGCAGTCAAGCCTGAGTACCAGCACCAAACAAACAAACATCAATCCCCTCCCCCAAAATAAAACACCCTGAAGTTACACTTCTTTACTGTCCATTCCACCAACATTTATTGAGTACTTACAATGCATTATCCAAAATGACAAGAGCTGAGTATCCAAAAGTTTGAATGAGCTAGAACATATAGTAGTTGCCAAAAGCTGGTAAAAGTAATGGCAATATAGTGTAGTTGAGCTACAATCAAAGCAGGTGTTTCATACAACAATGGCAGATTTGGTCTGCCAAGCTCAAGATAGACACAGGATAGCAAGTGGTAAGAAGACAGGCCACACCACCTTGAGGGCCTCTAGAGGAGGGGAACACTTGCTCAGAGGACTGAAAGCAGGAAACCGCAAAAGAAGTGGAGCCAGGAAGCCTTTTAAGAAAAGTAAATAGCACTTGCAGATGGATGGCATTAGAAACCAGCAGCATGAATGATTGAGTAGAGACAGGTACCTGGGTAAATGAGAAACGGAAAAGGAGGGGGGAGAGATGGCAGGAATAGGCTGGGGAGGGGTTTTCCATGTTGTTCAAAGGATTTTTTTTTCTATAACGAGCCAAGTACAGTTAGAGAGATTTTAACAAGCAGATATTATGGTTAAATCCTTAGGTTAAAAATTATATATTGTTGGGGCTGGGAAGGTGGCTCAGTGGTAGAGCGCTTGCCTTGCATGCCTGAGGCCCTGGGTTTGATTCCTCAGTACCACATAAGCAAATAGAAAAAAGAAGCTGGAAGTGGTGCTGTGGCTCAAGTGGTAGAGTGCTAGCCTTGAGCTGAAGAGCTGAGGGACAGCACCCAGGCCCAGAGTTCAGGCCCCATGACCGGACCCCCAAAAAATTATATATTGTTATTGTAAAGGTGATGTACAGAGGGATTATAGTTATGTAAGTCAGTTTCTCCTTTCTGTCCCCACCCAAGATTCTAACTTTTTCAAGACTATTTTTGGGTTGATTGAAGATGATACTGTCAGAAAATAAAAAGTCTTACCTGAATAAATTGAATACACTTGTCATCTTTAGCAAGCCATGGAATATGATACAAAGTTTCATCAATTGGTAGAGAACTGACAATAGATTGAAAATCAAGCACCTCTCTTTTTTTGGCCATGATTAGCTACAAATTACAAAATTGAAGAAAGAAACTGAATCAATTGCTGTTCACAGGATGTCAGAAAATAAATCAAAGCTTTATAACTATACTGTATTAATTAACTGTTGTCTCCTGTGACGAAAAACCTGAGAGAATCAACTTAGAGGACCAAACATTTATTTTGACTCATGGTTCCTGAGGTTTCAGCCCAAAAACACTTGGCTCTGTTATTTCTGGGACATGGCAGGGAGCATGTGGGGGAGCTGATCTCTCGTCAGGGCTTAGGGAAGCAGAAAGAGAAGAAAGAAGAAAAAGAAGCCAGGGTCCTAGTCCATTGAAGGGCACACCCACAATGATTACTTCCCTCAACCTCCTTCTGACGCTTATACTATAAACTGCAGATTACTTTTAATATCCCAAAGTTACCATACTTTAATTTGAATTTCTACAAGCTTAATTTCCAAAAATATATGAAATCCCGTTCTTTCCAGTGCTCAAGCACTCAACCTCTTCAATTGTTAATGTCACAAGATTCAATCTCTGTACATTATGTAACCCAAACTCTAAAGTAGTACTTTTAATACAGTGGTCTCCTGAATTACAAAAAAAACAAAATGAGAAGTTTGAACTAAAATTACAACCATCCTTGTCTCTTAAATTGTTGGGAAAACAAATGCTGGAACTTTACATCAATTCTACAAGAATGTTTATCGTTACTGAAATCTACATTTCTTTATAAAGTTTCAAATTGCCATCTGCTAGTGTTGTTCTTTTTTTCTTTCTCTCCCTCTCTTCTTCTCCCTTCCTCCCTTCCTCTCTCCTTCCCTTCTTCCTTCCTTCCTTCCTTCCTTCCTTCCTTCCTTCCTTCCTTCCTTCCTTCCTTCCTTCCTTCCTTCCTTCCTGCCTGCCTGCCTGCCTGCCTTCCTTCCTTCCTTCCTTCCTTCTTTCCTCCTCTCCACTCTTTTCATCATTCACTGTGGCACATAACTGGGCCCTGCCATGTTATTCACTACGTTTCATGTAACTATAGTGCTGATACAGTTGTAGAATTGAATAGTTGAAACAGAAACCACATAGGCTCATATAGTATAAGATGTTTTCTATGTTGTCCCTTATGGAAAATGTTTGCCAACCCTTGTTCCATAGAAACATGTATTTGGTAGAGCACTTTATTTTTTATCTACATGTATGTTTTATATTGGGCCCATACTTAAGGATTTATAGTTTTTAACTTCAATTGCTTAAGAGCATTTTTTTCTGCATTATCTTCTGTTAGGGATGAATTTTATATGTTGATCTTGTTTCTGAATATTCTGCTGAAATCTCTTATTAATTCTAAAGGTTCTAAATGAATCTATTAAGATTTTAATTAAATAATCAGTAAATATAATTGGAGTTCATACAATGAGTTGGGAACATGTTTTTATATATTATGCACTATTTTAATAACTTAGAGAAAGAAAATATAGTTATTCCTAACTCTACAATTGAATATTCTTATAAATTATAGGTTATAGTGGAAATGATATTTAGACACCAGAGATAATTCTGAAGAACATACTTTTATACGCATTGTAGCTTGGGATGGAATAGGCTTATTGGATCTTCAGTTTGGGAGAATGATACACTACCTCACTGTGGCAGAACAAGAGTTGACCACTGGAGATTCATGAAGGGAACTATAGTAGATATTTGTCTTTAAACAATTATTTTAAGTAAAATTTTCATCTTTCAAGAATACTCATTTGTAAAGAATCAAAAATAGGCCTCATGATCACTACAGACTAAATAAATGTATTCTGAAAATGTTCCACCTTACTTTATTGATTTCAGAACTTTCAATTTTATGAAGAATTCCTTTTGACTTGAAAACATTGACAATTTCTTTGGCCATATTAAGCATGACATTAATCTCTTCCTTGGTTTTCATAGTGATAGTGATTTCTGGGTGATCATACTCGAAGTAGCCTGAAAGGTAACAAAATATTTTCAGATGAAACAAAGCATTGTTGTAAGCAGACCATAGCTAACATTTCTTTTCTGAATTCATGGACTACCACTTTCCACAAAGGGATGTATATATCTTCCTCTGACAGGTCCACTTTGATAAATCTTTACCTATCAGTGGTGTCAGAGTTCTGTCTCTTTCTTGGCAACACTCATACTTGTGCCTGAACCGATGAAAAAGGACAGGTAACCCTGGTCCCAAGATTGACAATTGTATTGATCCACCTGCCTTGAATCCTGGGAAACTGCTTTGGGTTTTTAACTCTAGCACTCATGATCCATTTTCCAGCTCCATTTGAATCAGGACTTTTGACTGTTGTCTATGGGTTCAGGAGTGGCTTATAGTTTAGTCTTCTTCATCCTGTATTATTTTCTCCTCATCCTGCCAGAGGATTTGGGTTACCATACTTACCAAATTTGGATTCCTGTAACCCCATGTAAATATTTGTACCTTCAGATTCTACCTTAGGGTTTTTCCTTGGTCATGATCTCTTGTCTGTTTTGGTAACTATTTGCCATACAAGATCTCTCAAGCTTGGCTTTATTAGCAGGCTTGCTGGGTTCTTTTGCAACTATTTTGGTATCAAACCTTTCTCCTGTTTGCAATGTTGGATCAAAATGCCTGTTTCACTCTTAGAATTTGTCCTGCACCAGGACCATAACGTGGTATATAACTCAAGAGAATAGGCTGTAGCCAGGAGTGGACATCGAGATTTTAGCAGCCCTGCCAGAGCTACAAGGTTCTGTTCTGATTTTTCTCACCGAAAGGCCTAAACTCTTGAATGTCAGGCCGATGGCAAGTATAGGGACAAAGTGTCTTCTTATAAGGTTCACATGTTCCCGGTTTGGATGAAAACAATAAGGTCAAATGACATCCCAAATGATGCCATGTTGGTGTGGATTATTCAAATGGTCATTAAAAAGCTATTGTAGAATAGGATACAGTAGCTATATTACATCATGCTCATCTATACTAGAAAACAAAGTCATGTAGATTGCTATCCACTTGGTTATTTTTAGTGAGTAGCTTTCCTCAAAGATTAGTAGTCATAGGAACAATGGATTTTTCTAAAGTTGTGATGATAAACTTGGTTCTGTTGCATACCTAGGATAAAGGTACCTACCTAGCTCTCTCCTGGCAAGTTCCATATTCCTTGTTACCCGATTTAATAAGATCTGGAGAACAAAAGATTTATTAGTTCTATTGAGACAATGAACTATTACGAAATGTCTTTACATGGGCAATGCACGGATTTGTAGCCACATCTACTAACATATAGAGAAGTATGATGAGTCGCTTGAACAGTAGTGCTAAAGAAATGACATCACCCAGACTGATTTTGAGAATCCTAAAATAATCACATATTGTCCTTAATGCAACAAGATAGAATGCTGTTGATTCTGAAAGGCATGGCGGATAATTTCCCATGCAGCCCTATGACACTGTCCAATTTGGGGACGTGGTTTTTAACCGTAAGTGATTAAAAGGCCAAGCCAAGACATTGAAGGACAAAAATGAAAACAAAAATTGGATATAATTTAGACATCCAAGTCCTTTTGTATCTTCTCCTTAGTACCCTCAAATCCTAGTGCTAAATATCAGTGATTAGAAAAGGCAATACTGCTCAGGAAAATATCCGGGTTGTAGGTGGTGAAGGCATTATTTTTGTGTTCTAGCACATATCAAGTGTACAATTTTCTCAAATGAGAGCATAAAATCTAGCATTGAAATGTTCTGAATTGTCAGTGTTAATCTGCCTCAAATTATAAAATTAAAAACAAATAGAATTTTGACTCAAGAATACCTTTCCTACTTAGTAGTCCTGAGGCTCTGGGTAGGGTAATTTCACTCCTCATGGACTCACATATTTTTATCTGCATAATGAGATAATCTGACAAGGCCTTCCTATTAGGAGAGTTACTATTTTCTTTCATTTCCATATTTTCTTTCTTTCCATTTCTACACAAGTCACTTATTTCCCTTACTGTGTATTGTAGAAAAAAGAAAGATGTAGCGAGATGGAAGGAACACTTGGGCAATGTGAAGATAAAGGTGCTCCATTGTAGCACTACTCTTCATTTCCCATGGTTTCCTGACAAATCCTGGACCTGGCACTTGGAAAAATCTGACGCATGTACCTGGGCTTCATTCACACAGACAGAAAGGCACCTTGAAAGAGCCTCAGGACTTCTTCACAAGACACAGATACTTCAGTAAGATTCTTTGCGTGATTTAAATTGGAAGTATTTTAAGTTTTTACAGTAATTACCCAAGAGCCAAAGAACACACCTGCACATAGAGACTGAGTTCAAGATGGCCAAGGGCAACCACAGGATGTGAGAAGTGACATCTTCTCAAGGAACTCAGGGGAGGGTTTTCTCACCTGCTTAACCTGCTTGGAACTTGCAATCTGGTCGATTATATTCAGTACATCTGCCTCTCCTTGAGCATAGCCTTTTAATATAGCATAGTGAAAAGACAATTGGTGACTCATTCTTTTATCTATTATCTGCAGTAATTTTGGTGTTACAAGCTGAAAAGTAAACATGCAAGCCAGGATTATAATTTGCTACAAACTATACAACTTTGATTTATGATTAGTTAACTAATACTTTTAAGAATAAGGAATTAAGAGGCCTCACAAAATAATGCAAAGGCAAGGCATTGGTGGCTTACACCTATAATTTTAGCTATTCAGGAGGCTTGAGACCTGAGGATCTTGGTCCAAAGCCAGCCCAAGCAAGTAAGTCCATGAAACTTTTATATTCAATACTAAAAAGCCACAAGTGGAGCTGTGGCTCAAGTGTTAGTGTGCCAGCCTTGAGCAAAAAAAGCTAATGGATAGATTCTAAGCCGTGAGATTAAGCCCCAGTACTAGTACACACACACACACACACACACACACACACACACACACACACACACACACACACACAATTGCAAAAACCCATCAAGGCTGTTGGTTATTTGTTCGTGATTTCTTTATAGCTTCATGATTTCTTTATAATTATTAATGTTGGGGATTTTGCACAATTTATAAGTTTATTGCTTGTATGTATTGTAGAGAAGGAGATGTTATTTTAAAAGTTTAAATTCTTGGGAATTAGTGTCACATCTTGTTGGCGTAGATCATAAGTGACTGTCTATAAAGCACTATCCCCTTCACATGACAATTCTGCAGATGTTGTTTGAGTGGAAATTTGCAGTTACCATACTCCCAGACAGATTCCTGCAATTAATTGCTCTGCTCTCTATTCCCTGGCTGAGGGTTTATGTCTCTAAGTTATCTGTAGTCCTTTTGCACTCCCTTAACTTCTCTGCAGTTTGGCAATTCCTTCTGTTTTCTTCTCTGTGCTCTGCAACCTGCGATTCCTGGTAGTGTATTATCTTCTTCCAAGGTTCAGCTCAAGTATTGCCTAATAATAGAAGTCTCTTCTCCCACTAGCATTCTCCCATGCCTACTCCTTTGCTATATTCTACCATATAACACAAGAAAATCTAGATAGTAATTCCTTCGTTCCTTTTTTGATAAAGTCCCTTGGTACTGAGAGTATGTCTATTTGTAAACTACTCAGTAGTCTTTCTATAACCTCCCATCAGAAAGAATTAACTAGACTTTACTTTAGAATACACTAGACTTGCTTTTCTCAGGTTAAACTGTTCACTAATATTACTTTTCCACAGAAGACTAACAAAAGAGAATACTAGTTGTATGCTTTGTTCATTCATGTATCTTAGTAGTAAAAGTATTTCTAAACATATGTAAGGAAGGTAAAAATTACATTCCACACTATTAGATTAAACTCTAGATAAACCATGCTCATTTAGCTTTACTTTACCCATTCTGCTTACTTGTGCTTATGTCTTGTTTGTGTATGAAGAGAAAGAGAGATAAATAGACAAGTGTGATGGCTCCAGACTGTAATCATAGCTACTGGGTAGATGAAGGTCAGGGGGACTGTGGGAAAAAAAATTTCAGGGAAAAAGCTCCTGAAACTCCATCCTAACCCAATAAAAAGCTGGATATAATACTATTATTCCTGTTACTTTGAAAGCAGAGATCAGGAGGACCATTGCAAATGGCAGACAGGGTAAAAATGGGAGACACTAATAATTAAATTACAAAGAGCCAAGTATCTCCAGTGGTAGACCTCCTACCTAGCAAGTGCAAAGTTCTGAGTTCAAACCCTGTCAGCCATAATATGAAAATAAGAACATCTCCCTCAAAAAAAAATAGTCCCAAATAAAATAGTTGCTATAAAATGAATAAACTGATGTTAGTCCATATTTCATGAAGCAGTCAGGAGAAATTTGGAATTGCAGCATTTACTTTACCTTTAAAAGGCGTAGGATGCGAAGGAGTCGAGTAATTTTCATAAAAACTACTGTTTCAACTAATTCAAGAGTATAACTAATGGTTCCTGTCTCGATAAGTATTATATCTAAGATGCCAACTAATGTAATTCCTAACTCAAATAAGTTCCAGGCCTGTGAAAAATATTCCTTCCTTATCGCTGCCATCTGTTGATTTAAAGAGAAATCACATTGTCATAATTTTGCTTTTCCTATACCATTTTCCATAATAGATTAAACATTACCAATTAGGTTTTTCTTCGATCTGTCTCTGAAAAACCAACAATTGAAACAAAACAAAATAAATAGAGTAAGTTTATTAGCTTAACCTTTTAGTGAAGGAATGTGGAATATTGATTTATAATCAGCTTCAAATACAGATACAGGTGAAAAATATTCATAAAATGTCTCAGGAAACATGTACCTGGCAGACCAGTCCAAATAATAAATAGTGTGTCAAGGTATTTTAATTTTAAACAAACAGCCTCTAGTAATTCTGTTTTAATAGTAAGTAATTGATATGCAAAGTTGTAAGTGATCAAAAGTAAAGCAGATAAACATGAAGTGGAGGCAGGGGATTGAAGGAAGACCACAATCTAAGCATGAGGTGCTATCTGAAAAATAAACTAAAGCCAAAAGGTCTGGGAAGAGTTTGGCTTGAGTGGAAAAGTAAAACCATGAGCACCTGAGTTCAAACCTCAATACTAAAAGAAAAAAGGAAACAAAGAAAATCCCACTTACATAATTTTTATTCTCTGATGAAACAGAAAAAAGCCATTTTGATCTCTTGGAAATCTAGTTTCTCAGAATTATTTGGTAATGTAACTTTCATGTCAACAAATATATTTATAGAACTAACATGTAGCTCTACTAATGTGTACATTCACATAAATATATTTCAGAAGTTATTTATACCACTTTTATCCATCACTATAAATTCTTATATTAGAATAGGAATATTTTAGTAGGATATTTTAAAAGAGGTGAAATAATAGGACAGCCTTTTATATAAGATATATACAAGATGAGATATTGCAGTTTAAGGGTTTAAAACATCTTAGTTTTTCCCTACTGTTGCCCTAATACATTTAGGGAGCCAGTACAGAAAGCTAGACTATTTGTTAATTCAGATAACAACCTTTGAAAATGTCTAACAGAAAAGGTGACTTTTTGGAAGCAATACATAAACTGATGCATCTAAAAATCTCTTGCTAGGTAAGACCAGGTTAGAATACATGATTTTCTTTCCTGGAGTTGATTGCATTAAGTTTTTTGATTGCATTCATTTGAATGTACTAACTGAATCTGAATCCTGAAAAGAAGGATTTCATTGCCTGATTCCACAATTGAGTAAGCTTTTCTGCCAATTCTGCCTGGCTCTAATTAAGAACAGTGGAAGTCGTTTTCAGGTTGAATGGTGAACTGTCTAATAGAATACGAATATTATGAAAGGAGCTCATTTTGGAAGTTAAAAGTGAAATATATCTGAAATCTTAAAACTTTAGATCTGAACTGTGATGTTTCATGTGACATTATCTTATTAAATGATTGACTGTGCACTTGGGTGTACACGCAATACCTTATCAAATGCAAAGGGCATCTCTGCAATCTAGTTCTGATGTCTTCATTGAGCTTCAAGTGGGTCCACTATGGCTATGAGAGCTGCTTTAACCTCAACCAAGTATAAGAAATCCTAGAGAGATCTGGTATGAGAGCTACAGGGATCTTTATTTTCCACTTAGTACAACACTATTAAGGTTGGGAAAAGTTATGCAATGTGGTCAACTTCTTAGACCTCATGAGAGATGTTCAAAACCATAGTCAAGGGATATGGAATCCCAGTTTAGCACTTTGTCTACTCTAGTGCATGTTAAACAGGGTGCTCACCCCAGCAAACGATTATTAGCCTACTCCTCCTTGGATTACTTTCTTTTAATTCTAAGTTAACTGCAAATGGATCAGAATGGATCTAAATCCATTCTCTTTTTTTGGTGATACTGTGGATCTACATTAGCATTTGAGTTTTCCTGTGAAGATCTGAGATTTGTTTCTTGTGCCCCAATATCAGATAACATCTCTCAACTTATATTTTCTAGCTAGAAGATTTTGTATCACAACTTGCTCATCCATAAGATACAATACTATCACTGGATTCTAGGCATGAATTTCTGCCACTTCACAACTATCTTTATATTAATAGCTAAAAAGAAACCTATCATGCTACCTACTTATCTGTCTATCTATCTATCATCTATCCATCTAGTGTAGAAGTAATAATGTGAAATTCCTGGGCTCTCTACCTTGCTAAGTTCAACTACATTTCTAATTCTGCTTACAGTCACTGTGTGTCCCTTTGACCATGTCATATTTTGCAGATACACAATCAATTACTACAATGTGAGTATTTTCTATTTTGTCACCCTAAGCAGCATCTTAAAAATGTTTATTTGTGCTGAGAAGAAAAGAACCTCACATACTCCTTTAGAAAACTGTCTGTAGTTAATGCAACACATTCACACAAACAAACTCTGGATTACCTTAAGCAGACTCTCCAGAATGTAAAAGGCAAGAAAATAGTAGTTAGCATGTCTTATCTCAAGATCATAGATGTCCTTTAGTTGGGATAGCCAAGAGAGGGCCATAGGATACATATTCATGACTACCACCAGGTATCCGATATACTCAAACTCTTCAGCAAATACTATTTTATGGCATAAACGAAGACTGATATATCTATAAAAACAGTTTTAGATGATAAAAAGTTTTATTAGCTTTCACCATATGCTCAATTCTGATTAATTATCAATACTAGTCTTAGCAAATAGCCTCATTAACTCTAACTGGCATTTTAATTGGATATTGTCTTTTTTCTAAATATCTTGTGTCCATTTTTTCTTTTTTTCTCATTCACTTATACCTTTTAACAGAAATATTTTTGGTATAAGACAGAGATCATTTAAACTGCAAATATTTTAAGAATTATATTTTAAGAATCCCCCTTTCTATCTTCCAATAATTTTACTTCTCAGAGGTTTCTTTGAACATTTTAATATTGTTCCAATGTTTCCAAAATACTTACAAACGTAACTAGCTTTGTTTTTAAAATTGAAATATGAACACCTTCTTTTGTCTGTGGATGCATAGGAAAGCCCAGGTATGGTACTGGTCCAATATATATAAAATTTTATTTAAAAATTAAGTGACTTTGTGTACCTTGAAAAACAGTTTTCATACCAAGAAATGATAATGAGTGGAACTATGATCTGGGAATATGTGGATCATGCGTATCCTAGCAACAACTGAGGCTGAGACCTGGAGAATCAAGGTTGATAGCTTATTGAGACAGAAAAGTCTAAGAGGCTCCATCTCCAATTAACCAGAAAAATACTGGACTGGAGCTATAGCTGAAGTGGTGAGCAAGAAAGCCCAGTGAGTGCAAGGACCAGGGTTCAGGTTCTGGCATCAGTACATATACACACAAAAAAGACTGGGATTGTGAATGAGAAGATTCACATTTTATATACTTAATTCTACATATCTTTTGTTGTTGGTGGTGGTCATGGGGTCTGAACTCTGGGCCTGGGCACTGTCCCCCAGCTCTTCAGCTCAAGGCTAGCACTCTACCACTTGAGCCACAGCACCACTTCCAGCTTTTTCTGCTTATGTGGTGCTGAGGAATTGAACCCAGGGCCTCATGCATGCAAAGCAAGCATTCTACCACTGAGCCACCTTCTCAGCCCCAATTCTACATACTTTTAAGTACTAGGATTAAACTCGGCCTTGGGCATGCTACACAATTATACTACCAACAAGCTTCAACCCTATTTCTTAATTCTACTATTTATTCAGATAGTGTGATAATTACTATTAATACTCAAATCATATTATTGATAATTACAAATTGAATAGTTTGATTATTTTTCCCAGTCCCAGAGATATATTTGTATTATGGGTGAGAAGCTATTTCATAATTTTAGGTCTCATTTTGGGAAAAGGATGAAATTATGAATGCATGATCACATCACCAAGCCTCAGATAGTGTGTGAAAGGAGTTGTTAACTATATTCAGTTCCTTGCCTGGACTCTTGCTCAGTTCTGTCTCTAGATTACATTTCCTGATCTCTTTTGGCAGCAAACCTCTATATGGCATAGCACAACACTTGAGTTACCTCTTGATTAAATTTATGGCTGGCTACAATCTGTCTTGTTTCTGCAGAATGACTGAATTTAAAAAAAGGTATGAAGAGGCCACATTTTTGAAATTGTTCCAGTAGTCATTAACTTATTAATTTCTCCTGGAATGCTTTATTGCTTCCTGCTACTATTCTGGTTATAGATACCCCTGGGCTATTTTCCTGCATAACGAATCTTATTCTATATGTTAATGAAGCAATGTAAATGCTTGAACTTGATGAACTATGACTGAGGCAATATAGGCTAGAAACTCTCTACATTATACAATCTAAAAAGCTCTGGTCTGTATTGAAGCATGTATTGAACATTGATACTATTAACGTCTAAAATGCTGTATCTATTTTTCTCCCATGTGCAATAACTCTGGTAAAAGTGATCAATATACATTTGAGAAAATACTAAGGAAACATTTGATATATATCCTTGTGATGGTGTTGCAGATCCTTTATCACTGGCTATGATTCTGAGAACTTGACTTGGATATATCAAGGAGAAGAGGTCAGAGACCATTATTTTCCTTGGTAGTAATATCTCTTCTGATTATTCAAAAAGTGTTATGTATTCATTTGTATTCATCATGTCCTACCTATATCCAGATCTAGGAACTTTGAAAGTCATGACACATTAGTCTTTGATCTAGGTATATCTATCTAAAATAAAACATATTCCTGCCTTGCCTCTAGCTTGTAAGTGCTCTCATCTTTTTGCCATTTCAGAACCTTATCCAGCCTTTTGACAATTAGAGAGATCAATCTACAAAGACCACCTAGTGTCAGCTACAGCCTGCACAAGGCATCTCCACCATCTACATTAATTTTCTCAGCAAGCTTCATTATTGCCTTGGTTCTTTAGACCTCAGAGAAGCAGGTCATGGGACTGATTGCTCATTCTCACATAACAATTTAAGCCAGATTCATTTATGTTTTTTTTTTCTGTAGGTTATTTTATTTTTATTTATTTTCAAATTTCAAAGAACCATCCCAATAATATAATAGCACCAGCTCCAATTATCCTGAAAGATTGCTGAGCCCTGTGTAATCATGGGCTCAAAGGCCCACACAAGCCATTCGGTTCTGGCCTTAAGTTGCAAGCTCTGGCCCAGTGTACTTCAGATTCATTGTGTTGACCAGTTCCTACCATTCCTTCAGTAGTCAGCAGGCCCTGTTTCTCCTTCTAGCTCTGCTGAGACCTAACCATGTAATTTCCCTGGAAGTGATGAAAGATGATAAAGACTAACGTTAAGGATAAATTCATTTTCCGATGTCTTTGCACCATTTCAAGGTAACAGGAAACTGCATCCTCAAATTGTGGAAAGGGCTGCTTCTGCCATACACCAGCATGTTCATGAGAATCTGGGGGCTCAAAGCCTTATGTTAGCATTTCAAGTGCTAGTCTTTTTCCTCAGAGCCCTGGTGTTGGTTTAAAAGCCTCACCAGTGTTGTGCATTTATTTCACCTTGCACAGCTCTAGCTGAATGTATTCCAAATTTCAGATATTATAATGATTCCATTGTCTGCAAACTTCAGCATGTTAGCATAGTTATCTTAGATATTATTTCTAACAATTGAAGATGGAGAAACATAAATCTGTTATTATTTCTTCTTATTTTCTTTTGTGGCTCTTTCATTCCTCCTTTGTTTGGTGATAGTGCTAGACTTTATCCATCCTTAATGGATTACTATTCATCATTTGATAATAAGTGCTTACATTTTTAAAGTGTATATTCAGTGCTTGTTCTGGAGCTATTTCTTCCGTACTAGCTATTTATATAATCTTTATAACAATCACACGAAGTAAGCCAAGAAGGGCCCAGTTAGCATATTTTAATACTTACAATGTATCAGTTATTAGCACATATAGTTTAGTCACTGGAATATGACATCAGTATTTACAATATACAGTTCCTAAATAAAGAAAGAAAGGCCTATAAAGCTCATTCAGCTAATAAAACATGAAGCCTAATGAAACTAGCAGCACAAAGATATGTACTGATAATTTCATTTATTTGAAAATTCAGCATAGGTAAAAGGCAACAGTTTAGTGCTTCCCAGGAGTTGCAGGAGGAGGGGAGTGAGGAGTTGCTATCAAATGGTTTACGTTAGGGCCAATGCAAATGTTGACATTTGCACAACGTTATGAAGGTCCTAAATAACACTGACATGTTTACTTTAAAATAAGGAATTGTTGGTTTTAAATCTATGTACAACTTACCTAATTACAAAAATTCTTATTTCTTTTTTTATTGTAAAGATACTGTACAGATGGGTTACAGTTACATGAGTAAGGTAATGAATACATTTCCTATAGAGCATTGTTACCCCCTCCATTGTTATTCTAATTTCTTTAATTGTCTTATGTGTGTATATATGTACATACACTTATGTATATATGCATACATGTGTATATATACATGTGTATATACACATAGACAAGTATACATACATTTATGTAGACATACATATACATATATAGACATAATTACATACATTATAGTTTAAAGATACCTCAAAATATTTTGCAAAGTACTTAGGTTAGAATTAAAATAGAAATAAGAAGGGATCTTTGAAAGGGGACCTCCATTTTTCATTTCATCAGTGCTTACCTGGATGGTGTACCTTTCTCTTTTTTGGTATTATATACCCAGTTGAGAAGTACTTTTCTAATGAAGGCAAACAATTTTCTGCTCTCAGAATAAGTCTTTATTGTCTCAGGACTCATATGCCTAAGAAAAGGAGAGATCTTTAAGCATATTGAGATAAGTTGAATGCAACAATGGGAAAAGGCAGAAGGAATATTTTGTGCCTAGATGACTGTAAATTAGATATTTCTATTTCCAAGTCATGACACAAGTAATTAGACAATTGTGAGGCTGTAAGACTCATTCATTCACGAGAGGCTACAAAATATTGGGGAGATGCATTTTGAAACATAAGATATTCACTTGCAGAGAGGTAAAGCAAAGCACGATTCAAATATCTGCGCTTAAGAGATGCTAGTTTGCATTTTTGATCCCCATTGTCTAGTGTGATAGTGAACAAATGCTCTCAGTAAGGTGCTTCCAGATCTAGGAAGTGGGGTTGAAAATAAGTACATCAGGCTGAGACAATTAAGTGAAAAGTTATGTGAAGTGTCTAACCTATCTCATACATCTTCCCAACTATAGTTTCATACTCAGGACTAGTAGCCAAATTGAAATGACTATAGAGTGTTAAATGACTATGAAGTGTTAACATGGGGAAGTCAGTGTCATAGATAACCTCAAAGACATTTGGGCTTGCCAGGTGTCTGCTGACTTTTAGTTTTGGTGTGTTGACTTTTGTAATGAGCTAACTCAAGTTTGGGTGTTGTGATTTGGTCTTGCTTAGCGAATCCTCTTGATTTTTGTAAGCAATTTACCTACTGTTGACCAGATATTTCCATGTTCTTTATCAGAAAGATGGTAGGGATCTCTGTCTCTGGTTCTTAAGACTCCAGCTTGTTAATGGCTTAATAGAATATCATTGGAAGTCCAAGATGAAAATGGACTTTGTCTTCCCTATTGATCATCATATGTCTGCCTAACTGCAATTTCTGCAGTTTTTTTTGTCAGTTGAAAACAGTGAGACATTTCATTCTTAAAGTTTCAATATAATAATGCAACTACATGGAGAACCTTTAATGAGTGTAGTTTGACTTGTTCACAAATTAGATGTGCATATTGAAAGTCTACTATATTTGCTAAACACTGTGGATAAAACATAAATAAATAAATAAATAATTCTGTCTGTCCTCAGGGCTCCAGCAGACAAATATGGGGGAAAATCATGTAAGTAACAATTGTAATGAAGTATAATGAGTGTTACCAAGGAGATAATAAATAATAGGCCATATTCTACCCACAAAGAAAACATCGAATAGAGTCATGGAGATGGAAGGTTTACATACAGTCTAAATTATGGCAATTTCACAGTTCCCGTTGATCCATTTGCCAGTGTGTGAGATCATTTATAGACTAAATTTCTAAGTAATTCAAGCTCTCCAATTCCCGTTTTATAGTGATATGAACACAGTTTATAACTGATTTAGGGAAACAGATCCATCTCTATAACTAGGAGGCAGCTTGGGTTTGAAATCTAGCTCTGTAATTTATTAGACTAGTAATATTGATAAATTAATCATCTCTCCATGTTTTACTTTCCTCTCTTGCATCATGAAGATAACAAGACCACTTCTCTCATGGAGAGATTAAAAAAATAAGTAATACATGTTAAGTATATAAAAATGTATGGAGTCTATCCAGGCATAGGTAGCCCATGTTTGTAATCCTACCTACTCAAGAGCCTGAGATCTGAGGTTTGCAGTTTGAAGGCAGTCCGAGCAGGAGAGTTTTATCTCCAATTTTTTTTTTTACAAAGCCATAAGTAGTTCTATGATTCAAGTGATAGAGCACTAATCTTGAGCAAAAGAAGATCAAAGACAGCACCCATGCCCAGAGTTCTAGCCATAGGACCAGCAAAAAGAAAAAAAAAAGCATCAAGTCTGGAACTCAATAAAATAAACCAAATATTTCAGGTCTTGTTTTTAAGAAGGCAATAAAGATCTTTGTACCATATATAGAAACATTTCAATGTTTTAAATTTTAAAAAACTAATTTATAAGTAACATCTATTTTATCTTTCTAACTTGACACATGAAACCTCATATTGATTTGTGTTGGTTGGAAATGAAAACTTTCACTGTTTTCAAATCTATTCTTAAAATGCAACAAGGCTATAACTTCTGGATGCTTCTCACATTCAGCTGTGCCTTTCACTGCATAAGCTGGCTCATGCAAGTGGGCATAGGTTGATGCATTTAGGTATGTGTATACCAAAGAGCCAGTTTGTAATTTGTGGCAATTTGACCCAGGGACTAAGGTCCAAGACGATTCTGTAAATAAGTTTAGGGACATTACTGCTGGGGACTTGATGTCTTTGGCAAGTGGAGCCAGGTCTGGGACTAGATTGAGCATTGAGCTGATCTTGTTTTACTGCACCACAGTTTAACTACTCCTTGAGTCCAATCACAGATCCTCCAGAAGAAGTGACCTGAGTATGATCTCCAATGCACTGGCTCAAGGGACTCAGTATTTATTGTCAAGGCCTCTATCTGAGGGAATGAGTGCTAGATTCCAAATGTGCTGAGTATCAAGAGTGTGCATACCTGTGCGCTGAGATGTACCAGCAGAGATTAAGGAACACTTTGTTCTTATATATTCAAAGGTATTCCTTTTTGTTCTTCTCAAAGAAAGTTGCTTGCTATAACTTAGCTTTGCAGGTGGGAGGGGGGTCAAGAAGAGAAATGTCAGGTCCTTTCAGTCATAAAGAGCAGCCTGCAAAACTGCACATTGGTGTGAATAGGTATATCAAATCTGGGAAGCCGAAAGTGGGTGATTTGGCTTAACTTTGGGGTATAAAGCAGAAAGTCGCTTATCTATATCTATGTCTATGTCTCTATCTATGTCTCTATCTATCTATCTATCCATCTATCTATCTAACACTAGATGAAGGAAGCAATCATACAAAACCCCGAAACCTTATTTGCATACTTTCCTACATGCAGTGGCTTAGGATGGAAGTCTTGCCCTGAAAACATACTTACTCTCCTTTCTTCTCTCCGAAGCTTCCTGCTGCACCTACTAGCACCTGAACTGCATTCTGGGGCAAAGTCTCATTTCTGTATTGTCTCTGGTAGCTTGCCTAAAAGGAAGTTGATCCAAATCATTATGTAGCATGGACAACAATGACAATTTATTACCACCTTTACAGAATCTTCAGAAAAAGAAGACAAAGTCCTCAATCATTAATATGTTTTCAGAAAGCATCTAGACACAGATTCGTGTAGAAGATGGATCTGGGCTTTGGGTGGAAGCAGCTGGTCTTGTAAGAAGATACAGTACTGGTTTCTGGTTGTCAACCAAATTTTAAATAAGTAAATAAATAGATACAATAGATAAATAGAGCTCATTAAAAATAAGCTCACAACAATTGCAAGGTATGATCCTATCTTAAAAGCTCATCATGCGCACAAAATTCAAGGTTCTGAGAAATCTTAGAGTTTTTTTTTTTTAAAAACATCCAGTTTGGGTGTTCGCTTCGGCAACACATATACTAAAATTGGAACGATACAGAGAAGATTAGCATGGCCCCTGCGCAAGGATGACACGCAAATTCGTGAAGCGTTCCATATTTTTACACTAAAGCTACCAGCACAACTATGTTTATTGCAGCATTATTTACCATAGCTAAGATATGGAACCAACCCAGATGCCCCTCAGTAGATGAATGGATCAAGAAGATGTGGTATATATACACAATGGAATTCTATGCCTCCATCAGAAAGAATGACATTGCCCCATTTGTTAGGAAATGGAAAGGCTTGGAAAAAATTATATTAAGTGAAGTAAGCCAGGCCCAAAGAAACATAGGTCCCATGGTTTCCCTTATTTGCAATATCTAGTATAGGTATGAGTCAAGCGGAAAAAGTCAGAGAATGTGATGTTAGGAAAACGAACCCTCAAATATGTATTTTAATGTTTTTGTTTCATTCATGCATGTGTTTCTAACGCATTTATAATATTATTTCTTTGCTGCTTTGTATGTCCCTCCCCCACAGTGTAACCCCCGCTTTCACTATATTTGATGTCAGTATAACATGTGGAGGAGACGGGGACAAACAAGTCGTTTAAGGATTCAGATGGACCTGTTGCAACAATGAGAAGTACAAAATGTCATGTCAAAACCAGCTTTACAATGTCGGTGGGGGGGAGGGAGGGGGGGTATGATTGGTTGGGGGGGGAGGGGGGAGGGTGGGAAGGGAGGTGAAGGGTAAACAAAGGAGGAGGCTGCAATGCTTGGTAAGAAATGTATGCATTTTCCTGCCCATGTAATTGTAACCCCTCTGTACAGTATGTTTTCAAATAAAATAAAATAAAATTAAATTAAAAAAAAAAAATAAAAACATCCAGTTTGGGATCTTTATTTGAACTCAAAATATTAAACCAAATATTTTTGTACCAAAACTTCACTGCTATTATAAAGGGAGCTTAATCAAGAGGATGGCAGTTGGAGACCATCCCAGGAAAGAAGTCAGTGAAATTCCACTTCAACCAATAAACTGGGTATGATGGTTCATGCTTGTAAGCTCAGCTGCTCCAGAGGCATAGATAAGAAGATCAGAGATACCAAGATGGCTGTGAGAAAAAGTGTAAGACCCTATCTATAAACAAATTCAAGCAAAAAACAGCTAAAGGTAAGCAAGTAACAGAGCACCTGTTCAAGTAGTAGGAAAAAATGGGACTTTCTGTGTTCAAACCTTAGTACTACCAAAACTAAACACCAAAAAGGACTGCTACTATTCTGCACAATACAATCACTACATTCTTCAGCACAAATATAGAGAATACACTCAGATTCAGGGAAAATGTTTGGTACCATGGACGCAACTGTTGGATTCTGTTGTGTAAGTGCTCAACACTGCTGAGAATCACAGTGGGCCAATTTCCTAAAGTGGAATCTATGTTATAACCAGATTCCTGGGTTCCACAGCAGGCATTCTTACTACACAATCATTTATGGGGCTAATATACATTTATTTTGTCAAAAGAAACTATCAACTAAATTCGAGGATTGTGATGAAAAGGCATTTATTTGGCTGAGGAGTGTAGTTTAAGTGATAGAGGGCTTGTCTGGTACACACAAAGCTCTGATTCACCCACAACAGACATCACCAAAACTGCTAAAGAAAAACAGCCCATTTTCTGCATCCAATTTTATTGAATAGCGTCATCCTTCTTAAATAGCATGAAAGCACTGTCAAAGCAATAAAAGATTTAAAATATTTTCATATTTGAAGTTAAAAATTGTAGTTTATGGAAAAAAGAAAGAAGTTGAAAATAATATGGGTCTCTTGCAAGTTTAGCAATGTAAATGACAAAGCAGTTAAAGGTCAGGAAAAGTTTAACTCTTAAGTGATCATTTCTATAAAAATGCAAGATTGATGGACCGATTGAGTTCTAAAACATATCAGCCATCAAATGAGCTGATCTCCATAGGCTTTGTACTCTTGCAACAACTTTATGAAGAAGGTATGTATCCTACACTTTACAGATGTGAAAATTGAAGCTCAGTAGGTGAGTTGTTTACTCAAGATGACATTTAGCAACTCAGATTTCTCTGAATTTGAAACTTGTCTCCCTACCCTAAAAAATGGAATGTAACCTTCTCTATGTGACCTTGCTGCCATGCTGTATTGTCTTTTCTAACACAGAAAAGATGTGATCTTAGTATACTGAGAATGCACTGTTTCAGTGAACTGGCTGAGAATAAATTTAAATAAACACTCATGTCATTCATGGAGCTTGAACTCTGGGCCTGGACACTATCCCTCAGCTCTTCAAGGCAAGCACTCTACCACTTGAGCCACAACTCCACTTCCAGTTTTCTGAGTGGTTTATTGGAGGTAAGAGTCTCATGGAGTCTTCTGCCTGGGCTGGCTTTGAACCGTGATCCTCAGATCTCAGATTCCTGAGTAACTAGAATTACAGGCATGAGCCACCGACACCCAGCTCCAGATGAATGGATCAAGAAAATGTGGTATATATACACAATGGAATTCTATGCCTCCATCAGAAAGAATGACATTGCCCCATTTGTTAGGAAATGGAAAGGCTTGGAAAAAATTATATTAAGTGAAGTAAGCCAGGCCCAAAGAAACATAGGTCCCATGGTTTCCCTTATTTGCAATATCTAGTATATGTATGAGTCAAGCGGAAAAGGTCAGATAATGTGATGTCAGGAAAATGAACCCTTAGATATGTATTTTAATGTTTTTTTCTTTCATGCATGTGTTTCTAACGCATTTATAAGATTATCTCTTTGTTGCTTTGTATGTCCCTCCCCCACAGTATAACCCCTGCTTTCACTATATTTGATGTCAGTATAACTTGTGGAGGAGATGGGGAAAAACCAGTTGTTTAAGGATACAGGTGGACCTGTTGCAACAATGAGAAGTACAAGTTGTCATGTCCAAAACGAGCTTTACAACGTTGGTGCGGGGGGCGAGGGGGGGGGGGGAGGAAGAGAAGGATTGGGATTGGGGGGGAGGGGGGAGGCTGGGAAGGGATGGGAAGGATAAACCAAAGGAGGAGGCTGCAATGCTTGGTAAGAAATGTACGCATTATCCTGCCCATGTAATTGTAACCCCTCTGTACAGTATGTTCACAAATAAAATTAAATTAAATTAAAAAAAAATATTTGAAAACTGTGTGCAGACCAATTCCTGTTACTCTTGGGAGCATTATAATAAAAATCACAGAAAGCAAATCAACAAATGAAGATGAACAAGGAGTACAGCTAAGATGCAGATGGACTAAAGGACCATGTGGTCCATGGATTTGGAAATCAGCAGAGATCCCCACTACTTTGAAAATTAGGGTTTTCTGCCGGGCGCCAGTGGCTCACACTGTAATCCTAGCTACTCAGGAGGCTGAGATCTGAGGATTGTGGTTCAAAGCCAGCTCTGAGAGGAATGTCTGTGGAGACTCTTATCTCCAGTTAACCACCAGAAAACTAGAAGTAGTGCTGTGGCTCAAGCGGTAGAATACTAGCCTTGAGCAGAAAATACAGATTGTCGATGTGGAAAGAAGTGATGGCCTCATCTAGGTGCCATTCTCTTCTAATGGGGAGATTAATCAAAGAAAATCTAATTCTTCATCATGAATTAATTACTATTAATAAATATTGTGAGTTTTATCACTTTAATATGAAAGCAAGTATCTACCATGGAAGCTCTTGCATTTGTTTCGACAGAATACTATAGTTTCCTGAAATCAAATGAAAATCTGAAAGTGATTGACAGACATGATCTCATAAATTTTAAAGCTACAATGGAACAGTAATAAATGTACAAATATTCAAGCAGAAAAAGAGACTGCACTTAATTACATAAATATTAATATATTCTGTACACTTCATTGTCTACATATAAATCTATCATTAGTTGCTGCAGCTATATTTTTATAACTAGGGCATATTTAGATGTTTACTAAAGTCACTTTTTATTTTTTTAATTTCTTATAAAGGTGATGAACAGAGTTACAGTTACAAAAGTAGAGTAATGAGCACATTTCTTTTCAAACAGTGTTACCCTCCACCTCAATGTCACTTTTTCTATGTGATTAGGCTAGAAACACTAGCTGAACCATTAGAAAGTGAATTTCAAAGATAATTCTAACTTGGGCCTTGCATGGTGGCTCATACTTTTAATCCCAACTACATGTAGGGTGGAGGTAGAAGGATAATGGTTCAAGGCCAGCCAAGGCAAAGGCCTATCTTTAAAAGCATTTTTTATTATTATTATAAAGGTGATGTACAGAGTACATTTATTTTTGGACAATATCCCCCTTCTAACTCTCTCCCAGTTTGTCCCTCCTAACCCCACCCACAAGTTGTATAGCTCATTTTTAATATCGTTTCTGTTGAGTACCACTGCTGTATTTGTTTACCATTTATCCCTACATTTCTGGGACCCTCATTGCCCTCCCAAAGACAGATAAAAGAACAAGCAGGACAAAAATAAAAGAAAACAACAACAATAACACCAAAGGGGAAAAAACCCTCTTCTTCCCATTTCCTGGAGTTCATTTCAATAAATATTATTTTATATGATCAGATGCATAGAGGCATTGAGCCTTTGTGTTCCTCCCCTAAGAATATCTTCCTTTTGTGTCACTGTGTGTGAATGTCTGGAGTCTTGTGTAATTTATCATGCCCTGGTATATTTTAAATCTAGCTTCCACATATGAGAGAAAACTCAAGCTGTTTTTCTTCTGGGCTTACTTCACTTGATTTGCTCTAGATCTATCCATTTTTCTGCAAATGACATAAATCTTATTCTTTCTAGTAGCTGTGTAAAATCCCATCATGTACGGGTACCACATTTGCAAAGTCCTATCTTAAAAACAAGTTGGGCATGGTGGTACATACATTCAAACCAGCTACTGAGGAGGGAGAGATAGGAGAATCACAATTCAAGAATGACCAAGGAAAAGAGTGGGATATCCTTTCTGAAAAATAACTAAAGCAAAAAGGACTGGGGGCTTGGCTCAAGCGGTAGAGGCCTTGTCTAGCAAGTGAGAGGCCCAGAGTTCAAATATCAATTTAGCCCCCCAAAAAAGGGAAAAAGAAAAACGAAAAATAATATCATTGGGGTAGGAGCAGTCAAAGAGAGGAAAGGTGGGCAAATGCAGTCATAATATTTAATGTGCATGTGTGAAAATGGAACTAGGTAAACTGAACAGATAGGTAGGGATTGAAGCGGTGAGGGAGAAAGATGAAAGGGGTGATATTGATCAAGTTGCTTTGCACTCACAAACTGACATGCTGAAAACCCTTTCTACAACCACTTAAAGATAATACAAAATAATATATCTCTCAACTGGAGACATCATTGGAAACAATCAGTAACAATTATAACATCCATCTTATGAATAATAGATATTTAGGAAGGCATATCTATAAGTGGGTTGTCATTTCTGAAAGTAGTTGATGAGTCTGATTATTAGGATAAAACTTAAATATAAATTTGAAAATTAAAAGAAAAGTAACAAAGTTGTTTGGGAAAATTGAACTAAATTCACTGGGCCACTGATACAGGGCCTAGTACTAAAATTGGAATTATAAGAAGATAGAGACAATGAAAATGAAAACTAACTATTTTGAGCTAGTGTACAGTTAAAACTTTAGATTATTATAAACACATAAGGATTAATGGTGTGTGTGTGTGTGTGTGTGTGTTACTAAGGGTTGAAACTAGGGGCTTGTACATACCAAGTAAGCATTCTACCAAGTATTCCCCCCCACACTCCTGTTTTCATTTGGTTTTTGAGGCAGGATCTGTCACTATCTTTCTGCTCGTCATTCTGCATCTGCCTCCCAAGTAGCAAGGATTACAACTATGTGCCACCACGCACAGTTGGTTTAGAATATTTTATGAAATAAAATCAGGTATATTTTAGGTTACTTACCTGAAAGAAAGAAACAAGGAATAATGTTATATGTCCATACAAAGGAAGGAAAAGAAGGAAGAAAAGCAGGCAAAGTCAGGAAATGAAAACAGCAAGAGAGATCTCAAAGAAGAAAAACTAAGAACCAAAGCTACTTGTCCTTACAGCCCCAGAGGTTTAGAAGAATTCAATAAGCATTAGTTGAGCACCCACTTTATACTACATATTTTGCTTTTCATGAAAGATATACAGATGAATGAATCACAGTCTTTGGATATTTCCTAAGTTTAACTAAATTTGCTTGGAAGAGAAGAGAATGCTATTAAGAAGTTAAATCTCATAGCATAAGGCACCAAAGGATGTCACTAAACAAAATGAAAATGCTATATCATTGTCATCTTTCTTCCTAAGACAGGGAAAGTGTGTGTGTGTGTGTGTGTGTGTGTGTGTGTGTGTGTGTGTGTGTGTGTGTGTGTATACGCGCCTGACTGCACAAAGTATGTGGGTAGGAAATGAGTTGTGGTGGTGGCGATAGCAGAGCCATTGATCATGAGCTTAGCTAAGAGGTTTACTGCCACAATTGGATAGTAAGTACATTTCTTAGAGAAGTGGAGAATTCGGCAGCAAGGTCAAGTGAGCAGGGAGTAAGGTCAGCATGGACATCTGCATGCATCAGAGTAGAAGCAATAAGCATCAAAGGGAGAACACATAGTGAACCTGGCCCAGTCCAGGTGCAATGTGTGAGTGCTGCAGCGTGAGCTGTCACCAGGTGAACTGAAAGCAGTGTGTGTTTGGGGAGGGGTAGAGCATGAACATACTGAGAAGAGGTCTGAAAATAGCCTGTTTTTCTGACTTTGACAGTCTCAGTTAGACTGAGCAGTATGTTTGGGTACGTGCAGATTACGTAATTTTACTATTGGTGGTTATTCCTGCAAACATTCCTTTCTTTTCATTTTCCATCTCACTGAAAATATTTAGATGTGGGAATTGTTGCAGAAAAAAACAACAACCAGAAAAGCTCTTCTATCTGTTTCCTAAATTATGCAGCAGATTACACATCCTTTCTATTATCCCATTTGTTATTGATGCCCTAATTTATTTTGTAAAATTCCCCTCACGGCTTTGTCAACCCAAGGACATAATTGTGACAGCTTAAGAAGCTAAACATGGTTAACCAGATGGCACCAGTACCATGCCAGGAGCAGTCCTAATCCTCTGTTTCTAAATACTCTTCCCTTCTGAAATTCCATTTGCTTTTCAGTCCTGTTCCATTGCTTTCTTGTTAACTGACAAGCCAACCTCCCATTTATCTTCCTTTCTGAAGCTCCTCAGAGGCTGCTCCTGAAGGGGCCTTGAATAGATTTTGTCCATTTATCTCACAGAGCTATGGACCCCTGGGGCATCAGATTTAGAAGAGCTAGAAAGAATATTTTCCCCTATTTTATCTTAGGGGAGGAAATGATAGCCCTGAAGGTAGCAATACTTAATATGGTGTGTGGGTGGGAAGGAAATCGACTGGCAGAATAAGCACTGAGTGGGGATAAGCTTCCTCCTTTACAGGGTGCACAGAGAAATTATCTGGGTCCCTGAAAAAGCTAGCTTGGAAACAACTTGCTGCTAGGATGACTACTGAACAGAGAATATTCACACTCCCCTTAATCATGTGAGACAGACAAGTAAGAATGCTTTGAATCCTGAGTAGACAGAATGGTTGAGAAATGCATGCTATGGGATGAACACCCATCAGGACTATCTGGAGAGGATGTGTGGCAGCAAACGGATAGAAAATGAGAACTAGGCTACGAGGAAATGTTCCACAGAATTTCTTAGCCTTTACCCAAGACGTGATTGAAAGCATGATGCCCTTCTTGGTATTACTGCAGGATTTGTGTTATTCTTCCAAGAAAAACTGGATTGGAATCAGAGAAGGCATTCCATTGAACTGATTGTATAACACACTGCAAGGTTAGATTCATTGTAATTTAGGCTACTTGTATCTGTGAAACTCTCAAATCTTCATAGTAAAACACTATCACTTAAGTTAATTTGAGTAGCCTGTCTTCCTTTCTTCTTTTCTTCCTTCTTCTATTTCTATCCCCTTCTTTCCTTCCTTCCTTCCTTCCTTCCTTCCTTCCTTCCTTCCTTCCTTCCTTCCTTCCTTCCTTCCTTCTTTCCTTCCTTCCTTCCTTCCTTCCTTCTCTCCTCCCTTGCTCTCTTCCTTTCTAGCTTTCTTCCACCCTCACTCTCTTCTTTCTTCCCCTCCCTTTTCAGTTACAATGACAAACTTTGCTTTTGGAAATAATCTATGAAGCCACTTAGTTGAGTATAAGGAAAATGTATTTGGCATGATAGACAGTGTTTTGCATTACTTTGAGGGTACTGGGGTTTGAGTTAGCTTGGCGCTTACTAGGCAGGCACACTACTGCTCTAGCTGTTTTTGAGATAGTCCTTCACTTTTTACCCTAGGTCAGCCTGGACAACAATTCTGTTTATGCTTTCATCATAGCCGGGATGACAGGCACTCACCACAATGCCTTTCTCTATTAAAAGGAAGTATTGTTTTTTGTTTTTGTTTTTTATCCTGGTCTAGGTTAGCCTTGAACCAAATCACTCCAATCTTAGCCTCCTCAGTAGCTAGGATTACAGGCACAAGCCATGGTGTTTAGTTCCCAAAGTACTTTAAAAAAATTGTAACAGGACACTAACTATTTGTGCTGACAAGAGGCGCCTGTTGGCAAGCTCCATTGCTTCAGTATTAAGGGTCTCATCTATTTCCTTGTTACAGTGTGGACATTTAACCTTCTGATGTTCCGTTGTTTCTCCTTGGTTCAACTAAACAAAACACAAATTGAAAACAAATAAACAACAAAAAATAATTAATACATAGTATTATTATTTTGTTTAGCAGAAACATCAAGTACTTTGCATGACTTTAGCTGGAATATAGCAGAAAAATGTTCAGATACTCACCATTTATCATGTACAAGTCAGAATTATGGCCAGAAGGAAGTCGGTAGTCTGTTTGATGCTAGTTAGTAGTTGTAAGAAATGTCTGTATTTAACCCTTCTCTCACACTCCAGAATCAGAACTAGGAGAGCAGGGTAATGCTCTGTGTTTCTACAGGCTCAGTCTATGGTTGTGTTTTAACTAAGATTATACAACTGCTGTAAATGAGTCACTTTAGGTAGGACGAAATGAACATGCAACAAGCAGATGGGATAGACATTAATTTTCCAGTGGGAAAGACTGATGCTTAGTAACAAAGGTAAATTATACATCTAGATATTTCAAGGCCAGTGCTCTATAAACTCTAATGGCACCCATGTCTTCTGAAACAGATCAAGAACCAGATCAGTGGCTTCAGGCTTCACACACACACACACACACACACACACACACACACACACACACACACACACACACAGAGCTAGAGAGAGAGTGGGGGGGCACTGCACATAGTAATTGAATTTCCAGGGTAATAGCTGGGGAACTTGATATTTTAAATGAGCCTTGCAGATGATTCTGGCAGCCAAAGTCCACACTCACAGGAGCTACTGAAGAAATTCACTTGAGACTTGTCCTGTCCAGAAATCCTGGCAGTATTCCTGTAAGCACAGGGCTTGAGTCTGACTCCCCATCTGGAGCTTAAGCAGACTGATTAGGGTATGAAATAATTTGAGAAAAGGAGATCCTATTTCACTGAGGCTAATTATCTCTTAGAAGCTGGTCCCTTATATCCTGTGAGGCAGAAAAATATTGCAGTATAAATCAGACATGATGTAGGGCATGGAAAATAGTAGAAGCTTTGAAAAGACCCTAGGATAATTTTTTTTGATCCTAGGACAATTTTGACTATTTTCTCCTTATGGAAACCATGCTTGATTGGTGTCCTGAGTATTTCATTGAGTAAAAACACTATTAACCATAAAGTGGGTACTGCCAAGGGCGTAGCATACATGCCTAAATGAATGAATGAACAAAAGACCCTGCCAACATCCAACACAGTCAAAAAGTGGACATATTTTAAGGCTCACTTCCTGTTGTGTGTGGTATTTTTAAAAGGCAGTTCCAATATGCTGTTTCTTCTTTCAGATTTACAACCAATAATTTCAAAGGGGTTATGACTTCTGCATTACTCTATAGTGACTACACATTTTATTTTCTTCCCTTCATATTATGGTAAATGAGGAGATGTTCACACAACTTCTTGACAAGTTGTAAGTATTAAAATTCAGAATTAACACTTATGGCACAATTTATACTTAATGACAATCAAAGGTAGCTTGGAGAAATAGAAAGCTATCACATGCTTACTGCATATGGGTTTTGAAGTACAATAGCCTTGTTCACCATGTTCCAGTCAGCATTAGCAAGGTCTTTGTCAAATTTGAGTGTAGAAGCTGTAGATTTGGTTAGCTCTTGAAAGTGTTGAAATGTATAATAAACGGATTTGTATTTTGTTGATGTGACATCCCGAAGACCTTCGATGAAGAAAAAAACACATTTTATGAAAAATAACATCACCATTTTGATCAGTTTGCCTTTGTTCTTAATTATTACCTCTAAGCATTTTAACTATTAAGTATTCAGCACAAGTTAAATATAGGAAAACTAACAATTAAGACATTTTCTTCTATATGCTTTACAAAAGTTGAGCTACAATGGTAACAGTAATAACTAGTATTTATTGAGTGCTTACTCTTTGCTGGAAAAACAGGCCTAAAACCTTATATGCATGAAATGTCTTGGTTATCTTAACTCTTTTTTTGTTTACTTGGTGAGGAAAAAGAGCAAGAGAGGTATAATGGTTAATGTCAGGTGTCAACTCGACTGGACTACCAATTGCCTAGATATTTGGTTGAACAATATGCTAGATATGCCTGTGAGACCGTTTCTGGTTGTAGTCAACATTTAAATTGGGAGACTCAGCAAAGCACAATGCTTCCTCCAGTGTGAGTGAACAATCAGTTGGTGGCTCAAGGAGAATGCAAGGAGGAACCTGAATGAATTCACACTCTTACTTGATGGCTAAAAAGCTGGAACTTTGGTCTTCTGCCTTTAGAGATGGACTAGAACTGATATCATTGGCTTCCTTGGTTCCCAGGCATTTGGACTGAAGATCTGGGACTTAGCTTCCACCAGCACATGAACCCACTAAGTAAAAGGGAGTATCTCTGCTTTACTCCACAGGGATCCAAATATTTTTCTGTCCTTGAACTGGAAAGTCAGTTTCCAGTTCCCTGAGGAATGTAGCATGTGTTATAGTCTCTCTTTTATTCCCTAAGAGGTCTGTTGCCTTTGATGCATGTGTGGCTTTCTGCTTTCATCTTACTGACTTCACCCTTTCTCTTCATCCCAATGTAAGCCATCATCTCAAATGTTTTTTCTGTATTTACCAATGTATTCTTATCAGTTCAGATATTGTCAAGTGACTAGAAGCCTCTTTATGAATGTTTGTTGAATAATTAAATTTTAAAACTATTACTATAGTTACTCTAGAGTCATGTAAATAAGTAATCTTTTTCTAAACAAGCAGGTTTATTGGCTAATAGGCCTTTACACAGAGACTCAATTTCATCTTTAGTTAGAAACCATCAACTTGTATATATATAGTTTTTCCCTTTGTTATTATCATCCCTTTAGCATATACAGAATATTCCCCCTTCATTCAGAATAGAGATGAACAGAACTTACCAAGTTTAGTGACAGCCTTAGGCAAAATAAACCTATTGACAACCAGGGTAATTAAGCAGACTGATACTCCATGAAAGAGTACCTAAAATTGAATAAAACAAAACAAAACACTGTATCTTATATTAATCAATGTTAAATTAAGATTGCTATTCTTTTTTAAAACAGTTGCCACCAGTGTAAATATATGCATTAAAAATGATTTTATTTACCAAGGTTTTAGTTCAAAGCAGGACTTCTTTACATTGCATCCTTAGCCTAAACGTCACTGCCCAATCTCATAGTCATTGAGCATTTACTAGGAGCCACAGAGTGAATTAATTAACTTTCTAGGAGGGCACAGAACCAATAGCTAAGCTCAGAATTTCAGATTCTTGATCTGTGTATGGTGTTCACTGTCAAACTGATCATACTGATATGGATGATGAGAGAAGATTACAAAGAAGATAGAGCTCATCTAACATTAGGTAACAAGTTACCTAATGTTAAGAACAATTAAAAGATTTGAATGTCTGGTCTGTCATTTAATAGTATATACCAATTACCAGGCACACAGGAAACTTTCTATGGAGTTCTTTGTCATTATCTTGGATAGAGTTATGGTAAAGAGAAGGTGATTGCAGTTTATTCCGTTTGACTTTACAGTCTTAGAGAGAATTTTAGCTTGAAATTAAAATGTTTTGTGTACTGGCATCATTAAATGTAGTCTTATAACATTATAGAAGGCAATACAATGAGCCAAACATAAGTTTCTGACTCTTTTGAGGTTACTAGATGTAAATAAAATGAAATATATTGAGTATATAGTTTGCAACAGGTGCTAACTGAAATGATTTATAAATTTTCATTCCTTCCATTTTCATGATAAGTCCATGTGAGGCTTATCATGATAAGCAATATGAAGAAGTAGGGAATCTCTAGGCTGGAACGGGGAGGAGGGAAGATGTGATGTTATGTGTTCCTTTTCTTCCTGTCTTCCCATCATTCCAACAGCCCAAGTGGGATGGAGCTTTCTCATTACAAAAAGAACACAGATCTGGAATACACAGCAACATATTTTTTTGGCAGATATTCAAATAATAACACGCAGCTTCTTTTACTTGTGACTTTTCCCTCTCCGATCCAAGGGTCAGGTCTGAGTAGGCGAGCAGAAGCGCCATGTTGATGTTGGGTGTTCCTTTCATCTCACTCCACACCATGATGAAAGCCCAGCGCCAGCTGAACCCGTGCCCCAGTCGAGATAAAAATGGGCTCATCAGCAGAATGACCAGAAGTCTAAAAGAAAAATAAATAAGTTATCCAATCTATTCATTCCATTCTATCCTAGTTTCTTCTCTGTGTTAATTGTTGACTCTCTCACACACAGAGGAGGTCATCTTTTGCCACCCTGTTGGCACGACAAAGGGAGGAAGGCAGAGAGGATCTCAGTGGAATAGCTAAAAATGGTCCCCCCTCCCTTCCCCCCTTCTCCCCTCCCCCTCCCCTCCTCTCTGACCTCCCCCTTCCCCTTATTCTTCCCCTCCCCTCTCCTTTCCCCCTCCCCCTTCTCCTCTCCCCTTCCCTCCTCCTCCTCCTCCTCCTCCTCCTTCTTCTTCTTCTTCTTTTTTTTTTTTTTACAAGATTTGAATGGTAGGGTAATTCTACATTACCCTTGAGTGGTATTTCCTTAGAGGTAATGAAAAAGAAATGAAATAATTTCAATGAGTAAGAATTGAGGAAAAATGTCCTCTCTTTTTATTTGTAGATTTTAGTTCTGCTAAATCTAATATCGGTTTCTTATTTTTAAGTCTATCAGTAGCCATTTCTATCTCTATTTCTTTTTTTTTTTTTGGGGGGGGGGGTCCGGTCATGGGGCCTGAACTCTGGGCCTGGGTGCTGTCTCTCAGCTCTTCAGCTCAAGGCTAGCGCTCTACCACTTGAGCCACAAAGCCACTTCCGGCTTTTTTCTTTTTTCTTATGTGGTGCTGAGGAATCAAACCCAGGGCCTCATGCCTGCAAGGCAAGCGCTCTACCACTGAGCCACCTTCCCAGCCCCTCTATTATATTTTTTTCTATATATCAATTGGTCAGTTTTATTTTATCTTGCATTCTCATATCATTCCTGAATTTCATACTAATATTTTCTGATGATTTTGAACTAATTCCCACTTATTTGGCACTAGCTGAGTTGAGGCTGACAACTACCTCATTTTTTCTAGATGACAGTAGAATGTTGCTAACTTGAGTGATGGAGATTAAAGAACTGGGTCCCAGCTTATGGTGTTTTTATATTCTGCAATTTGTTTTTTTCCAGAGCCTAACAGACTCATCATTTTCTTAAAATTGCAAAAAGTACTATAAAGTTTATTTGAGCAAAGAAGGCATTATCCAAGAGGGCTTCCAGATGGTTTCATAAAAAGCTACTTCTAAATCTAATTTTCTATTCATTGAAATTATAAAATGGTATTGAGCGAAACTCTAAGGTAAGGCTGCACCAGTGGCTCACGTCAGTAATCCTAGCTACTACGGAGGCTGAGAGTGTAGGATTATTGTTCAAAGTCAGCCTGGGCAGCAAAGTCTAAGAAACTCTTATCTCCAATTACCTGCAAAAAGCCAGAACAGCTGTGGCTCAAGTGAACATCGAAAGCTCAGAGATAGTGCCTATACCCTAAATTGAAGACTCAGGACTGGTGCACACACACACACACACACACACACACACACACACACACACACACACAGACACCTAGGATAAGAATTTCTATTTATGAAAGATTATTACCTTTATGAAATCTTAGGGAAATAAAACACTAGATGAATTGTACTGACTGTTAATAGTGATGACTTCTCAATTCTTACATTATGCAATATAGTATTCTTCCATGCAATTTTCTGAACTTTTTACAAAGTGTTTGCATTGCTTTGAAATTCAGTTACAAAGTGAGAAAACTGTGAGGCATTAATTTGCTGGTGATATGTTGAAAAGCTATTTTTATTATTTAACAGGTGATCTTCAGACTTACTCTATTTCCTATAGGTAAAATCAAGCAGCTTTCATTTTCTTACCTTAAAATAATGAGTGTGAAGTAGATGTTTAATGAATAATATATATCAGAAAATGAGATGTATAAATATGTATATGCAGGAATCAGAAGTCCAATGAAAGTAAACACCATGAGAAAAGCAACAAAAGATAGACAATTCCAGAATCTGCATTTTTCAGAAAAATAAAAGCATAATTAAGTATATTTAATTAATGACCTCTTGACTGCAAAACTTATCTGTGTGAGATATCATACTATTCATAATGAAGAAAAGAATTTATCAACATTCCACAAGGCTCAAAATTGAACTCTGAAGAACATGGCCTCAAGGCAAATAGGTCATTCTAACAAAATTTAACCCAATATATGTGCGTAAATTAGTATCTGTGTTTTTTCCCCCTATTTTATCTGCCAGAAATGTTTAGACTATAGCTTAACTACAAGTAAACTGTAAATAATCAGATATCACAATTGAAAATAATTGGAAAATACTAACAAGCAAGTCACTGTTTCTTTAGGTCATTTTTTTAAAAAAGGAAATACTAAGAGGTTCTTCTGGCTTGCATAGTAATGAAAATAAGTAAGCTGTGGCTAAAATACAGCTACTTTTCAGAAAGTATGAATAAATTCTTCACACACCCCTCCCCCTCCGTCAGCTTCTGGGAGATACTGAAAAACAGAATGGGATTAGTTTTTTTTTTAATGTGTTTTTTATTGTAAAAATACTGTACAGAGAGGTTACAGTTACATGAGTGAGGTAAGGAGTACATTTCCTATCAAGCATTGTTACCTCCTCCTTTGTTTTTCCTCTAACCTCCCTCCCTCCCCTCCCTCAACTTCTCCCCTCCCTGCCCCCAAGTTTTAAAGTTCATTTTCAACATAGCGTTGGAGTTAGTTTTTAGTCTTTTTTTTCTACTCTAGTGGGATTTGGACTCAGTACACTACCAGTTGACTCACATTACTATCAGACCTTTTTGCTTTAGGTCTTGTTCTCACCCCCTCCTCTCCCTTGGGAAGGCTTGAACTGTGATCTTTCTACCTACATCCCTAATAAGGTGGAAACTACTGGTATGTGCTATCTCACTCAGTTTAAGAAATTATTCACTGGGTATGTGTCCTGGGGCTTGAACTCAAAGACTTGGCTCTGTCCCTTAAGTTTTTGCTCAAGGATACTGCACTACCACTTGAATCATAGCTCCACTTCTGCCCTTTTTGGTAGCTAATGGAGATAAGATCCTCACAAGCTTTCCTGTTTGAGCTGGCTTTGGAACCACAGTCCTCAGATGTCTACCTCCTGAGTAGCTGGATTACAGACATTAGCCACTGATGCTTAGCAAAATGTTTGTTTTTAAGGTATACAAGTTGATATTTTGGTATACATACATTTTGGTATGTGCATTATGAAGTGAGTACTACCAATTAGCTAGTTAACATATTGATAACCCATGTACTTTCTGTGTGTAGTGTCATGGAGAGAACACTTAATAGCTATTCTCTTAGCAATTTCAAGCATTGTATTTCTTATTATTGTCATCATCAGACTAAGTATTAAATCTCAGGGCTTATTTATCATGTAACTACAATTGTTCACTCCTGGTAGACACGAATGTGTTTTGCTTCTATGAGTGGTTATTTTGGACTCTACTTATAGGTGAAATAATGTAATATTTGTTTTCATGTGTCTGGTTTATTTTACTTAGCTTAATGTCAACCAGGATGATTTATATGGCTGAGAACGCAAGATTTTCTTTCTTTCAAAAACTAAATAATAAGTCATTATATGTGTAGATAACACATAATTCCAGATTCTGAACATTCATCACATAGACATCCATGTCTTCCTGTTCTATCTATCTATCTATCTATCTATCTATCTATCTATCTATCTATCTATCTATCTATCTGTCTGTCTGTCTGTCTGTCTGTCTGTCTGTCTGTCTGTCTGTCTGTCTGTCTGTCTGTCTGTCTGTCTACCTACTTACCTATCCACCTACCTATCTGTCTATGTCTCTCAACTTATATTTGTCACCTAACACATTTCATTATCCAATTACTTGTCAATGTTATTCAGATATTCAGGTTTTTATATCTTAGCTATTGTGAATAGTTTACAAATCCCTTCTCCCTTTATGTAGGTCTCTGCCCTGCTATGATTCAGCACAAGGCATCCTCTCTAGAAAGGCATCAGACTGCCTCCAACAGTGAGAACTGTGAATCACGTAAACTGACTTAAAACTTTCTCTGCCTCTAAACTTTGCTAAGACAGTGATTGTGTACAATTCTTTGTACAGTTAGATTTGGTTTGGTCTCTGCCTCTAAACTTTGCTAAGACAGTGATTGTGTACAATTCTTTGTATAGTTAGATTTGGTTTGTTACTTTTTTGATTTTCAAGCTATAATTTTCTTTCTGTTAAATTTAACCTGATATTATTTTACTCATGATTTTGACCTATAACTTTTTTCTTCCTGTGATGTCTGTTTGGTTTTAACATAGAGATGATGTTGACTTCATACAATGAGTTTGGGTATAAGCCAAATAACCAAGCACCAAATTGTTTTAATAGGTATATATGTGCACTTGTTCCTGTGTGGGCCTAAGTAATAGTTTTGGAGCACAGAAAAAGAACTTCTGAGTATTAAAAAATCCTTTCTTCTTCATTTACTTTGACTGTACATAAATATCAAATGATCTTACTCTCTGCTTTCACTCCAACCTAGGCAAATCTGTTACTTTTAGTATCCAGTGTTGCACAGCCAAAAGCCTAGAGGGATAGTGATGGACTTTAGGGGACGTTAATTTTATACAGTTTCTATTTGGGGATTTTTTTCAAACAAGGTGACATCTGAATGGAAGCATAAAAAGAATCAAAGCAGTCATTCCTGAAAAAGCACATTCCAAGAGCATGAAACCAAAAGAATACAAGTGCAAACAGGGAGTGAATTTGGCATAATTGAAGAATTGCAGCATGGTAAGTAGGTGAGAGCAGGGCAGGGAGTATGAGTGTGAACATGGTGGGGTGTCACACAAATGGCAGGACACACGCCATCGGATTTGCCACTAAAGTAACCGACTGACAGATAAAGAAGATGGCAATTCATATAGGAGAGAATTGAAGATGTAGCATAGCTAGTAATGAGACATCAGGATCAATGAATTATAGTCTTTAATGTGACAGAGTTAGTAGAATCAGGAGACCAGAGGACACAAGTATGGGCATGCTTTCTCTCTCCCAGACAGTAGAATGGACCAGCTACAGGTTGTTGTGGGATGTAGTAGTATTTGTCACTATTATCTTAGATTTCTACTACGTTCCTTGGAGAGTAGGAGTTGGTACATGACATAGTTTATACAGTTAGAGTACTAAATGGAGAGGCTGCAATGATCTTTGGCAGTTGGTGGCAAACTTGGGGTAGTGTATGTATCACAGGAAGAGAGGGATTCAGGAAGGAAAAGACATGAGAGTAGATGTCATTATGTACAGTGGAAGAGTGACATTGGAGAGAGTCATAGGCCAGACTAAAAATTTGCTTAAAACAAATAGGGAGGGTTAATGGGGAAATAAAACCCATCTAGACTCAAAGGGTGGGTTACAAATTTTACCCACAATGAAAGGATTAGAAGGCACTTGCAAACAGAACCGTTTCTAATGAGAGTCATTTCCATGTCAATATCTGTCCTTGATCATACAGATATAGATATAATATTATAACTTCTAGCTTATTAAGCAAAGTGAAAATATACCAGCCACTTACTCAAGAAGAAGTGATTCAACTCCTGGTTTAAAACTTGTTGAATTTAAAAAAAGTCCCATAGTTGCCAGAGTAAATATTCCAGACATTCCGACTAACTCACCTATTTTTAAGATAAAGCATTCACATCAATAGTAGCACAAATTTTTACCACAGTCAAAATATTGAGTACCCTGATTTTCTTAGAGAAAATACTCCATTCGGTTTTAGCTGCAAAGCATCATAAATGACTTTCACCATCCCTTGTCCTTTTCAGCTTCAGATTCACACCCAACTGTGTAGTAAGGTCTGCCATGGATATGCTAGAACTACTTGGGTCATCACTGGAAAATATATGGACTTCACAAAACTTCATGTACCTCTGTGAGGCTGGAGTACCTTCCACAACTCTATTTGTTTCAGGGGTCTCTGGAGTGTTGAAATGGAAATTAGCTGATAAGGTAATAAATTTATTATGGACCAGTCCATGTCGTTTGGGAGGAGAGTAGAAGAGAGAAATGTTTTGTGATGGGAATAAGAGAATGGGCCAGAAAGAGTCTCAGTATGGATACATTTTCAATGTTTTATTTATTTTTAATATGGGTTACTAAGAAGTATTAAAAAATAGTCACAGAAATTTTTCAAAATCCATCTGTTAGTGTTCATCATCCCTGAGTTTATCAAAATACTCTGTTTCCACTGTGAAAAATTCAAAGTGTCACAAGTTTTTTTGTTTAGTTTTGCAAACTTTTATCTATTATGTAAATTTTATTTTATTGTAAAAGTGCTGTGCAGAGGGGCTGGGAAGGTGGCTCAGTGGTAGAGTGCTTGCCTTGCATGCATGAGGCCCTGGGTTCGATTCCTCAGCACCACATAAGCAAAAAGAAAAAAGCCAGAAGTGGTGCTGTGGCTCAAGTGGTAGAGCACTAGCCATGAGCTGAAGAACTGAGGGACAGCGCCCAGGCCCAGAGTTCAGACCCCACAACTGGACCCAAAATAAAAATGCTGTACGGAGGTAATTTCTTATCAAACATTGTTACCTCCTCATTTGTTTTTCTTCTACTATCCCCTCTCGCCCCAAATCCCCAATTCCTTCCTCCCATAGTATGTAATTTTTAAGGTGTATATTTTACTCTGAATACCTTTGTGCCATTTTAAGAACAAAGCCCTCACTTACAAAAATAAAAGACGAGGTACAGAATTGAAAAGATGAGACTTATATGATTGACATCATCACCAAAAACAGTGGACATCCATAACTGCATCAGTTTTGAATTTATAATTCCAAATAAGAAACTTTCTATAAAGTATGACCAAATTTCACCCAGGGCATCACGAACTATAGGAAAATGAAGAAAATAGAAAATTATTATTACAATTTACTTGTTCTTCACTTGAAGTGATACTTTGGGTCTTTTTTTCTTTTTGTCTTTAGTTGTAAAGTTACTTCACAGTTACAATAACACTGAAGTGCAGATTCCCCTTCAACATATTGATTTCAGTTTTGGAGAGTATATAAGCAGAAATGAGATTACTGGTATATGAGTTTCTTCTTAATATACTCATCCACACTTGATATCTCTTCTATTTTTTTTCTTCTGGTGTTTTGAGATAGGGTCTTGCTATGTAGCCCAGGCTGGCCTGGAACTGGTAATCCTCCCACCTTAGCTTCTCTAGTGCCTGGATTATAGAAGTGCACCAGCATACCTAGCTATTACTTGTAGTTTTGATATAAGCTAATACCACTGGTGTAAAGCAATAGCTCATGATGATGTTTGTTTGTGCTTCTGTAATGATTAGGGATGTTGAGCATTTTATGTATCTATTGTATATTTATATGCCTTCTTTAGAGAAATATCTGTTAATTTTAAGTTGGGTTGTTTTCAAACTATGGAAACATAAGTAGATTAAGTACATAAAATATAGTATGTCCATATATGGACATACTGTTTAGGCTTTCAGAAAAGCAATTTTATAAATTTCTGGTGGATCACACTAGCTACTCTAAAGGCTGAGATCTGAAGATGCTGGTTCATAGCCAGTCTAGGGAGACAAATCCTTGAGAATCTTATCTCCAGTTAACCAGGAAAAAGGCAGAACTAGAGATATGGTTCAAGTGATAAAGTTGAAAGAGAAAGAGAGAAATATGGGAGCTCAAGCCCTGCATTCAAGTCTCAGTAGTGACACAGAAAGAAGGAAATTTTATAATTGGTAGCAACATGAGTGAATGTAAAATGGCATTATGCTAAGTGAAATAAGTCAGGCGCAGGAAGTAAAATACCACATTACCTCAGTTATTTATGGAGCCTAACAAAATTGAATTCCTAAAAGTAGAGACTTGAATATTGGTTACTAGAGGCTAACAGGAAAGTATAGGAAGGAAGGAATAAAAAATGGTGATGCATGTTGTATACAGAGTAACTATAAACAATAATCATCTATTACATAGTTCAAAATAATGAAGAGTATATGTTTCAATGTCTGATCATAAAAGATTATCAGTAAGAAAGGTTGTAGATATAATTAATTTTCTTAATCGCTCCACATTATATACACCTATCACAACATCCCCACAACTATAAGCAATTGTGTTAATTTATAATAGTATTTACTTAAAAGATACTTTGGGACATTTGCACATATTTTCTAAGTTGAGAATTTCTTCTTAAATGCTAAAATGAAGTTTGCTAAACTGATTGGTTTAGTTTAAACATATCTTTCATTCAGTCTCCTCTAAGTTAATACTTCTTGAGTGGTGTAATACAATCTTGGAGATACAGAAATGAATAAATAGAAAGCTCTATGCTCATGGAACTAATATTGTAGATCTAACATGATATGCATTGAACAGAAAAAGCAATGCTTTGCCGCCCTTCAGGACAAGTCTCCTCAGTTACATTGGCTTCTCAAACTGCTTCTTTATTGCTGGGAATTTCATTTAACATCCCCCTGATAAACAACACTTTTGTACATATACTTTTATGCTTTTCTGATAATGTCAGTGATAAATTATATGCTCTGAGGCTTTTCTTGGTTTAACAAATCTACTTATAGGTCCTAAAATTGGAATTATTTCCACCAAAACATAGATGTTCCTTTGCTGTGGCTGATCCTTTTAAGATTTAACTGCTTTCCATAAAGCAAAGTTATGATGTCTTGCCCCAAAACAGGAACCTTCATCCTGTCACAAACTCAAGTTGTTGGAAGTAGGCAGGCCAGTGGGCAAAGAAGTCTCCATCTTTACAGGACAAAGAACAGAGGAGGGAATTTCAATGACAGGATGGAGCTGGCCGTGACTAAGTCTAAAGCAAAGGGTGGGGTCTGACTAGTTTCAGAATCATACAGGAATCTAGAAAACTGCTTTCTCTTTTAAGAAAGGAAAATAGTTTTTTAATGAGTAACGTGTTTGCTGACTAGATTTGTCAAGCCCAGAAAAGCCCCAAAGCAAATACTTTATTAGTTAATGTTATATTCAAAGTCATAACACCCAGGTTGCATAGGGAAAGAACTGAGTGCAATAATTCTTATTAATTTTTCTCTATTATAAAATTTATGATAACACTATGATACTTCTAACTGCAGAAGTTTAGCAACATATTTATCAGAAAATCTTATCTAGCATTTTTGTTTCTCAATGGAAGTTTTCTTTCAAAGCAAATGCAAGTTGAAAGTATTGATGTCCAGGAAAACACATTCATTGTTCTCTTTCTCCCAGAAGGGGTTTTATTACTGATGTCATTATTATGATTAGATTTACAATTACTGTCTCCCTTAAAGCTAACCACTTCCCCCTCAAAAGTCTTCTACCACTGTAATAAAAACCCTAAGGTAACTCTATGATAAGCCTTATGAATAGGACAGAAGTGTGTCTCTTGTGCACATGGCTGGCTGAATTAGTAGGTCTTAGCATTGGAACTTTTGCATAACACACATCACTAATAGTTGAATCAATTCATGAGTGAACTTGCAAATCAGCACCTTCTCTTCCCCTTCTTCCCACTCTCTTCCCTTATAGTGAATATTTTGATAAGGCTGTATACTTCTCTAATAATGTGATATGCTTTGCTAATATTCTGTGGTCAATTATAACACAATTATAAATGGGACCTGGTAGAATTCAGGACCTAGTTTAGTGGCAGACATGGATGTCCAGGCTGGTTCCATGACTTTGCTTCTTTGTGCTTTAGTTTGTAAGATGCTTTTGAATCTAGACAGTTTTTTCTCTTGTTGTTCACCTTGGGGTCCTTAGGAGGGTCATATCTTCAGGAAGTGTTTCAGTGAAAGTCTCTGAGTGATTTATTGGGCCATTTCCCTTTGACTCTGAACTTTTGCTGAAGCTGTGGGTGGTTGCTTGGCTTTTATACTGCAGATGGCAAACGGCAAATCTGAAACATGTAAATAGGGTGGCTCTTTCTGTGTTAAATAGGGACTCCAGATTCATCACAGATGTTCTAAACTGTCCTGGCCTGGGACAATGAACACTTGATATAGCTTTAGCAAATTGTTGCGCATAGGCAGAGAACAAGGGTTTCTTATGTCTAAGTGGCTCACTGGGCTAGCTGTTTTGAGGAGGAGCTGAAAAAAATGGTGGTAGATCTTCTTGGGGAAGAAAAGTCTTCACTTTTGAGTTTAGATGTGAATAGGTGAGGCAGGGATTGTACAGAACACAGGAAAACAGTTACTGGATGTTCCTCAATGACACTCTTTTCCAGGCCATGGAAATCCATCCTATCTACAACTACTCCTTATTCAATGGCTGGAAAGATCATCTGGGATAGTCACCATTTGGGGGGAATGGGGGTGGTAGAAGGATTGCAATTCCACAGAGTGGATTATTATTTGACATCATTCAACCCCCTTGTTGGGGTGTTTGGAAACACTTCCTAAAGACATGGTCTTCTTAAGGGAAAAAGGTGATAAAGAAATAAGACAATGCTTCAGCCTCAGAACAGAGAAAATGCCTAGTGACTAGAATACTGCATGTTCTTAAGTTTTCAAAAAGACTGTGTTCTCTGCTTTTCAAAAATCCATGCCAATGCCAATGTAATAAATGAGTAAATACCTTCATAGTACTGTGATAATAGCTATTTTCATTCCATAAATATCCTAAAAGTATACATTCTCCCATTACTAGAAATTAAGAGACTACATATTAGGAAAAAATTAGGAGGAAAGCTTGGAGTTTTGATTAGCTAGAAGGAAGAAGATGCTTGTAGACAGTAGGACTACACCTCTTGCCCAGAGCAATAATTACATGGGCATATACACCCCAGTCATTCATTACAATGCACACACATGTATAAAATAAGGTATTATGGTTCAAGACATCTGAGAAAGGTAAATGAGAGAGCTCATGAGAACCTTCCAGTCCTCTGGTTACAATCCCTTCTCCTTGGCTCTATAGAAGACCCCATCTGGTTTGCTTCTTCCTGAATAACCTCATTCTACGTTATCTCCCAGGAGACAGGCTCTCGGAAGAGAAGAGGAAAGGAAGTTAGCTGACTCCTCTTATCAACAATGGATGCATTGCCTTGTTTATCTTTGAAGCCACACTTCAGCATATCAAGAAAAAACAAAAATACACAAAGAAACAAAACTTATTAAGAACAAACAAACATCAGCCTCATTGCCTGGTATTTTGTTTCAGAGTAGGCCTGTGGCGTATTGCTTTTCATAGCTATCTTCATGAAAAAGGCCCAACCCAGCCTCACAACAAATCCATTACTGACACAAAGAGGGAATATGTAGCTGTGCTGTGTACAGGGTAATCACTATTCAGATAACACTCTTATTTATATAAGCGCAGTTTATGGCATGATATTAGAAAGTCCATGTCAGCTCTGAGAGAATACACAACAAAGCTCTGATTTTAAGAAATTAAGAAAATAAAGCACAATTCCTTACCAATGGTGCTATTCATCATATGTTTTCTTTTCAGATTAATATTCACAACACTCCTATACATGATTAATGATATAATAGAGGTCATCAAACTTTCTCCATTAATTAAATTTGTGAGGCCTCTAGAAAGACCTAGATGGAAGAGATTTCTTTTTAAATAAGGGAACTTCAAAATATTAAGAAATAAAATTAGATTGGCAAGTAGGATGGTAATGTTTGCTATAGATTTGTATTATATAATTTCCCCTACATACTTAAGCAGTAATCATGTTGAAAATGCCCATTAAGAATATTAAATTTTTCACTAAGGTAATTATGCAAATTAAATGTTGTCTATCATGTTTATGTAAGTCAGATAATTAATGCCAGATCTCATTCTTCATTTTGATGAAGAACATGAAATTGATGAAAACATGAAATTATTTTTAAATCCAACGACAACTTAGTCTATATAAATGAACACATTATACATCAGATACATATAAGAGAAGACAAAAATGATGATTGAAAGATAAAGTAAATTCATAAAATATCTAAAGATAATTTTCCAAACAAGATAATTGTTCAGATAATCTAGCTAGAGTAAGAAATTATTGGACTGGTAATGTGGCTTTGTGGCTCAAGTGGTAGAGCGGTAGCCTTGAGCACAGAGAGGTTCAGGGACAGAGCCCAGGCCCTGAGTTTAATCCCCAGAACTGGCAAGAAAGAAAGAAAGAAGAAAGAAAGGAAAGAAAGAAAGAAAGAAAGAAAGAAAGGAAGGAAGGAAGGAAGGAAGGAAGGAAGGAAGGAAGGAAGGAAGGAAGGAAGGAAGGAAGAAAGAAAGAAAGAAAATAAAGAAATTATTCTGCATTCCATACATTCTTTTGAATGGTTTTAGAAATAAAGTTGCATGAATGGACAGCACCTATCAGAATTTCCTATCTTTCTGATATTACTCTAAGTTTAGCTATCTATCAAATTGTCCTTTTCCTTGTAATTAACTTTGAGTACCTTTGTAACTTGCTGAAAGGCAAAGGTTGAAACAACATTTTTACATAGTGAAACTCCTTTTTGTAACTTGATCACTCTGTAACCATAGTAAGTTTGCTTACTATATTTGTTGTGTTCCTGTTAAGACAGCAAGTGTTGTCCTGGTCCAGTTCTTCACTAAGCACTGCACAAGAAATTATCTCCCCCCTCCCCCACTAGTCTTGAAGACTCAACTGTTCTCTATTTGTGCATTTACCTACAATGTATCGCTCATATTCTGTTTCTATTTGTTTCAGGTAGCTCTGTCCCTTTTAATTGGCCATAAAAAGAAAATGAAATTGAAAAGAATGCTGTGTGTGTTGTAAGCATGCCCAACTGTGTCATATTCTGTTTTAGGATGCTTTTTTTAGGAGTCATTATTAAAAAGTAAGTGAGTTTGTGGGTGGGAATAGGAGAGGAAAACTGAGCAAGAGTGAGCAAAGGGGTGACATTGTCCAAAGAATGTCCTCTTGCAACAATGAGATGTACAAGTCGTTATGTCGAAAAACGACCTTTACAACTTGGGGGATGGATGGGAAGGGAAGGGATGAGAAGGGGAAAAACAAAGGAGGAGGCAATAATGCTTGATAAGAAATGTACTCATTACCTTGTCCATGTAATTGTAACCCCTCTGTATGGTATTTTCAAAATAAAAAAATAAAAGAAAAACAAATACTAGATTTCTCATATGCAGACTCTAGACCCAGAAAATTAAATGAATGACCCAGGTGTAAAAGATGGAACTGATTGTTTGGAAAAAAGTGAGTGAGGAGATGAAGAGAAATAGTGTGGATTAATATGTTCAAATACTTTATAAGTTAGTATGATGACATAACAAAATGTAAGTATAGAAATAGGATAATGAAATTAATGAAAGGAAGCTACATTATGTGGACATATAGGTATAACAATAAAAATACTTTGTGAAATTAATATTTGCTAATAAAAAGACAAAAATTCAAAAAAATATCCTTTTTACCTGACTTACATAACTGTTACATATATCACTTTTTTTTTTTGTCGGTCGTGGAACTTGAACTCTGGGCCTGGGCGCTGTCCCTCAGCTCTTCAGCTCAAGGCGAACGCTCTTCCACTTGAGCTACAGCGCCACTTCCTGTTTTCTGGTGGTTTATTGGAGATAGGAGTCTCACGGTCTCTCCTGCCCGGGCTGGCTTTGAACCACGATCCTCAGCTCTCAGCCTCCTGAGTAGCTAGGATTACAGGCGTGAGCCACCAGCGCCCGGCAACATATATCACTTTTATGAGAATAAAAAAATTAAAAACAATAAAAAAGTAGATAAATGGAATATTGTTTAGTTTTCCTGTGTGGGGATCTTGGATTATTTGACCTTTCTGTATTAATTTGTTCTTTTATTGTCTTTTCTTCTTTTTAATTTTGGCAGTGCTAGAGTTTGAACTCAGAACCTTGTGCTTGATAAGCAGGCATTTTACCGCTTATGCCACACCCCTAGGCTTGTTTATTTTTTTTACTTTAGTTTACATTTCTGATAAATTCTCATAATTTTTTTCTAAGGCTAGCTTCAGATCCTATTTCTTCCAGGCATTTTACCTTTATATAGGTTTTATGACTCTAAAATAGTATATGCTGAAAATACTATAAGAGCTGGCAAGATTATTGTTCTTCGACTCTTCTGGGTTTTTGTTATCTTAAAGGTAACAAGGACACCAAAGGCATTTTTTAATGGTATGTTAATGACTGTTTTCAAAGAAATATTGAGCATCAGATATATCACCACTGTATATATACAATATTATATTTGCCCTGGGTTGGTATTCTAAACATGCCTCCTGCCCTAGTCTAGAATCTGATGGTGCTTACCAGCAAACAAGCCCCTTGTCACTGAGTCTTACTTCTAGAACCTTTGCCAGCTCTCAATCCCTAGGCTCCCTCCCCACCCCCTACTATACCACTCTACACAGTTAAAGATCGTCACTAATGATCTTAAAACTGAGTTGACTTTATAAAATACAATATTCTCAATAAACTAATAGAAAAGGTCTACCTACCCAGATCTCTTACAGAAGCTGCAGTCAGCATGGGGTCTGAACTCACAAGGACAGCTGCGAATAGCAACCAGGAGACGGTTTTCAAAGGTAACTTAGTCACCGATTGCAGATACCAAAGTATTAAGGTATAATTAACCACAAAGCCAGGAATTGTAATTAAAACTATCTGCAAAGAGATATTATGGGATATTATGGTAAACAGTCAGATTGGGTTTGTGTTGCATTTTAAAGATCAGGAGAGCAGGATTATTAGACACGTAGGACCAGCCAGTATTAATAGCACCCATTAGCAGACCCTAGAGGGGAGCCATACAGCTTAACTAATTTGAGCTAAGCCTACTTACCTGCACAGAGAAGCAGCAAGTGGCTGAGCAGAGATTGTCTGAGCCAATGTAAACTATTTTCAGACATCTATTCTTTGCATTTTTATTTTCATGTCATTTTCTAGACTCCATGTGCCTGGCACTGGGTTAAAATGCATTGTTCTAATACTTTTGTTTCTAATGCTGTTTAGGAAATGGCCTTGTAGGTATACAAAATGGTTTGGATTACTTTGGAAAAACTGCTCTGGAATATGTAATCTCTGGGTCTTTCCTTGGAACCATCCAAAAGCTCTAATGATTTCAGAAATTACTGTGAATTGAGTTTCGAGCTGCTCCTGTGACTGTCCTTCTCAGCTTTAGAAGGTTTAGACATAAGGAAATTTAAAAATTTAAATTTAAAGGAAATTTACATTTTTTATTAACAATTTCTTTTTGCTAGAGCTAATATGCTTTGCAATAATTCTTTCACAGTTCCTCAGAGTTAAAAGTATAATTGGTAGGAAGTTCTGCCAGTAGGAGTTTCAGAACTGCCTTTTGCCCTTCATGATTCCCACCCCCCTCCTTGGGCTTCCCTTATATTAGAAAATTACCTAGATAGATTTGTTTGCTAAGATATGAAAGTGAATTTACAACTCTGTACCCTGTATGTATTCTATTTTCTTTGTTTTCCATTTTGATGCAAAGTTTTTACAAATCTGAAACTAAATAATGAGTGGCATCACTAAAAAAGAAGACTTACCTGCCAAAATAGCTTTTGAAGCATGTATACATCCATGTCAAATGCAACTGTGAAGATAATCACTGGTGTAAACAAACCAAAAAATAACTCCGGACTCATCCACTGAATAGCAACTGCGTATTTTTGTACCTAGTAATGCAAGAATCTATTATTTCCATCCATCCATCACAGAATACATGGCAGGCAATCCTGTCTTTCACAACGGAGAAAAAATTTTCAGCAGATATACACACACAATGCAGTAAGTTCTAAAGTCTTAATTCAGCTGGATTTTCAGAATTTTCCTCCAACTTATTATCAATTACAGAGCAAAGTTAATCATATCCTTATGACTGTTTTATCATTTTAAGGACAAATTGAGGAAACACCTTGACTAGAGTACTAAAAACTATACAGTAAGTTTTCATGCAGATAGGAAAAAGAGATTTCAGGTGGATTGATTTTCATGCACAAAATTCCACAAAGGACTACATAATTATATCCTCCAACTCACAAATAATTAGCTATCATATATAATCTATAGTGTGTTATACACTCTATCTATCTATCTATCTATCTATCTATCTACTCATATATGGGACACTAAAGTGTCTGGCTAAAATAACTAACAATGTGTATTATTAAATAGTTAGTTGGAATTAGTAAATTCTGTTGTGGGTTCCATTCCACCAGTCTTCCTGAGCAAAGATCAGGTGTACTTTACCATCCAATGTAATCAATGTAGTGTCTCTTCATAAGACAAGACAGCAAATATTACTACAGTACCACCGATTTGAAAAAATTTGGGTTCTTCTGCTTCTTCCAGGGCCATCAGGGTTCTAAGAATAGGCACAGGAAGAGAAACACTCCTGCTCTGGGCATTTAGTGTCTATAGCCAGGACTATAGAAGTGTGGCAGGCTAGCTTACCAGCTTGCAAAGTAAGGTCAAATCTCAAGCCTTAGGTTGGGAATGTAGCCTAGTGGTAGAGTGCTTGCCTAGCATGCATGAAGCCCTTGATTTGATTCCTCAGTACCACATAAACAACACCACCAAAAGCCAGAAGTAACACTGTGGCTCAAGTGGTAGAATGTTAACCTTGATCAAAAAGAAGCTCAGAGACAGTGCCCAGGCTCTAAGTTCCAGCCCCAGGATTGGCAGACAAAACAAAACAAAACAAAACCCAAAACCCAGTGCTTTCGTGGTTCTTGACATAGGATCTCTTCCTTTGAAAAAGCTACTGACCAAATGGCCAAGTTTCTAGAAGTACTTGAAACTGCTTTTAGGTCAAAATCTATATGACTACGAAATGTGTTTATGACAAGAGAAGTGTTCATCTGCTTCTGGTTAAAGCTAGCATACATGTTTTCTACAATTCCTTTCAACGCTGCAGGCTAAATTTGTTGGGAAAGTCAGTTATTCTCATACAACTCGTCATGTTCACACTGATTGCCTGGGGCAGGCATTGGCAAGCTATAGCTCAAGATGCAATTGGGCCCACCATTTGTTTCTGTAAATAAAGTTTTGTTTACGAATGCCATTTCATTTGTATATCACATATGTCTACTTTTGAGCCTGGTGCCAGAGTTGAGTAACTAAAACAAAAAAGCATAAGGATTGTATAATTATAATATAATATTTTATATGCTGCTTTTATTGCCAGTTGTGGGGCCTGAACTCTGGGCCTGGGTGCTGTCCCTCAGCTCTGCAGCTCAAAGCTAATGCTCTACCACTTGAGCCACTGGCTTTTTCTGCTTATGTGGTGCTGAGGAATTGATCTCAGGGCCTCATGCATGCAAGGCAAACACTCTACACTGAGCCACCTTCCCAGCCCCTATATGCTGCTTTTTATAAAAGAAATTTGCCACAAGCTTCTGGGTTAGAATACCATTTAATATATCTTTATGTATCCTGTTTTCCTTACAGTAAATAACCTGTCTCCTCTACACCATTCATACCAGTTCACACATATATATACATATATGTATTTGCATAGAAATACACATATCTCCCTACACACACACACACACACACACACATACATATTTGTATATTTGTACTGGTACTGGGGCTTGAACTCTGAGCCTGGGTGCTATCCCTTAGCTTAATAAAAATATTAAAGAAAACTTAGCTATCCCTTTTTTGTTCACAGCTGGGACTCTACCACTTAAGCCACAGTTTCACTTTTGGCTTTTCGGTGGTTAATTGCAGGTAAGAGTCTTACTGACTTCCTTTTCTAAGCTGGTTTTGAAGCATAATTCTCAGGTCTCAGGCCTTGAGTAGCTAGGATTATGTGTGTGAAACACTGGCACCTAACCAGTTTATGTGTCTTGATATACTCTGCCCTAAACATCCTTAGAAACTAGTATAAATTCTTAGAGAAACCATATGCAATATTTCTCAATGAGACACAAAATATTGGTTCAATATCAACATTATCTTGCTACTGGCATCCTGTACCAACCAAGCAACACAGTCTCCTCTTGTTTGTAAATTTTTCATCTGATCTAAATTCTACTTTGGTATTCATTATGAAGCAGGATAGATCAAGAAAAATGAGACATGTGAAACAGCAGCCAGGAATTCAGAGACAAATACCATATTAATGAACAGCTGATTGAAAGCACAGAAACATTACTTCCCATGTTATAAAGCCCTACATTAGGCTGCAACATTTATTAAAAAGAAAAGGAAAAAGGGGGAAAGCAGCTGTCTGATCTCTCTCTCTCTCTTTCTCTCTCTCTCTCTCTCTCTCTCTCTCTCTCACACACACACACACCATTTCTACTTAGCCTGCTCTAAAACTAAGTAAGGAAATATTAAAGAAAACTACTTATTCTGTGCCTTTGGGCACAAAAACGTGTTTGTGAAAAACAGTATTTATCTAGGCTGGGCACTGGTAGCTCATGCTGTAACCCTAGCTGCTCAGGAGGATGAGATCTGATGATCATGGTTCAAAGACAGCCCAGGTAGTAAAGTCCATGAGACTCTTAGCTCCAATTAACCACATAAAGCTAGAAATGGAGCTGTAGCTCAAGTGGTAGGTCACTAGCTTTGAGCATAAAAGCGCAGGAACAGTGCCCAGTCCTAGAGTTCAAGCCTCAGGACTGGCCAAAAAAAAAAATATTTAAAATAGGGACATTTGTCTACATGTTGCAGAATCTATTCCTTGAAGGGATGCCAGAACATCAATGACCTTAGTTTAGTGATCAAGTCACCCTTGAAGTTTTTGGGCCCAGTTGATAAGACAGTTTAAAGGAGAACCCCAGTCTTAAGATGAATTTGAGCTCAACATCAACTTAGTTTTTCACCATAAACACCCATGATATTAGAGTACACCCTTAGGTGAGCTGTGTATTTCCTTTCTTTTACTAATAAACTTTCTTGATCTCTACCTGAATGGATCCTTAAAGAGCTTTTGCAGCAACATCATGAACTCAGTTCCCAAAGGCCTGGCAGAGGCTCCCTCTCATTTGTAGGCCTGCTTCTAGAAGCATCACTGATCTGGTGACACAACCTATACTGAGTAACTGCACACACGCTCATTTGGAGCTGCTGGTGCGCTTTAAGGCTGAGACTCTGTTCTGACTGTTGGTTAGGTGGATCTCACCTTTTTGAGCCTTCTTTGTCTACACCGCAAGCATCCATTTAATGACGCAGCAGTGAGTGGATAAGCATTTTCTTAAGCCATAGTTGCATGTGTGCAATTCTTAGATGTAAGGGGAACAAAAACCACTCGTTTATTATACACACCTGGAAAGATGCAAAACTTAGGATTTCAAAACTGTATCCAATTAAAAATAATATTACAGGAAGAGGAATTGGAAAGTCCTTCAAATACATGTTCACGAATGCTGCAAAAACAGGAGGTTGTTACTAAAAGGCAAAACATCATCACTTTTATAGAACTTTTATCTGATGTGACTCTAACGATTGAATGCTTTATTTTAGCACCCACTTATAAATCAGAGATTCATTCAAAATGCTGCAATAAAAGATTAATAAGTAAACTTGAATGAAACCCCATAGCTGACGTGCAATGAAGAACTGGATATAATTTACCAATAGATAAAACCTAATTACCAGGTAACTATTACCACTATTAGAAAATCAAATTAATATTAACTTTGTTTCATCTTATATATCACTGTTACCAAAGTTCAGCTTAAAAAAAAGCTCTATGAGTAATATTGTACCATTTGTTTCGTTTTATTTTATTGTTCTACTTCTTTGTCATAGAATCCCTAACTGGGCCAAAGAAACACACTAACAAAGCACTATCTTTATTTCTATAGTGTAATTTTCTCCTCAGAAAAGGCAGATGTTAACTTATCATTTAGATAGAACCCACTGGATGCCCAACTCCAGCCATTCATTTTCTTCCTTTTTGCTTTATTTGTGCCTGTTGCTGAAATCTAATGCTGACTTAATCAGGTATGACTACACTGATCCCAACAGAGGTGAAGGGCAGGTAATAATTGTATTCAGTTCACTAAAAATAATCGAGCTAAAGGTAGGAACTGAGTGACAAAAGTCTAATTTTCCATGACCACTTTGCATTGTTTTATAGGGTACATTATGAGATGTACCAATCCAGAGAAGAGAGACACTTACCTCCAACAGTACAGATCAAAGAAACTATTAAAATGATTTCTGGGAGGTTCTGTGGAGTATTTAAAGACATACTCCTGAGAAAATTCGCCCATGGGCTATCAATAGTTTTTTTAAGGTACTGTGTAGAGTTAACACTGTTATTCATTTTGCTGCTCATTGTAGTTTATCTGAATCTGAATTGATGTCACTGCAAAGCTCAGAGAAATCAAAGGAGCACAAGGTTTGCCTTCTTCGTGATCTTCTGATGACTCTCTAAAACAGAAAAACATGTACTTTTATTTATTTTTTGTTATTATAAAGGTGATGTACAGAGGGGTTATAGTTACATAAGTCAGATAATGAATATCTTTTTTTTGTATTTTTGTGTTATTTCATGGTCTGAAAATAAAGAGCTGGGGACTTGAGTAGAATGACATCTGAGTTTAAATGCAATTACCACCATATATATACATATACATACATACATACATACATGTGTATATATATATGTGTGTGTGTATATATATATATATGCATATATATATATATATACATTATATATGATGAAGGCCTGACTCAAGACAAGCATATTTCCCTGATCTCAAAGCCCAGTTCTGTCAAGAAAAAAAATAAGGACCTCTCCCTTCAATGATGCTTTCAATTTAAATGAAATGGAAAAGGCAGAATCCCGGAGAAGAGATATTTGTCAGCAACACCTTCTGGACACTTAACAATGCCACTCACTTATCAACCTGCATACACAACTATCTGAGAGAAAGATTCTCCTCATCTAACCATTCATCCTCCACTGAGACCACAAGCTTACTCAGATTACTGAACTCAGGACAGACAATGGGGACATTTGCCTTTGTTATCTGAGCCTAGAAGAACATGATGGTGCTGTTCAAGGTGGAAAGTTGAATGGAGGAAGAATATTTTCATCTCTATTGTTATTTTATCTAGGCAGAAAATAATAGGTCTTGCTGATATCAATGATTTTCTTTCTTTTTCTTTTTTCCTTCCTCCCTCTGTCTCTTACTTCTTTTGGACTTGTTCACTTGATTAATGCTCTACTATTTTGAGCCATGTCTCCAATCTGTTTTTTTTTTTTTTTTTTTAATGAAAAACCATTTACTTAAAATAAAGGGTTCAATAATTGTTAGTACTCATTAATGTCACATCAAATGCTTTCAGATACTCAAATAGTGTAAGGCTGACATAAGATCACAATCTCAGCATTGTTTGTTCTACTCAGAAAGTTAAACTGTTAGAGGACTTTAACCTACTGCATTCTTTATAATACTGAGAGTCATGGGATTTGATAGTGTTATGAGGATTGTAAGAGTTTTAGGCATGGTTTGATCCTCAGCACCACATACATAATGAATTTTAATCATGGAATAAACTAACGTAACTCAAGTAGTGATAAAGGAAGAAGAAGTATTTTGCATTAGTTCCTGTGAACTTAAGGATTGAAGACATTTGTATAAATGTCTTTTTACTATTTTAGTTGGAGATGGAGTATCTTTGACATTTCTATCAAGGCTGGCTTTGAATCAAGATCTTCTGATTTCAGCCTTCTGAGTAGCCAGGATTACAGGCATGAGCCACCAAAACTGGGCAAGTCTTTGCATTTTTGTCTGGGCTGACTTCAATTGCAGTATTCCTACCTATATCTTCCATCTAGGTGTGTTTACAGGCATGCATCAGATTCCCAAACTATTTGTTGAGATGGGTTTTCACTAACTTTTTGTCTTGGTTGTTCTAGAATCTTGAGCCCCCGATTTATTTTCTGGGCAACTAGGATTACAGTTGTGAGCCACTGCAGCTATTCTAAGATATCCTAAATAATCTTTACCCAAGGGGAAAAAAACCTTTCATTTTTAAATTAGCATGCTAATATGACTGTGGTTTAATATTTTTCAACATATAGATAAAGAAGTAATGAGTGTAGCCAGATCGTAAGTGCCATTAAGGCTTGTCTTCCGTCTAAATTGACTTTTGATAGCTTTAGTATGTTTATTAGCCTAAATTCCCAAGGGGGAAAAATAATGGCACACTACATTATATTCTCTGATTTAATTTATCACTAAAATAGCTAACGTTCCAAATTCCTTTGTGTGCGGAGGAGATAATTAATAGTTGCATTGATCATCCTTAACAAGCCAGCCAATCAGCCTTCAGAAACTCAAGTCTGAGTCTTATTTTTCAGGAATTACCATGACAAAAGTATCCTGGAGAGGACGCTGGGTACAAGCTACAAAATTCAAACAAGGTTTTGTCGTGGCCTCAGTGATGTCATACTGACTGGAGAGAAGTGGTCTATTACCTTCCCAAGACCTTTCCTCTAGATCAGGATCAGCTCCACCGGCTATGAAGATTCACACCCGGGAGCTTGCCTCTGGAGCTTTGTTTTCATCAATGCAAAGGCGTCCTTCAAGCACATCATTGCCAGCGAATCACTTTGAAAGAACTGAAATAATAAGCATAATGGAGGAGAGTCAGCAGCTGAAGGACAGAAATTCTAACTAAGAGACTAGTTTATCTTTAGGAGAGTCCTTAATAAGTCTTTAATAAGTTCTTAAGGACTCTCTTAAAGTTTCAACCCTTCCAGAAAAAGGATGGAAATTTCAAAAAGGAATGGTTGAATCTATGACTGAAATATTGAGATCATTTTTTCCCTTGGGAGTGGAAGATCAGAGACAAAGTAACAATGGGAAAAGGCAAAAGAGAAAGTGGAAGACTCACCATTCATCCTCAGAAAGGGATGAAAGGGAGAAGTGGACACTAGCTGTTTCTCTCCTTGAACAGCCAAAGATCAACTGCGACTTCACTGACAGTTATTTCCCCAAGCCCCACCCCTACCCTACACCCATTGGCTCCAGACTTATAACACTAGACTTGATTGGCTGATGAAAACCTTGAGACATTTAAAACTCCCAGTCTTTTTGTTGTTGTTGTTTTGTTTTGTTTTTAAACAAAAAGAAACTGTAAACTGTATTGCAGCATTACTTATGTTCACTTTGCAAGAGTGGATTTCTGGGTAGGAGCCAGTGGACACTTTTCTCATAATTCTAGTTGGAAAGAGTTTCCCGGATAAGATAGTAGAGATTTTGAAACGTTAAAATTTTGGTTGCTAGTTGGGGTAGAAATGACCATTCTGGGCAAATAAAACAATGAAGGCTGAATGTGGTGGTTCACACCTGGGATCCCAGCAGTAGGGAGGCAGAGGTAGAAAGATTACTAGTTCTTGGCCAGCCTACACCATATAGTGAGACTTTGTGTGAAATCAATCAATAAAAACTAATAGGAAAAGTGGGTTTTCACTCTGAGTTATATGTGATGGAACTTTTAGAAAAAATAATCATTTCTTTTATCTAAACATAATAAAGTATATTTTAATTGTAATTATGAGTGGCATTTCCACATACACATTTTTTTTATATTCCTACTCAACAAAACATCTTGGGAGAAATTGTGTAATACTTCTGAAATGTTTTTGAAATATTGTTTAGTGTGTGAAATATCTTCCATATTTCATTCACACTGTGAAGCTGATTTGATCCCGGGAAAGCAAAGAACAGAGAAGTAAAAGATTGAGGAAGTGAGAGAATTTAAAAAGAGAAAAAAAATACTTAGGAATAGCCATTAAGTTTTCCCTTTGTGTATCAGGGAAGCTTTCAGTAGTACAAATTTGTACAAAGTTCAGTAGTAGCCATAAAACAGCAGGCACTGCTGAAGGAAATTATCCCTACAAAGTTGAAAACCCATTTTGTAGAATGATTAATCAAAAAGACTAAGAAAAGATTTTAAAAGTGGCATACAATGTTTTAATGAAATAAAAATTCAGATTGTTTCTCTGTAATTCATTCAGCTAGACATATAAGGACCGTGTGTGTGTGTGTGTGTGTGTGTGTGTGTGTGTGTGTGTGTGTATTTAAGTTTTTGAAAATAATTGGAACCTGTACAACAAGAAAGTTGAAAAATGTTGCAAGATAAAATTTTTCTTTTTTTTTCCTTTTTTTTTTTTTTGGCCAGTCCTGGGGCTTGAACTCTGGGCCTGGGCACTGCCCTGAGCTTCTTTTGCTCAAGGCTAGCACTCTACGACTTGAGCCACAGAGCCACTTTCAGTTTTTTCTGTTTATATGGTACTGAGAAATCGAACCCAGGATTTCATGCATGCTAGGTAAGTACTCTACCACTAAGCCACATTCCAAGTCCCTTTTCCTCATTTTTATTAGCATCAATAACTTGTACAGTTTCATTTTGAGTATTAATCTTTTTCTTCCCCTTTCAATTTTCAGGATATCTACAATAGTATTATGTTACCAACTGCCATCTGATAACAGATTTGGCAAGAAGTGCAAAGGTTAGATATATTTTCAGTTGCAGTACTGTTGAGCAAGAAAGCAGAGTATTTTACCTGTTCGTGAAGATTATTGTCCACAAATAATTCCATGGGCTTTATATTGTGTTTCATTTCCCACCTGCTGATGCTTCCAATCTGTGTACAACAATCAGGTAAGTCTTCATTTTTTCTCTCATATGCATGTGGCTGGAAGTCTGTGACAAACAAATGCTAGGCTCAAGGCTAGTTACTTTAAAAGGGGAGGGGGGGCAGTAAGCGGGACAGTATGCTTGACTCTGTGTGTCACTCATGTGGGACTTTCTAATCATGTAGTTAACAAGTACTTAGATGTTATTATATTTGAAACAATGACAATTCCAGAGACAATGGAAGAAATATAAGAATAGGAAAGTCACTTTTGCTCCCAAGGTTTGTACCAGTTGTTCAAACTAGAAGCCATAACCAGCTAGACGCAAATGAAATCTTAGGAAAAGTGGTTCTGTTTTGTTTTGAGGTATTTCTTGGGGACATATTTAAGGAGTACAGCTGCCTTTTAATTTTGAGTTTAAGTAGTTTTGAGGATCTTCTTAGTTACCAACATATTTTTAATTGTGTTGTCAAATCTGCTCATCATTTCTTTATGGGTTTGTCTATCAACATAAACTGAAATATATTAAAGATTTAATAAATGGTCACTCTATTGTGCTCTAGTTATTTAAAAATGATTCAATTAGAGATATTTAACCCAAACTTATCTAGAATTAGTTTAGTTCGTGGCAAGGCAATAGCCAATGTTCCTATGAATCTCAGGATGGCCTAAAATTCTGAGTCTTTTCTTGGATAACAAGCACAGATGCACAGTTCATTTCCTACTGAATGATGATTATCAGGCAAAGAGATAAGTGCTATGAAATGGAGAAACTGCATCAGCACTCATGCCTATAAATCCTAGCTACTCCTGAGGCCAAGATCTGAAGGATTATGGCTTGAAGCCAGCTTCAGCAGAACAAACATTTTAGAGATGGAGTGCAAAACTCCATCTCTAAAATGACCAGCAAAAGCTAGATTGTATGTGTGGCTTAAATAGTAGCATGCAAGCATGGGAAGTGAGGGGTCCTGAGTTCAAAGCCTGGCATCACACCATGTTCAATATCTATATTAATACTGGAGTTTGCTTTCAGATCTTTTGCATTCAATAAAGCATAAGAATAATGAGACTGCAATTTGGGGAGAAAATGTTACTATTTTCTGCAATTGGACAACTCCAGCAGATGTTGTGCAAATTACGTGGCAGAAGATCCAAGACTCATCGCCAAAAAACATTGGTACTTACAGCAATACATTTGGAGAAAAGATTCTTCCACCTTATGTCAACAGGCTGCAGTGTAAGATCATCGAACCCAATTCCTCCTTCATGACTATCCAGAAAGTGACCTTTGATGATGAAGCCTGCTACAAATGTCTGCTTAACGTATTTCCATATGGAAGCCATGGAGGAAACACCTGCCTTCGTATCTTAAGTATATAAATATTTTCTATATAGTCAGATTATTGGGGGAGAAATCAAGGCGTGTTTTAAGATTCATGTTCAAAGAGAATATCAGAGAATGAAAGACTGATAAAAATCTACCATGTCAAGTCCATTATTATAAAGAAGAAAAAAATAGAGGCCAATATTAGTTATGTGACTTGCCTACTTCCATACAGTCATGACTTTCTCTCCTCTCTCATTTAATTGCCTTTTTTTTGTTTGAGACTGGAACTCAAATTTAGTACCTGACATAGATGCCCATTGGCCAGTGCTCTATTAATTGAGCCACATCTCCAACCTCTCATTAAACTTCTTTACATTACACTTATATAACTGCCATCCAGTAGACAATGCTATTGAAAAGAATCAGGATTTTGTCACAGGAGATTTGAGAAAAGACAGGAACAGAGTCAAAGTCTATGGAGAAGCACAAAGAGGCAAGACAGAGACTCAAAGGGAATTAAGATTTCCACTCTTCAACTAAAGAGTCTTCTAAAGAACAAGGGATAATGACAAAGTGTTTCTTATTATGTTGCTGTCAGTTTACATAATTGGGGGCTATATGATGTAATTTTAAGAAGTTAAGACATCAGGTAAGATGTAGAAAAAGTAGAGAAACTATTTGATCCTCTGTTAGTGACTAAACAAACAGGTTTTATCAAATGGTGGGCAATGTATCTGAAGGGGTTATGTTTTTAGGACTTTGGCTTTATACATAAATTAGGGAACAATAAATCTTAACCAGCATAGGAATTTGATATTATATGCTTTTATGTTTAATTCTCTCTCTCTCTCTCTCTCTTTTTCATCTTACCTCAGCTATATCAGAGTTAACTCCTGAAGTAGAATTCCATCCTGACTCTGAAGGTTTTCTTAGCTTTATCTATTCAGCAGTGGGAAAGCCTGCTCCTCAAATTTCTCTTTTCCCCTCACAAGTCCTAAGTAACTCATCAAAAGAACACTTGGCTCAGAACCAGAATGGTACGGTAACCATCACCAAAATGTTCATCATCTCTTTGGAGAAGGCAAGGTCCTTGGGAATCCAGCACCTGATTGTGCTCATGAATCACCCTCTTGGGAACAAGGAGAGAATTATTTCCCTGCAAGAAAAGCAAGAATGTAAGTGGCTGTGATCATTCAATAAGGGGAAATAAGTATCTTTTTTTAAAATTCCCTACCAGAAATGTATGTCTAAAATCAGCTATTTTAGAAATTGTGAATCAGCCTAATACACATGTTTAATTAAAACTGAGGCAGCATTAGAATGTTCTTATACAGCAGGTGTTAAATCGATGGGTTTGATAGTATTCTAGCAGACTGCCACAATCACTAAAAAAAAAAATTGGGCTCATGTACTCTACCCTCAATTTTTATCCCTTTGCTTTTCTTTAGTTTAGTTTTCAGCTGCTTACTCCCATCACTAATCCTGCTGGTTTGTTTGTTTGTTTATTTATTTATTTATGCTGGTACTGGGACTTGAACTCTTGGTCTCATGTTCACCCTTGGCTTTTCTCCTCAAGAATAGCACTCTACCACTTAAGCCATACTTGTACTTCTAGCTTTTTGCTATTTAACTGGAAATAAAAAGTCTCATGGACTTGCCTGCCTGGGTTAACTTTGGCGTTTGCTTCTCAGCTCTCAGCCTTCTGAACAGTTAGGATTACAGCTTGAGCCTCCAGTGCCCTAATTAACCACCCTTCTTGTTTCATGTGCTACAGCGTCTCTCTTAACTGTGCGCATATTCTTGTCTTCCTTCTTTCCACGTTCTGTCAACCAAAATTTTGTTTTGCAAGCAGAATTAAATAGGGTATGTTTTTTTCTGAGAGTATAAAGCTAAAAATAGAGATCAATGGAGAGTACACAAATAATTGTTTTTATATTCCACATAGTAATTTTTGTAAACTAGGGCATTTCATCTCTAAATATTTACTGTAAATACTGATAGGCTTTCGTCTACCACATCACTGTTCATTATCTTTTACCTCGCCTGACCCTTTCTTTTTTCTTGATGTCTTAGTTTTAATTATTTCTTTTTATTTTATTTTCTCCATTAGTTTGTGAATTGTACATACTCCTCCCCTTCATTTAGTGGTATCTCGGATATTTTAAGAATATATGCCTGGGGCTGGGAAGGCGGCTCAGTCGTAGAGTGCTTGCCTTACATGCATGAGGCCCTGGGTTTGATTCCTTAGCACCATATAAGCAGAAATAGCTGGAAGTGTTGCTGTAGCTCGAGTGGTAGAGCACTAGTTTTGAGCTGAAGAGCTGAGGGACAGTACCCAGGCCCAGAGTTCAGGCCCCACGACCAACAAAAGAAAGAAAGAAAGAAAGAAAGGAAGGAAGGAAGGAAGGAAGGAAGGAAGGAAGAAAGAAAGAAAGAAAGGAAGAAAGAAAGAAAGAAAGGAAGGAAGGAAGGAAGGAAGGAAGAAAGAAAGAAAGGTGAGAAAAGAAAAAAAAAAGAATATATGCTAACTTCTTAAAACCTAATCTTTTTATCACTTCTCAACAACATAAAACAAACTTATATTAGCTCCTACATTTTTTTGCTATTGTTTTTCTGCACGTTACATCATTACATATATTTAAATTTGAAATGTGTTGTTGCTGTTATTTATATAAATATTCATTTAGTTTTACCTTTTTGGTAAGTTTCGCCCAATCAAATATTTTTCCTCTGCAATCATGTTTCTTTTTCTTTTCTTTTTTTTGTCGGTTGTGGGGCATGAACTCTGGGCTTGGGCGCTGTCCCTGCACTCTTCAGCTCAAGGCTAGCGCTCTACCACTTGAGCCACAGCGCTACTGCCGGTTTTCTAGTGGTTGGAGATAAGAGTCTAACAGACTTTCCTGCCCAGGCTGGCTTTGAACCATGATCCTCAGATCTCAGCCTCCTAAGTAGCTAGGATTACAGGCATGAGCCACTGGCGCCTGACTTAGGCTTTGATTTTTATTACTTTAGCCCAATTTGATTGCTGACATTTCTGCTCAGCTTTAAAGCATCTCACCTCTGACTTTCACCTTAATAAGCTACTTATATTGGGTGAAAAGTGTTTCTAAATGTCAGATTTATCTCTGTTGGCTTTCTTCTTTTACCAAATCTAGACCTATTAACTCTTAATCATTTGGGAACCTTTTGATATTTCAAAAAGATTTTTTAAAGCATTTTGTCTAGATTTTCTTAATTTCCTCTGTGCAAAGGTTGGCTCAAAACCAATTTGACCATTTTGAAGTTTCCTTTATTACCCAATTGCTTACAGATCATCTTCTTTTCCTCTCTAGCAACTGAATTTCTGTCACCTTGCTGTCTATACAAGTCCCTGTCACCACATTCAGTAATGAATGAGACTTGAAGCCCTTTTTTCAAAAGTGCAAGGCATCCTTTTTCAGCTACAGTCTTAAGTAGTCTCTGAAGAAATGACATAGAGTTTCTGGTTTACCTGCCAAGTAGTGTCCATTCCCTGCTTCTGAGGAAAGGTTAAGAAATGCCATCTCGGGCTGGGAAGGTGGCTCAGTGATAGAGCGCTTGCCTTGCATGCTTGAGGCCCTGGGTTCAATTCTTCAGCATCACATAAGCAAAAAAGAAAAAAGTCGGAAGTGGCGCTGAGGCTTAAGTGGTAGAGCACTAGCCTTGAGCTAAAGAGCTGAGGGACAGTGCTCAGGCCCAAAGTTTAGGCCCCACGACTGGACCCCCCCTCCCCCAAAAAATACGGAGGACAAAAAAAAAAAAAAAGAAAAAAGAAATGCCATCCCATTACAGAATGTTACTTCATTCTCAGAATCCCTTTATGTGTGGGTAAATACTACAGAGCACGATCTGGACCTTTGTTATTATGAGTGAATCCTGCTTCCTCTAATGATAATATCATACTACCATATCACAGAAAATGGTGTTCTTTTCTGTTTTTCCATGTCATATTTCACTTTCAATAGAAAATGTTTTTTTCTTAACTTATGATTACTTGTGATTCAATTGTGGTTTCAAGATTTTCAGTTGGGTGGCAGTGGCTTATACCTGTAATCCTAGCTACTTAGGAGGCCAAGATCTGAGGATCATGGTTTGAAGCCAACCCCATGCAAGAAAGTCCATGAAACTCTTCTCTCCAATTAACTACTCAGAAAAAGCCAGAAGTAGAGCTATGGCTCAAGTGGTAGAGTGCTAGCCTTGAGCACAAAAAGGCTCAGGGATAGCACCCATGCCCAGAGTTCAAACCACAGGACAGGGGGGAAAAAAGATTTTCCATGTCTCTGCTTCATTAGCTTATCTCTTATGAGCACTAACCAACAGCCTAGTTACCAGTCATTGCATGTGGTATTCTCAATATGTTTAATTCGCAGGACAGCACAAGAAGAACATGTAATGCTTGCATCTGTTACAACATTTGGTTGAATTCTACTGCATTGCTGGTAATTAAAAAATGGTGCCTATAAAATTAGGTAACATAGGTTAAACCTAACATTAGTAAAGGAAAGGCATTTGAACATCGTTAAGGCCCTCCTAAAAAATACTTATACTTGAGGGTTTTTCCCATTTTTCACTTTCTGAGTACATTAACAAAGTCCCCCTATAGTGGTCATTTCAGATTCTCAATTTCACCCAATGCAAATTGGAAAAGGATGGATATTTTATTTTCAACTTTATTACAACTTTTTGATTTAGGGCCTAATACATTGTATAATGTGATTAAGTGAGGATTCAAAAGCAATCCAACCAGCTTTCATCATTCTCTATTATCAAAGAGTATGTTCTCTTCCTGTTTACACAGTGACCTTGCGTACTAATGCTTTTTTTATTCACACTCGAAAGCAAACACCCTTAATTCTTTTGTAATCAACCTCAGAACATCTAATTTCATATCTTGATAGTTTCAACTTAGTTGCTTTTATGAAATTTCTGTGGTGGGGATGGTGTCTGAATATGAAGTAAATTAGCTTTAAAATCTGTCTTATTCAGTTTTATAAAGATACATTTAAATAATCTACATGTTTTGTTTTTATAAACTTGGTGAAACGATGAGAGGAATAAAACATTCCCATAAATTTCATATTATACTCAGAATGAAAACATTTCCCTAGCTATCAGCAATGTTGACTCATATCTGAATTTGGAGTCCCAACAGTTTCAATACATGTCCAGCTACTAAAGAAATGGAATGAGACTAAGCACAACTCATGCTAGCCTAGAACCTCTCCTCAATTTCTGAATTAAAGTATCTACATAGAAATTTTAAAATGATATCTACAATATATAGAAAAATACACATATATTTATCTATGTTATAGAAAAGTACAGCTAGGATGTATAAATATATAAAATAGATCCATGATATTTGTGTGTGTGTGTGTGTGTATCTTATACAATTCAATAGCAAAAGGCAACCAGATTTAAAGCTGGGGTGTGAGAATCTCTGATATAACCTAAGAAAAACACAAAATGTTGACTATCACAAAATGAGGCAAAACACATCTAGGTCAGTACAAATGACTGACTTTCGGCTTTACAAGCCTACTAAAACCTCGTATTGGTAGAGTCCTGAAATTAATGCTATAAAATTAGAGAATTCATTTTTGTGGTTGTAACAGACCACAGGCTTTACCTGGCAATCTTATAATGTTCTCAGATATGATCAATACTCATAGAATTTTACATTGCACAATTATATTATATGATTAATAGTATACAATTGTCCTTGGAATTTCTGGGGTATTTATTGTTTTTGACCATTCTTGAAACTTCTTTCAACAATCAAGTCCTTAATTGCTTTTGCAATTATTTAATTTCCTCATTTTTTTCTGTTTGAAAGAAGTAATATTATCTCTGAAGTACCCCGTTTTCGGATGCTCCCTCACAGACCACCAGAGACCACGATCAATGCAAACAGCAAAGAGTCGCTTATTGCAAGCTCGAGCTTGGTCCTCCGCACACTCGGTCGGTGACGCTAAGAGGCCCCGAGCATAGAATCAGCACAGCTTTTATAGTATTGAACAAACAACTTTAAGCAACTTTTACATAAGAAATTACATGATTGGTTAACATTTAAAGCAAGCTAAGCTGGGCAAGTATGATTGGTTGGTCTTTACAGAAAAATATCCTTGGTCCATAGCTTGACCACAAACGGTTATGAGTCACACCTGGACCAACAGTATGATGGCATGTCTCACCCTGGGCTCTGAAGAACCGGTTGGTCAGAACATTATATGGTTTTAACTGAAATTCTTAGCCTTAGGTCACTCAGGGGCAAAGTCACTCGGGGGCAAACACCTGCCTTAAGCAAATGCCATCTATGGCTCCAAGAATTGTTTGTGCATGGCTTTCTGTCATAAATTCCTGGCATTGGGGCTAAAGTGGGTCACGAGTTAAGTCGCAGAACTGAGATGGAGTCTTAAGTAAAATGGAGTTGCTTAGGTTTCTCAATCTCAAATATATCTGGGATGGATAATTCAGAAGGGTGATAATTATATTCTGTTTCTTTAATCTCCTTTGCATCCCTCTCTCCACCATTTTCACTTTATGTTCTTTTTCCTGGGGCTTCGTACTTGGGTTGCAAGTTTCCTCCAGTCTTTACTGAATGTTTCTTAAAGGCTGTAATTTGGGGAGGGCTGGATATTTATTTGTAGTGAATAAGCAGCCTTTAGACAGGGAACACTAATGCTCAGAGTGTAAAGGCCTTCATTAAAGCGGCTGACCTTCACTCTCATACTATTTCTTAGTGTATTTGTTCAATACATTATTACAATGATTCCTCTTTACTGTAACTACCGTTTTACTGTGCTCCGGGGTTCTCTGCAGGCTCTGCAGGAGTGCTCTGGTTTTTGCATCCACAGAGCTGCAGCTGCTTTCTTTCATCCTGAGCCTTCATTGCTCGGTCCTTTTGTAAGCTTGTTGCTTCCTCACTTGTTGCTAAAGACTATGCTTGGGTGTTTTCATTGTTTGACACTTAAACCTCCCATTTCATTGCTATTATTTTGATGCAGTCTCCAAAAACATTAGAGATCATTTTTTTAATTCTGTTTGTTTTTTGAAATTGACACTAATCAGCTCCCTTTTCCTGGCAATTTTTCCCAGCTGCTAAAATTGGATTATGCCAACAGAACGTCTCAAGAACGTCTATCTAGCTATTAACTAGATGCTTATGGCTAATTTCTTTTCTTTATTAAGATATAAATGTCAATAAGAAGTAGTTTATCAATTTGGAAAAAAATCCTTACCACTTAGGTCTTAGGATAAGTACTGGGGACACTATTTCCTGATTCTGGTGAAACCTCATATAGAGTCTTTTTGCCCTGTGTGTGTGTGTGTGTGTGTGTGTGTGTGTGTGTACTTCAGGTATGTGTTCACATTACAGTGTCAAGTGTTTCACACTTAGTCTCATCTGCCTGTCTAAAATTGCTATGTAATATCCCGCTGAAAAAGAATGAAACTGGGACAAATTGATATTTGGGCAGCCACAAGTAAAGTCAAATTCTTTAAAACAAACAAACTTTCCTAACAACATTTGAGAAAAGAAGAAATTATTAAGATTTTTCTCTTTTCCTTCAGTGGTAGGGACAACATAAAGCAGCAAATTAAGGGGAAAAAAGTAAAAAATGGAAGTATTTATATTTAGGAAAATCAGGAAGAAAACAGCTACCATGACAAGATCCAAGAATGCAAAACTGGAAATGCTTCAGGCATTTCATACAAGTGCAAATTTCCTTAAGAGCCAACAAATGTGTGTATATTTTTTCTAATATATCTAAAAATAGTTTTGATCATCTAAGATAGTTACTGGTTAATCATGAAGATATGTAACCTAAAATGTGAATTGTACTTAGATGACTGTACAGAAGGAGGTATCTGTAATAGATTGATAAACACTGTTATCAAAATAGCTATTTTAAAGTTGTTAAAGCTCAAATATTTTTCATTGTGTATTTTTCATGAGAGTCCCAATTCTAGAATCAGAGTCAAAATATGTATCCCAGTTTTACCACTGTGACTCTCAAATCATAGGGACTCCATTTTTCCAATTATATGTAATAACTCTATTCACCTAGCTAATGTCCATAATCCTCACAGATGCTATTTGGGACATTAGTCTTAGATTCTTATTATCATAAATTCATTCTCTGATATTAGAGCCTATTTGAAAAGTCCACATGAATAATATCATCACTAAAAACTGTATTATATTCCACTTAGTTATTTCCTTGGAAGACCTTAAGTTTCAAGACTGCATGGGCTATGTAGCAAGGTCCCAGCCATCTTAGACTATACCTGTACAAGGCCTTATCTCAAACACAAACAAAAAATATGGTGCATTGTCTTATAGAGTAACTTTTAATGTCTAAGAAGCAACAACCAACCAAGAATTACAAATTAAAGATTCTAAGATGGAAAAAAAAAGATTCTACTATGGCAGAACAGTATGTAGCAAGAAAGCAAAATCGCAGAGAAATGTTTCTAATGTGTGAGTGTGTGTTTTTTTAGGTTCTTCTTTTTGGAAAGTTGTGACTATACTCGTTATTTCATGTTCTTCAATTATTACCATCATCATCATTTTCTGTATTGTTCAAAGAAATAAAAGGTAAGTGTATGTGTGTGTGCATGCATGTGTGTGTGTGTGTGTGTGTGTGTGTGTGTGTGTGTGTGTGTGTGTGTGTGTGTATGGTAGGGAATGTGAGAAGTGGAACTAGCTTGAAATATTTTAAAAGTTCCAAAGGATCTAGTAAAATTCTGTTGGAAAAAAAAAGACAGAAAGCTCTTTTTCATGTGCTTAGTACTTCCTATCATCCTAGGTGTATCTTAGATAAAAGGATTCTTAGAATTATTATAAAGGTAAACTGTCAATCATAGCTTCCAATAATTTGAGTTTAAGATTCTTTATTAAGCAGAGACTTTTATAGGATACAGCAAAGAGAGTGGGAGTTATCTACTGAGTGATGAGACTGGAGTTTGAGATACATGTTCCTGACTTGCCATACAAAGTGACAGTGATAGTACTTTCTAGGATGAATGTAATAAAATATCTACTCATATTTAGCAAATACTTTCTGATGTGCAGTATAGATCCATCACAGTGTAGAAGGCAAAAATAGGGTAAAAACATGAATTCCTTCCTTCCTAGAATATGTATCCTAGTGAAGAGCAATGAACAAGGTAAAGATGGAAGGAAGCAAGAAAATTCTAGGCAGTGATAGGTTACTGTGTGTAAAATAAGATAAAATGATCTGACTGGAAGAGACTATGATGCTCGTTTGTATTGAGAGGTCTCTCTGGGATAGTGATGTTTTAACTGATTGCTGAGTAAGAAAAAAGGATATGAATAAAATACCTGGTGAAGAGCATTCCAGATTAAAAAAAAATTCTTTAGTTCCAAGCTTGACCTTGGTATTTTCCAGGAGTAATGGTAATAATAAAAAGACCACTATGTCCAGAGCAATGCTTCGGAAGAGGAATTGATGGAAATGTATAAAACTTGACTCACTTTGAAAGCTCTCTCACTGGAATGTGGACATGGTTTCTTATATGCCAGGCATGGAAGGCAGGAAACTTTTAAAGAGACTTGTAGTAGGCAAGCTGAGGAGTGATGTTGCTGTAGATAAGGAGGGCTAAAGCAATGTTTAGCAAGACAAGATTTATTGATGGGTCTGATGTGGAAAATAAAGTGGAAAAAGAATTATCCTGATGATTGCAAGCTTTTAAGCATTAAAGAAAACTTCTATATATAAAGGGAAAAATAGATGAAGAACAAGCTTTAGAGGGAGGATGAAGAAACCTATTTAGAAAATATCAATTTTACAGTGTCTTTTATGCCCAATGGAATATGTTTATGTAAATATACACATAAACATGTATATATAACTATATAAATACATTATATATAGTGTTCATCTAATGTGTGGGTCATTATCTTATCTTTAGGTCAGAGATCACTAGTGAAAGAGCATCAGTCCCTTTGAATGAGTCCTTGGCATCTGGCACACAGGTACTTAGTCATGTGTGATTTATATATACATATATCTATATCTGTGTCTATGTATAGAGAAAGGGAGTTTATGGAGCAACAAGAAATCAGAAGCACAAATGTGAGAGTATAATGGATATGTTTTACCCAGGAGGTTAATTGTAAGTTATTATGCTACTACAGAATAAAAACAATATGGAAATTCTGTGATTTTTTTTTTTAGTGCCACACAGCATTTGGAGACATAATTGGATTAAGACGTTGAATCTGGATCTCTTATTATTTATTATTATTATTATTTATTTTTCATGTCACGATCTTACAATGTACTGCCAACAGAGGGAGTATTTGCTTTGTGTTCCCTTCATGTGTGTGTCAATATGTTTCTAAGTCAGACAACACCAGTGAAACAGCGTTGGTCCCTTTGAACGAGTCTGGAACACAGTCATGGGTAATTTTTTTCTGCCTCTGTGTATTTTTCACATTAAGTCAACCATCCAAATTAAGTGTAAATTTTATAACAGCAATTACCATTTTTAAAAATAAATAAAACATGGACTCATTTCAATATATACTTCCAGTCCATCAGGCAGTGGATGTAAATGAAGTGATATTAATCTTACTGTCTTAATTCTTTAATTTTTGAAATTTACATTAAATTTATTTTGGCTGATATGTGAAAATAGGTTTTGATACATACATATATTACACAATATTTAAAACCAACTAACCGTATTACACTATATTTAAACTCAACTAAACATTAAAAAATATTTAAACCCAACTTCAAACATTTATCACATTTTACAGTGAAATTTCTCAAAATCCTTTCTGTTAGCCTTTTGAAATATACACTATATTGCTTTTATAATCAGCCCATATATGAATGAGAGCATGCAATACACATCTTTTTTTTTTGCTTATTTTGCATAACATAGTGATCTCCAGTTCTGTCCATATTGCTTCAAATTACAGATTTCATTCTCTTTTATAGCTGAAAAGTATTGCATTGTATTTACTGTATTTTATTTACCATTGGTCAGTTAGTGGATATGGCGATTTCCCTGTAAGGTACTATGAATAGTGCTACAATGAACAAATATTTTGTGTGAAGTCTCCTGATGATTGGTTCTTTTTCTTTAAGATGGCTTTGAAGCCGTGTGCTGGTGGCTCACACCTGTAATCTTAGATATTCAGGAAGTTGAGATCTGAGGACTGTGGTTCAAAGATAGCCCAGGCAGGAAAGTCCATGAGACTCTTATCTCCAATTAACCACCAGAAAACCAAAAGTGGCCCTGTGGCTCAAGTGGTAGAGTGCTAGCCTTGAGCTGAAGAGCTGAGGGACAGCACCAAGGCCCAGAGTTCAAGTTCAAGCCCTATGACCAACCACCCCCCCCCCAAAAAAAAGATTGTTGTAACTATTCAGAATTTTTTTTTTTTTTGCAGTTTCATACCAATTTAAGATAGTTGCTTCTAGTTGTGTAAAGAGCTTGTGTTCTCATGTTTGATGGAAAATACATTGAATCTGTCTATCACTTTGGGAATATGGTCATCATTTTGATGATACTGATTATTCCAGTCCATGGAAGTCAGATATCTTTCCACTTTTTTGTATCTTGTATTTCTTTCACAAGCATTTAATGGGTTTTATTCTAGAGATCTTTGGGAGCATTGATATCATTTCTAATGTAATTTATTTTCCACAAGTATACTACCAATTTGTTCAAGTCTTTTGAAATCTTTTAGAAAAGTTTAAAATGTTTTCTCTGTGTAAGTTTTGTATAAATTTTGCTGACTTTTTCCCTGGGAACTTTTTATTACATAACTGCAGTGAGAAATTTGGCTGGTAGTCAGTAGATTAGGAAACCTTTTGGATTTTGTAGCTTGTATTTAAAAGCCTTGCTAAACTCTATTGAAGCCAAGTTTTCTGTAGATGTTGGTAGATAACCAGGTCTCATGAATAAAATTGGTGTGACTTTTTCCTTTCTGGTCCTTACATCTCTTGCTCTTTTTTAAAATACTGAATAACAAGAATAGCCATTGTGTTTTTCTTTTTCTTTTTTTTTTTACTTTAAGGAGAATATTTAAATTGCTCTGCTAAGTATGATATTTAATGCATTTTTCCCATTAAGTATGATTAGGAAAAGTCTCTTTATTCCTATTATCTTTGGTTTTTTGTAATTATAAGTAAGTTATTGAATGTTTTTCAATTGAGGTATTAATGTGAACTTCTCACAGTAGTTCAATAATATAATTTTCATTGTCAGGTTTTTTTGTTTCTGCTGGAACAGGAATCAGAACTTATGCTTTCTTAGCTTGCTTACTCACCTGGTCCTCTACCACTTGGGCCATGCTTTTCTCAGGTTGTTTTGGAGATAGAGTCTTATACAAGATAGGCTGATCTTGAATTGCAATATTCGGCCTCCTGAGTATCTAAGATTACAAGCACACCACCAGCACCTAACTAGATTTTTCTGGACATTTAACTATTTTTTGGAATTTTTCTATTTTATACTTATGAGCAAAATCAAAAACTAATACCTTGGGATGGGAAGGTGGCTCAGTGGTAGAGCGCTTGCCTTGCATGCTCGAGGCCCTAGGTTCGATTCCTCAGCACCACATAAGCAAAAAGAAAAAAGCCGGAAGTGGTGCTGTGGCTCAAGTGGTAGAGCACTAGCCTTGAGCTGAAGAGCTGAGGGACAGCGCCCAGGCCCAGAGTTCAGGCCCCATGACCAGACCAAAAAAAAAACAAAACAAAACACTAATACCTTTATTTCTTCACTCTTGTCTTTGAAATTAAGTCATTGTTGGTCTCAAAGAAAATAAATAGTAATTATTATACTTACTGATTCTGTAACTACTAATTTTATAATTCTCTTTTAAGGGATGTATATAAAAGACAGAGATTTCTACTCTTCAGTATCAGGATCTGGGCTCCCCAGCACGAGGAAATCTTTTATTTTAATTTAATTACCTTCAAACTTATTGACTCACTTGATTTTTAAAATGTTTGTGATACTTCCTTTCTTCCTTTCCTTTTCCCTTTTATTCTTTCTCCTTTTCCCTCTCTCCTTCCCTCCTTCCTTCCTTTTTTCCTTCCCATTCTTCCCTCCTAACATTATTTTCTTCCTCCTCCTCCTCCTCCTCCTCCTCCTCCTCCTCCTCCTCCTCCTCCTCCTCCTCCTCCTCCTCCTCCTCCTCCTCCTCCTCCTCCTCCTCCTCCTCCTCCTCCTCCTCCTCCTCCTCCTCCTCCTCCTCCTCCTCCTCCTCCTCCTCCCCCCCCCCCCCCTCCTACTCCTCCTCCTCCTCCTCCTCCTCCTCCTCCTCCTCCTCCTCCTCCTCCTCCTCCTCCTCCTCTTTCTTTCCTTCCCTCCCTTTCTTTATTTGTATCGTTCCTTTTATTTTTGTGGTACTGGGGATTGAGCCCAGGGCTTTGTACATGCCATACAAGCTCTCCACCACGTGAGTCATGCCTCCTTTATTTTATTTACATTTAACTTCTGAAATAGGCTGCCTTTTTACTGGGACAGCTGGAACTCTCAATCCTCCTGCCTGTACCTCCTTAGGAGTAGCTGGAATTACAAGTATGCACCTAGCCCAGCTACTGATTTATCACTTTAAGAAATGTATCTATTTTGTGTACATTTGCAAATGATACAGCTATTCATAACATTATATTATTATTTCTTTGCTACATCATTTCTATAGTTTTATTTCTATTTTTCATTTCCACTACAAATCTTGCCACAGATTCACCAAATCAACTTCTAAAAGACTGTTTTATCTTCATTCAATTTTTTTTCATTTCATTGGCATTTTCCCAAGTCTTATTATATCTTCTTTAAATTTTCCTTTTTTAATTTTAATTTTATTGTCAAGGTCATGTACAGAGGGATTACAGTATTATAGTACTTTGTGAGACTCACTGTTTACTTCTTATGCTTAACCTCACTACTTGATGATAGTTAAAAAATTCCGAGTGTTCCTTTAAATTAGCCCGAGAATTTTAAATGCCAACCTTTCCTTCGCTATAAAATATATTTAAATGACATTAGAAATTATCTTTTTCTCCCAAAGAATTTTAAAACTATGTTTTCACTTCCCAATAGCAGGGATTTTTCTCCCTTTTTGTTCATTCTTTTGTGTCCCAAGTTTGTGTTTACAGATTTTTATATAATTAATGACAAAATTGTAGTTTTTTTCTATTTTGATTTCTTATTTTCATTTTTGTATCTCTTGTCCATTTTGCACTTGGCTGAAGTATAAGTATTTATTTTATTTTATTTTTTTGGTTGGTTGTGGGGCATGAACTCTGGGCTTGGGCACTGTCCTTCAGCTCTTCAGCTCAAGGCTAGTGCCCTACCACTTGAGCCACAGCGCCACTTCCAAGTCTTTATTCTTCAGCTGTTTACTTCTTTCAAAAGACAATACATATATTCAGTTTAGCATAATCCTCCTTAGCTCCCATAATCTTTTTTGCTAATGTTTGTTTCTCTTCCATGTAAAATTGAACCATTTCATTATTTTATTATACATACAACTTTGAGGACCTTACCTATTTTTAGGCAGTAATAACTTTTGGCAAGTTATTTTTCCTTTCTTTATATCTTGTGACCTTGTTGGATTAATTTTTTTCCTCTTATTAGAATATTTCTTTTGTCTAGGAGAATCATGATGTAATGAATATATCTGATGGTTATATGCTTAGGCATATTTTTCATTATATCATTATATAATATTTTAGTAATAAAATCTAAGATCAAAACTTTTAGTAGATTAAAAAATCAAGGCCCATTAAAATAATATTTACCTACCAAAAAAGAATGTAAAACAGTTTAGATTAAGTTTTAATTAGAAAAACATATTAAAATAAAATTTAATTAGGAACATATATAACAAACATCAACAGTAGTTTAATGCCATGCTATACTTATTTTATGAAAATCCATATAAAGAAAATGTGTATACAAGACAGTATATTGGCAAGGAACTCTTCAAGTTTGTGGGAAAGGAGAAGTGTGGGAGGTATGGAAGGAAGGGATGGTGGGAAAACAACAGGGGAAGGGGGAACAATGCTCGGCAGAAAATGTACTCATTGCCTCACTCACGTAACTGTAACCCCTCTGTACAGCGTTTTTACAACAAAATAAAAAAATGATAACTTAAAAATGGAAAATGTGTATAGAATTACTACGAGAAAAGCTTCATTCTGGGTGACATGGATCAAGATGCATTATATTCATAAGCTGTTTTGTTAAAAGGCAA